TGCTCACTGAACCCCAAGCCGCTCACGGTCAACCTACGTTACAAACCCTCTCATACTCAAATAAAATTTTAGTAACAGGAAAAAATCTGATATTTGGGGAAAATGATCATATGGGGTAGTAATATACAATCCTGATTTTTTTTTTTTTTTTTTTTTTGTTTGTTTGAGAGAGACCTTCACATCCAGTGAGTTCTCGGATGTTGCAGATTTGCAGCATTGGTCCACACTGAAGACTGAAAATGATATGAACACTAACTTTATTTGTATACCACTTTTCATAACAATGAAAACATAAAGCACAGTGTAACAGCTTTACAGTGGCATAACAACATCACTTTTTCGTGTGGTGCTCCAAGAAACAATTTTTATCCTTTGAAAACAACAAAAGTATTTTGCACTTCTGGCAGGTCGTTTGCGTGTAGTCATTCTTGCACAGTCTGCATCGTCCACATTTATCAGCATGGATGGGAGAAAAGGCTCTTGAGTTAAAAAAAAAACTCATAAAATATGGATTTGGAGTAAGTAGGTAATTGGCATTTAGCTGTTGCAAATCTGCAACGCCTGCCTGGAGAGGGTTAATCTGTCTGGTGAATTTAGTCTCACATTTTTGATTATCTACATTTTTTATATTTTTTGGATTATAGAGCACAAAACCAGGTGATCACTAACAACTGTTACTAAGATCCTGCTCTGTAGATCTTCATTAAGAACACTGGTGAATCAGTTAATGAGAAACTGTCGGGTCATTTGTGTGGGCTTTGGTATTTTTGGATACAGTGACAAACTATATAGAGCATTTATGAAGTTTTCCATTGGTTTATGATCATTACATTTCAATAAGTCAATGTTAAAATCTCAGCACAGGAAGATGTCCTTTTGCTGAAGTTTGGAGAAAAGTCTTTCTATACAGTCTACAAATGTATCAGTGTTTGATCCTGTCCTTCTGTAAATGCAGCTGTCCATTTTTTTTATTATTATTATTTTTTTGGTTTGTTTGTTTGTAAATAACAGCTCCACCTTAAGACACTCCATTATTTCATTTATTGTTACAGACATGTTTTCAACACCTTTTTTTATGAACATTGCAACACCATCCCCATTTTTATGATTTCTATTTTGTTTAAGCATTTCACATCCCTCTAGATAAAGTTATGAGGCCTGTCATCATGTATCCATGTTTCTGAAACTGCAGTTATATCAAAAGGCAAACAAGACTGATTAAGATATTACAGTTTTTTTTCCATTGGTTGGCTCATTTCTTGAAACAGAAATGACATTCTTAAAACTATAAGATCATTTGACGTAACAGTCTGATAGTTGTGCACAGCATTACAGCTCATCAACAAAAGCTCAGATCTCTCCCAAAACCGTTCACACATGTTTCAAAGCAGATTCCTTTCTCATATAAAAAGTCAGGAGCATCAAAACTGCAAAGATCCTTCTCAGTTGCTTTGGCTCTTTTGCAATAATGCAGTGCTTTTGTCAAAAATAACCTGGATGTTTCAGCACAACACCTTGGATCACCTGCAAAAGCTCAGATCTCTACCAAAACATGTGTCAAAACTACATTTCTTTCTCATAGAAATAGTGAGTGTCCCCAAAATGCATCGTCCCTTTGGCCTCGTGTCAGCACTGCAGCTCAAAATGACTTGATGTTTTGTCACCATGGCAGAGGTTGAACTAACACAATACAATTGTCAATGTAAAACTGGAAAAAAAAAAAGGATTTCACACTGAGCCTCCAAAGTTTGACATCACACACACTGCACTCACACATGCACACATACACACATACACACATGCACACATACACACACACACAACTCTTGCTTCCACGATGCCCACTGCTGCTGCTGCTGCTGCTTGCTGCTGCTTGCTGCCCTGTGCCCGTCGCTCCAGCTACTGCTGCTGTGAGCCCTACGCCTGCCGCTGCTGCTGCTGCCAGGGGCCTTCAGATAATCTCTCTCCCTGACACTATGCTTTCTGGTTTCAAGCCTCCTTGCTCTGCTCATCAGTCTCAGAAGCACTCCTCTTGTGCTGAGCCCACTCAGCCTACTAAGGTTCCTAAGCTTCCCTCCTTTTCTCCTGCCCTTGCCCCTCTGATCCCGAGGGTGGAGCTGGACGCTGCTCTCCTGTTCCCTGGACCTCGGCCGGACTGGGTAGTGCAGATGGAGGACTACCTGCAGGAGCGCAACAAGGACTGGGAACACTGAAAAAGGTCAAGTTAACGACATAGGCCATTTACTCCCAAGTACACAAGTACTCCTTTTAGTTATAAGAACTGATCCTTTTTCTCTTTCTGTTTCAGTCATGGAAGAGGAGCTGGAGTCTTGCAATTAAGGGTGATGTGTTAAAAAAATAAATAAATAAATAAAAAAAAATAAAAAAAACAAAAAAAAAATATTATTATTATTATGTTGTAAATAGTTTGACCTGTGTGTTTTAGTGTGAACAGTTTTTAGATTGGTTTTGTGTGGTGTTATTATTATGTTGTAAATATTTTGTTGCAAATTACAAAAACAGAAATGTTAGATACATTTAGTCAGAGAGAAAGTTTTTTGAGCCAGAGGAAAATTCAAGTTTTGCTGCATCAAACTGTTGCACTTTTCCAGCAACATTTTCACTGTGTTTCTTAGTGGCCTTTGTGTCTCAGTCAAAGGTCTCAGGTCAGTTTAACAGGAGGACTGGTCAGGGAGGGTCAGCAGATTTGTGTCAGGGCAGATTGAGGAGAAGAAGAGCCAAAAGTGAGCCAAAAGCTCTGTGTCCTGCAGAACCACAGAAGTGTCCAGGGGGAGCGAGGTGAACACAACAGGAAAAGCCACACTCTTACTCCGCTCTGGTGTTTCAGTTGGTGATGAAATGGTTCACACCCTCAAAGTATTCACTTTGAAGGTCTTCTGATACATTTTGCTGCTACATATGGTGGAAGAAGCCTGTAGCTGGATAAGGGAAAAACAAACAGTGGGAAAACGGGAAAAACAAACAACTAATTTCACAACTAGTTTCACCTACAGTCATTTGAACTGCATAGGCTGCACTTCTTAGTTGTTTAAAATCTCATGATATTATGTTAAAATTGAGCTAAAAAAAAACAAACCTTTCAAAAACTGCTCAGTGTGTGAGCCAGGTACAAAAGCAGTCAACCAGTTATTGTGTTGTCTTATTAGATTGTAGTTTGACCTGTGTGTGTTGGTGTGAAACAAACAAAACAAAACAAAAAAAAGAAAAGAATGTGCAGCAATGAGCCAAAACCATGTGTAGTATATTAATCAATTAGGTCCATCAAAACCAGAAGTAAAACCACAAAAAACACATACAAACCATTTCAAAATAAAACCACACAAATAAAACATGCAATAAATATTCAAATAAAATCACTACTGGTGCATTCTCACCTTGTTACATATACTGGACAAATTGGTGAGTACTGATTCATTATTACCGCATTACTTCACAAATAAATGTAATACTTATTTATTTTGTTTTGAGCTTCCAACACTAGGCAGATGTTAATTAATTATTTAACCATTGCATTTATATAGCTCCTTTCAAGATACCCAGAGCGCTTTACAGTTCATTATTCATTCACTCAACACTCAGTGGTAAGCCGCTACTGTAGCCACTACTGCCCTGGGGCAGACTGACAGAAGCGAGGCTGCCAATCTGCACCGTCTGCCCCACTGACCACCATGACTCACGCACACATCACTTTCATACTAGACAATGTGGGTGAAGTGTCTTGCCTAATTGTCCGATATTAAGACGTGTCAACTGCCCAAGCCTAAACTTGACCTCAACAAGCTGTTAAGAACATTAGCTGCCAACAGCATAAACAATGTTTACATTGGTATCTCCAATCTGAATAGCCTCTTATTTATTCTAATTATTTAACTTGACTCCAATTATTCCACTTTTTTTTTAATTCTAGCTGAAGATGATAAATATGTTTGCAAGCATTATCTAGTTGTTTTTGCATTTCTACCACCAGATGCCACCAAAAGATATTCTAATCAATGTAATAATTGCAAGATTCTTATCATAGGCCTACTGATCTGAATCAGGATTTCCTCTCCACTGTTGTAATGCTTAACTCATGTAGCTCACCTAGGCCATAATTAAGCCATAATTTGCTTCATTTGCTTCACTTCAAAATTTTAAACTGTGACACACCCAGGCTGGGATGGTTGGTATAAATAAAATAGTGAAATGAGCGTGTAAGATTGTGCATTTTCATGTCAGTCTTAATCCAAGGGACTTCAGTCGTAGCATTATTATTATTTATTTATTTTTTGCTTTATGGTCATTCGCAAACACGGTTTTCAGTATTTTGGCAAAACAAACGACAATTTATGCTCCTCTTTATTCTTGGCAGGAATCAGATTAGTAAAAAATTGTGATAGTTGTGTTTTAGTCCTGGTTTAGAGTTGATGTAGTCCTGGTTTAATCTTAGTTTCGTCCTGGTTTAGATCAGATTGGTCAAACATAGATACACCTGAGACATTTCTTGTAACATATCGTTGGCTTTGAATAAATCTGATGAGACAGGGGACACAGGGCTCAAAACAGGGACTGTCCTGGGTAAACAGGGATCACCCTACTTTAAAACAACCATTTGTGACTTAATTAGGGTGACCAGAATTTCAAAACCAAAACTGGGACACAGGGATCAGATTGGTCAAAAATAGGGACACCTGGGATATTTCTTGTATAAACTGACAAATCACTGGTTTTGGATAAATCTGCTGGGGACAGGGGACACAGGGCTCAAAACTGGGTCTGTCCTGGGTAAATAGGGACGTCTGGTCACCTTACCTAAACATTTGCATCATTGGTTTTATTGGTTTTTGTTTTTGACTTAATGTAACTCGAGATCTTTTTGTTTCTCACGCGTGTCCATGTGTAAAAGTAAAGTGTTAATAGTTGATTTCGTGAAAAAGCCTGCGTAATGTCGCTCGTGTGTGGATTGGCTCAGTTGGCTGCACCTGTTCTGCGTTAAACCAATCCCGCTCCTGCGCCCGCTCCAAGATGGCGGCTCACACACTTTATTTCCCACATCATCCTCCTCCTGCGCGGCGAATTTAGCCTAATCAAACTACAATCCTGCTCTGTAAACCCGTGAATGTCGACTGGAAACGTGTACACAGATGATCCGAGTGTCCCGGGCCGAATACCGAAGCTTTCCCCCGATGTTTCGTCGGTGTACGGAGCCTGGATGTGTGTCGGTGTGACGGGGGCTGTGGGATCCGAGCATGGCCACCGAAAACCGGGTCAATTTTTGGAGGAGAAACGCAAAGGTTCCCGGAAGGTTAGTGGTCAAATCTTCATCTTATTTGGCTGATTTAACCGTATATAGCTGTATATAATGACCAGAGGACATGACAAGCTGCTAATCAAAGTGTAAGTTGTTTTTTGGTTAACCGTATGCTATGACTTGCAAGATCAAACCTGTCAAAAGTGCCTAGGACTTCAAAACAAGTCGAACAAAGTGGCATAAAACAGAATTCACACAACCACACAAGACTCATTAAACGGCTCATTGGATTACACGTGAACGTGTTTATTGTGACTGAAATAATCGTAAAACTCACTAATTTAGTCATATATGAAGCGCTATCTGAAGTGAAACCTAGAGATAAACACGACATATGCTGAGAGAAGCAACTTTACTGTATTACTATCAAAACTTAGGGTGACCAGAATTTCAAAATAAAAAACTGGGACATCCCTGTTTTTTTGTTGTTAGTAATAATAAAATTGTGAAAGGAGTGCGTAATTAAGGAAAACTGTTATGCAGAGACCATTCCTGACTAACATGTGAGTCAGTATAGTCACATTTTATTTGTGTTTTGGTCGTTTTTAAGCAGATTTTTTATTTTAATTTTTTTGTATTTTACCTATACAAATTAAAATGTATGCCTCTCTTAACTGTTGGCAGGTATCAAATTAGTCAAAAATACGCTAGGACACTAGGGACATTTCTTGTATAAAACTGGAACAAATCAATGGTTTTGGAAAAATCTGCTGGGACAGGTGAAACAGGTCTCTAAACTGGGACTGTCCTGGGAAATCGAGACATCTGGTCACCCTAATTAAATTGTATCAGCAATTACTTCAAGATGAAAATGTTGCAAGTATTTATTAATAATATTAGGCCTGATTGCAATTAAATGTCCCACAATAAGTCATCTAGTCTGTAGCATAATCCTGGCTTCAACCTTTTGCAATAAGCTTTCTGTTTACTCTATTTACTTCACTGTCAAGGAAACTAGTTAATTACCAAACGAGTAAACAAAGCCATTATGGGGACTTTCGAATAGCTAAAGAAAAAAACATGATTCTCTCTGTGTCCCTGTTTTATTTTGCCTTGAGTTTGGTGTGTAACTTGTCAAAAGTCTGCTCTTCCACCATATGTTTTGCAGATGGAGCAGAAAACATTGGTTGTCATGCGGGTTGTAGGCTTGAAAAGATGAAATGCAAATGTAATATGTATTTAAATCCTTGTATTAGTGCCCATTCTCCTGCTGTGTTTATCCAACTACACCACAACATGTGCACATCGGACCTGCCCCCATCTCAGCACTACAACTCTACCGGGGTATAGGAGGACTTGAGGGCATCTGGAACACAGGGATATAGGAGGAGGATGCACTCAGACTTAGACTAAATTTATTGATCCACAGAGGAAATGATTTACACAGTAGCTCACACTACACGATATAGATTGAATCCATATTTTGTACCATTCACCCTGTTGTGTGCGGAGCAGCAGCTCACCTTCACAACACACACACAGGAGGAGGTAACCTGACCTGCAGATCTGAGTCTTGGGCGTGTCTCTGTGTCTCTGTCCTGGTGTAATGAGTCAAACTGTGTAGGAGGAGGAGCAGGGAAACAACAAACACAAACACAGACAGTTAAACAGGAAGTCTTTAGTGATCTAAGTCTGTCCCTGGACTCGTCTGATAACCACTCACTGAAGAAGAGGAGGAGGGGCAATCTATCCATGTTAAAGCAGACCTGTTCTACAAACTGGACTTTTCCGCGCTTTCAACCATGTTCTAGTCGCTTCCCCTCAACATGTACCCATATGTAATTGTTTTTGGAGCGCTTTGTGCATGTTTGAGTAATCTTGAATCATTTATTTTCAAGATGCCATTTTTCCATTCAACTCCCATTTTTACCTCCACCATGTGCCCACTGTAACTCCAATTTAATGTTCTTAATTGGTAATTTACGTAGGATTCAATATTATCATGTAGTCATTTAGGTACAAGTGATGCAGCGATGAAGTTGTGATGATGTTTATGAGTTTTCTAAGTCAAGAGACTGAATTAAAATTTGCAAATTATTTAGTTAATTGATTATCAGGATGATTCTGGTCACAATATAATTAAAACTTAATATATAATGTGTATGAGATTGGGATGTTTCTTCTCACAATAATCTAAACAGTTAAATTGTTTTTATTTATAACAAGGACAGAGCATATTGATCAACCGTGCAACTGCATAATATGCTAGAGTACAGTGGTAGCAGTACAGTGGTAGCAGTACAGTGGTAGCAGTACAGTGGTAGCAGTACAGTGGTAGTAGTACAGTGGTAGTAGTACAGTGGTAGCAGTACAGTGGTAGCAGTACAGTGGTAGCAGTACAGTGGTAGTAGTACAGTGGTAGCAGTACAGTGGTAGCAGTACAGTGGTAGCAGTACAGTATTAGCAGTACAGTGGTAGCAGCAGTTAGAGGTGGGGACTTGCAAGTCGTGACTTGGACTCGAGTCAGACTTGAGTCACTATTTTTAGGACACTTAACTTGTTAAAATAGACCAAGACTTGGGACTCGACTTGGACTTGAAGGTCAGTGACTTGGGACTTGACTCGGACTTGAGGCCTGACTTGATTCTTCTCCTAAAAAAATATTTTTAGAAATTATTTTTCTCTTGACAGTTGATAAATATGGAGTTGCATTTTAGAGGAACAAACTGGAACATATCCCTCCCACTTCTGTTTGTTACTTTGGATGGCACTGAACTACTGTGATGTGGTATCATCAAATGTGCTACAGTAATATACAGTACTATACAGTACAATACAGTAAAGATAACTACATAGAGCATGACGGTTCCATTTCAGTGCAGACGACACGACAAAGTAACTGTTATTAAGCACTTTTAAATCTTAATTCTTTCTATTCTGACCGTAATGATTTACACAAAGATCTTGTCAAAACATTTAAAAAGGAAAAATTACATTCAGTACAATTTAGTTTAAAATTCATTTAAATTGCTAAATCTAAACTATATTCTTAATATTCTCTATAGCTCAAAGCTGACGACTTGGACTTGATTTGGACTTATGCACCACTGACTAAGGACTCGAATTGGACTAGCCTGTATTTCACTTGGGATTTGACTTGGACTTGAGGTCAGAGACTTGAGACTTACTTGAGACTTGCAAAACAACGACTTGGTCCCACCTCTGGTAGCAGTATTACAGAAGTAGGCAACCTAGAAGGTGAATCAGATATTGTGACATGATGTGTGCAATTGTCCATGGACAGCAGTAGCAGACCGTAGACACAGCTCCTCCTGATAACCACAGAGTCAGTTTAACCAAATGACTCAAGCCGACTGACGCCTCACACTTTCCCAAGGCCAGAACATTCAGAACATGATAACACACAGACCAGAGGGAGTCAGTTTTGTAAACTCTTCTCGTGTTTTCTCTGATAATCCTGACAAGCCTCTCAATGTAATATACTTTATTCATGCGTTTTGTAGCCACAGCTGCCCTGGAGTTGATTGAAGCAAGGCTGCCAGTCTGCTCTGTTGGCCTCTAAATGGCTTGATTTTGAGGGGGTCTGTACAGTTAATTGCATTGAGTCACTGAGAATCTCACTATTAAAAAAATCACAATAAATGATAATATTGAAAATCATAACCCGAATTAAAACTGCTTTAAAAACTCCCTCTTGACTCAAACATACATCTGCTGCACTGAGGCACACTGGGACTGACACATTGGCGCACAGAGCAAGACAAACTAATCCAAACCCACGTAATCCTCATCAAATGAACACTCAAATAGAAGAGTGCAGAGTAAAAACCTTTCAGTGATGTGCAGCTTAACAGAACAGTTTAGAGCTGGGATTTAAACACAGTCAGAGCAAAGGCCTCTCGCATCTTCAAGAAGACTGCTCCTGGTTTTAGCTGCAGAAAATGTTTAATCCTCACTCTGAGCACCAGCTGGAGACTGGGACTGGACTCGACCGGGGCTGGACCGGGGCTGGACCGGGGCTGGACCGGGGCTGGACCGGGGCTGGACCGGGCTTAACCGCGGGACTACAGCGGGACTACAGCGGGACTACAGCGGGACTACAGCGGGACTACAGCGGGACTACAGCGGGAGGCTGGTCCCTGAGGCCCTCAGAGTGCAGATGGTTCATTAATGGCATTAACATATCAGAGATGTCCTTTGGTGCTAGGCCCTGAATATCAGTCTAGCACAGATAGACCCAGGTCCAGTGTTCTGTTCAAAGACACATAACTGTCCGTCTGCGTTTGTGCTCAGTGTTCAGCCTGTGTACGGCGCGCAGCACCCTCCTCTCGACCCAAAGCTCAGACGCACGTGAGTCGACCCACAGCCTCTGTGTCAGCGCCTCATGATTTTAGTGAATTATCTGTTTGAACGTTTTTTGTTTTGTCAAACATTTGCATGAAGAACTGACAATGTCTCTTTTTATAACATAAATTTATTTACAGTTCCAAATAATAATGCTTTGTTTTTGTCCTTGCCTGTGTCTTGCATATCGTTTTTATGCTTCATTTTTAAAGGTGCATTACGTAACTTTTTCTGGTGGAGGGTCAGTCACCTGCTTGAATAAAGAGATATTGCTTTGCCCGGATGCTCCATTGTCTCCATGGAGATACTAGTAGATGCTTTTAATGCCAAGCAGGTTACATCATCAGGTCTAGTTACAGATCAGATCAGTGGAGAGGCAAGCCCATGGACAGTAAGAATGCATGTATTTAAATGCAGTTTTGAACAATACAATTACCTGTATTAAAGCTAAAGCAAGCTATAGTTTAATGCTATACTGTGAAATATTCTAGACAAACGTCTTAATGGAGACTGACAGGTAGCGCACCCTTTACCTTAAAAGTTTCACAGTGCACCTTTAATTATCAGTAGCAAATCCTGTTATCTCTTTTTATTGTGCTTATTTGAACCACCTTTCACTGATGCTTCAGTTTTATAATATTTGTGTCTATCCTGTTTATGTTTTTATTATTCCTTCATTAGCCCAAGTTACACAATATTTAGTTTGTTTTTGTTGATATGTGCAGATATCTGAAAGAAACAAAGCTGAATTTGAACAATGTGAAGACAAAGAAGGCGTCAAGTTTCCATGAATTTGCCCGAAGCACAAATGATGCCTGGGACATGGACGACGAAGAGGAGGAGGAGTTTCTGCCTCTTCCTCAGTCACACGGCTCCCACAACCAGGTCTGATACTGTCAACAAAACACAATGTGCTAACTGGACTTTTCAGAGCTTTTAACTACTGTGGTTTCCTTCTTAGTGACTCTGACGTTGTATTTAGAACAGTGGTGACTGTTTTGTGGCAACTCACTTATTTTAATTGGTCCCCTCTCGTGACCCAACATGCTTTTTTTTTGTTTTTCTTTAAAATATGGGCTGTTAAAAATAGGCCTGCATTAATAATGTAATATAAATATATATTTGGTTAGTGAGGCAATAATTTCAGACGGTCATTCACTTGGAAACTTCACTCGAACCTACAAAAATCTCCCGTGAGTACAAAGTACATACTCTGATCCACCCTCGTTTTCACTGCCGTCACTGTACTTTTCCAGTTTTATCTTCTCATTTTGGGACAAATGAAAAAAAAAAACATCCACTGCTTTCTAGTGTGATGCACAGCTATGTGAGGGGCCCACAGCATGCAGAGCTTTGGTGTGATGACGTTTGCAGTAACTTCAGCTCTCACTGGGCACTGCAGTTTTTTAACGTGGAAGTCAGGACTTGTTTCTTTAAAGTTGTTGTACAATGTCCATATGATAGCATAATGATCCACAGTTGTCATGGATAAAAACTGTAGAACAGACACAAGCTCGGTCTGTCTTCTGTGGTTTTGAACAGAAAGTCAGTGGACCCTCTTTTATATTTAAAGAACTGATAAACACAGTCTCTTTATGGTAACGTTTCACTGTAACAAGCAGCAGTGTTTTTTTGTTTGTTGAAAAATAGTATTCTGTGTATCTTTTTTTGTACATTTTCTTATCTGTATGCAGATAATCACAAATGTGCTCTCTGTACGTCTTATGGTGTGTATTTGATTAGTTGACCACATTAGGTGATTAGGATTACAAGTAATTATTTGTTCTATATGAGAAAAGAGAAGGTATGGAGTGAGTACCTGCAGATTTGGGAGTGATGGGACAGTTAAATCTAGATCCTAAAAGGTGTGAGAGCTTTGTTCCTCGTCAGTCCCCTGTCAGGCCCTGTGTCTAAACAAAATGACTAAGTTGCAGTGCCTTGTTATTTTACTTTTTCACTCTGTTGTAAAGTTGTGTTGTCTAATAAAACTCTTTGTCTTTCAGATCCAGAGTCAGACCTCCGCAGACAGGCCCCTGCCGCTCTCTCTTCCTCAAGAGCAGAGAGCACCTCCTAGGGAGAACTGTGAACTCCACAACGGGACCATGCTCCAGTCCAGCAGTGAACCAGACCTCCAGTCCTCGGGTACAGCTGGGGTCACCTATTTGTCTGCTTGTCTCTTTGGAGACAAGTAGGTGTTGGACCCTCCACCACTAAAACTTGCATTATACACACACACAAACCGCCTCCCACATGAAAGTATATCATGTACAAATTATGAAATGTTTACACGCCCGTCCAAACAATGGCTTTAACCAAACAAACCTGTCCATATGAATGTGTACTTACTGATTAATTGGATGAATAACTGCATTAATATACACTGTATTTTATTTTATTGGCATGTATGTCATTTATGACATCAACCTGCCCAGGGACTGAAGAATGACATTTGGCAATTGTGCTATAAGCTGCACAAGCATATGACTTTTTGTGTAGCTCAGTGTTTTTATGTATACTTGTTATTTTCATGCAGACCTCAGCTCCACACAGAGGCCCCCCTGTCGCCCCATCATCCCTCTCGTCGCCAGGATCTCAGATCAGAATGCTTCTGGAGCTCCACCCATGACCATCCGTGAGAAGAACCGCCTGGACAAGTTCAGAGCTCTGCTGTCTGCACCCAACACTGACCTGGGTACGAGAATTAAACAATGTTCATTTACTTCATATTTGTTTTTTATGAAACAAAATAGGAAGTTTACATGCTGGTGTTGGTGTTGCTAAATGGCACAACAACAACAACACTTTTCCTGTGTATGAATGTGGTGTATAGTTATTTTGGTGCGAGGGGTCGATAGTGCAGATTGACAGCTTTTGCCATAGTTTACCACATTTTGTGCGGAAAATGAATGAAGACTACAGTGTTTGGAACTTTGAGGTTTATAAAAGCTCACACTGTGGTTGAAAGACAAACATGAGTAAGCTGTGAAAAGTTTAGAAGTTGGACATGTCCTATGACATGTTTATTGTCTGTACAAATTACAAAACAGGTCTAAATTAAATGAAGTCTAAAATTATCTATTATTAACACCATGGACCTCAATATTTGTACATTTCTTAATATTTCTGTGTTATTTTTTTCCAGATGAACTTCGAAAGCACAGCTGGTCTGGGATTCCCCGTGAAGTTCGCCCCATCACCTGGAGACTGCTGTCTGTGAGTTGAGCTGTGCTAGGTTTTTGTTTATTTTCTATTCAGCATTATACACTTTATGTCCTTTTGTTTTTCAAATAAACCAGTGCCGAGTCTACAGCACATGTTTATGCTCTGATTGGCTTAAACTTCCCAACGTCTGTTTACAAAAGCATATTGTGTTGAAACTAGGGCTGGGCGATATGAAGCAAAAAATATATCTCGATATAGTTTGCTATTTCTTGATATGCGATATGTATCTCGATATCTGTACAGGGAAAATAACCCCCCAAAACTACAGCAAAAACAAATCTGCCAAATTCCACAATGTCTTTTTTTATTGACGTGCAAGAGGTAGGCAGTTCAAAGTGCTTCTGCCACATTTAAGATTACAAGAAATGGAAGCTCGGGAGGTTCCTTATTTTAACAGACCCGTGTTCCTCACCAACAGTAAGGAGCTGTGAGGTATCCCACAATCCACTGCAGATCAGTTTCCAAACACTGTTGTACAAGTTACACTGCAGCAGATTATTGATTTAAAATCTTCTGCATAAATAACTTTACGTTACTAAACTTAACAACATTTAAAGCATAACGACTCTAAAGCCACATCAGCCCATTTGAGATTATAATGTGTTTAATGCAGTTTTGTGCACGTTGGGGATGGGCATTCGATGAAATTTTCTTAATCGATCGTCGGAAGAATTAACGATCGATTATCGATTAATCATTAACGTTTTTTTTTTATATTAAAATGATTATCATTATTATTACTATCTGCACTACTAATCTGCATGAATAAATTCAACTTTACGACATATAAACCGTAACGACTCTAGAGCCACATCAGCCCGTTTGAGATAATAATGTGTTTAATTCAGTTTTGGGCAAGTCTCACAGAAACAGAACTTAAAACCACATCGCTAATTTGCATAAACTAAGCGAAGATAAAACTCCAGCTCTTGTGTCGCTGATGCGGTTCAACTTCTGTCAGATTAAAAGACATGACTCAGTGGAATACAGGTTAGTGTGACCATATTTGCATTTGTCAAAACCAGGACACCATACGGGGGGAGGGAGGTGGGGACTCGTCATCAACATTGCGCTTCTCTCACCTGGCAAAACTTTTTCCCACTGGACACCGAAACATATGTTCTGCTTTATACACTGTGCACATTGCACTTCGGTACGTCGCAGGTTGACCGACTGTTTGTGTCTCGCTCCTTCTGATGCAGAGACACATGTGTCACGCTACACACAGCAAACTACATTCGGGTTGTCGATTAAAATGAACGTAATCGATGAAATTCTTAATGATCAATTATCTAATCATGCCCATCCCTAGTGCACGTGTTTACGTTTTACAGAAACAAAACTTAAATACGCATTGCTAATTTGCATAAACAGCGCACTCCTTGCGCCGCTCATGCGATTCAGCTTCTTTTGGACTAAAGGACATGACTCAGTGGAATATGAGGATGTGCTGCTAATTGCCTTGTCTGTAAATGGTGGAAAAGGTTTGTGATGCTAGAAGCTTTTCATTGGCACCAACTTTCAGAGTTCACGGTGGTAGTGAGGAGTGAATGAGACACAAGAGAGCAAAATCAGGGAGGCGGGGACACCGGGACAGAGAAGGCAAACAAGCGAAGCAGAGAAATCTGATTTGAATATAAGCATTATATCATTATATACGATATTTCCAAATCCATATAAAGTTTAAAAAATATCTCGATATATTTAAAATATCAAGATATCGCCCACCCCACTTGAAACTTTTTTTTTTTCCCCATAATTGAACCTTGACACTTCATTTATTATACAGGGCTACCTCCCAGCCAACAGAGAGCGCCGTGAGCACGTCCTGCAGAGGAAACGTGAGGAATACTTTGCTTTCATAGAACAATATTACGACTCCAGAAGTGACGAACCGCACCGAGACACATACCGACAGGTACACTTGAATACATGTGTTTATTCAATGCTTTTAACTGACTTAAAACATGTGGTTATCATATTAGAAATGACCCTTTTCTATATAACCTCATATAGCTGTGTTTAATATTTGTGTTCTTAGATCCACATTGACATCCCAAGGACCAACCCTCTGATCCCCTTATTCCAGCAGCCGGCAGTACAAGAGGTAAAGTCAGAGAAAAGATGGTGTGTGAATAGAGTTGTTGCTGTTTACATTTGGATAATCATTTGGGGTGTAACATTTTATCAGTTAATCAAGAAAAGCTGAAGTTTATGTGCAAAAATATGTTCGGTCTAAAGTGCATTATGTAACTTTTCTGGTGGAGGGTCCGTCAAATGCTTATTGCTTTGCCTGTAATGTTTCATGGTATGACTTTAAACATTTCTACCTAGCATTTATTAATGGTGTGCTCAGAAATACTATAATTCCTTCTGTGAATAGGGGCGACTCTCCAAAGATCTGACTTGTAATGTAGTGTAGTGCTGTAACCTGCTTGTCTCCCTCATGATAGATTTAGGTTTAATCTATACTGTATACATTCTAGACAAAGTAATAACATTTCCATGGAGACATCAGATTGCCCCTCCACTAGAAATGTTACACAGTGGACCATTAAATAATATGTAAGAGCACCAGTGTTGTACAAGTTCACACTTTTCATGAAGTAGTTCAAAGTTCAGTTCACACATGTTCAAAGTGAACAGCTCAAGTTCATAGTTCACAATTTTAATGTGGAACTAGTTCAAAGTTCAGTTCATTTTATTTTTAGGTGAGACCTGTAAATGTAAGGCTGCACTTATTTTTCAAACTGACTTCCAGTTTACATCAACTTCACAACATATAAACCATAAGCACTCTAGAGCCACATCAGCCTGTTTGAGATTATAATGTGTATAGTGTGCAGCTTTGACTTATTTGTTTATGTCTTACAGAAACGAAACTTAAAACCGCATGGCTAATTTGCATATACTGCGCATCAGTTTCTGTTGGACTAAAGGACACGACTATATGTGTTCTTTCTGTGACACAGGGATGTCACTGAATCTTTTGGACACATGATTTGTAGAATGAAAGTGATGAGGGCGGCTTCACTGCACGTGCTAAACGCATGTATGTAGCAGCGCGTCCTGCATGCAGAGATTTCCAAAAATGGGATCCATCCTATTTTTTGACACTCTACGCGAGCGTAGGTGCGTATCTCTTTAAAAATACACAGAGAGCATGGATCTATTGTTGTATTTAGGCATTTACCATCTGCGCAACGTGCTCCCGGAACAGTTCTGTGTTGTGTTAAAGAGCTCAGGTCCAGAACGACTGTTCATTAATGCTTTCGCTTTCCGCGCCCCCCTGAAACCACAGCCACGCGTCAACGCGTTCTTTTGAACGAGTTCATGCACAACACTGAAGAGCACTATGTGATTAATTATGATTTATAACTTTCCAAACGGGGGATTGATCAGATTTTTCTTTTATCAACTTTACATGTTGTTTACATACCATTTTTCATTTTTGTTTATTTTTATTTAGTTCCTATTACTTTTTATACTTCCTGGTTTCAAAATGCTAAAACCAGATATTTTCAAATGACACAGACCTGCAGATTAGCAGATCTTGTGTTTTTAGGTAGTTGTATTTTTGTTGGAGGAAGAGGCTCCGATTTGAGATCTGAGAAACAGGAAGTCAAGAAAGTGCCTTCCTCAAAATGGTTTTCTCTGTGGCTTTGTAAAATATCAGATTATATTTTATATTCTCTGTCGCGAAAGTCTGGTGATATTTATCAGTTATTTCACCAATGTAATGTCCTCTGTGTACTACATGTCCTTGTGGGTCAGATGCCCTCCCTCTGTGTCTTTGGCGTCTTAATTTGTGTCAAAGCTGCTAACCTTGTAGTTTAGACTTCTACAAACATGTTCTGAAATGTATGGGATGTTTAAAGTTCAGATTTCAGTCTCTCTCAGACGAGAATTCTTCTGGTTTAATAAGGTGGCCTGTGAACAAACTCTTTAAAAGTCTAATTTATTTGTATTATAACTGTTGCCTTTAGACTATTGAGGCTTTGCAGCTGGTGCCATCAACATTTTGTGCGCGATGTGAACTGCAGGCACTGCTCTGTCTGAAGCTCTGTTACTCAAGTTAGACTTTAATCTGAGCTTTGTTATAACGCTCAGACTGATCAGACTCCTGAAAATGTGCTCTTTAAATTTGTTCTTCAGTTTTCCGTTATCTTAAATCTTTTTTGACAGTGTGCATTGTATCACCATGGTAAAAGCTGAACTTTCCACCACACACATCCATGTAAAGCACCCCCAGCGTGACGTCACTGCAAAGTATCAATACGTTAGATTCTATTTTGATGAAGTCCGGCTCTGTCTGTGTCTGTCCAGGTGTTTGAGCGTATCCTTTTCATCTGGGCCATTCGACACCCAGCTTCTGGGTACGTGCAGGGGATCAACGACCTGGTCACGCCCTTCTTTGTGGTGTTTCTGTCAGAGTTTGTGGGTATGTCCATGCAAGTCTTGCATTTCAATGTGGTATTTACTGCAAACCTGCCAATATTTTCTCTCTTGTGGTTTTATAAATGAAAACTGGAGCTATACCTTTTGTGTCGTAATAATTATAGTGTGTATCTTTTCTTAGTAGTATAATAAGTCTGTAATGGTAATTACTGCATTGATTTTTGGTTCAATACTCACCTATCTTGATTCGGGTTATATTATTTTGTATGGGTATCTTGACAGCAAATAAGTTCATTACAAGCGACAAAGCCTCCAGAGAATCGGTGCGATGTGAACTTGGTGCACATGAACATTGAACATTTTACACTTTGTCATATTTAAGATGCAAAACCTTTCCCAAATTCTCCAGTAACACAAATGGGATCCCAGTTTAACCGGAAGTGCCACCACAAAAAGTGCAGTTTAGGAGCGTTTAGAGACAACAGTCGGTGGGCCGGAATAAGATGGACATGAAAGCTGGAACAATATATTTTGAGCTCAATATTTATGTGTATAGTTTCTTTGCAATGGTGGGAACATTTTGAGCCGTGGAGAGTTGAAAAAGTAACTTATATGGCTAATTATTGCTTCATTCTGCTATGTATTTGTTGCAGCTTAAGCCTTGTAATAAATGGTTTACTGGAATTGGCTGCTTTATTGTTATCGTGTAGCAATATATCATTTAAGTTGTTTTGGGTTGACTAATTCACATCTATGACTCATTATTGATTCTAACTAATCTGTTTATATTGAAAGAATGATTGTTTATTGAAATGGCCTCATATTCAGTCAGCGCCGTATAAGTCTGCTCCCTTCTTGTGATTTCAGAGAAAGACATGGAGAACTTTAACGTGGCAGCTCTTCCTGTAGAAACTCAGAGGAACATCGAGGCCGACAGCTTCTGGTGCATGAGCAAGCTGCTGGATGGGATACAGGTCTGTGGTCAAGGCTTTTTTTAGGATTTAAAGTGCCTATGACAGGTTTGGATGGTGCTCTAATTTAGTTTGTAGGTTGAAAATGACAGGAAGTAGAGGGTTCTGTTTTAGAACATTCCATACTGATAACACTGGGAGAATTTTATCCAGAAGTTAAGCAATTTATACAAGAAACACACTTTAATGAGACTTTAAACATTATTTCTACAAAATAAAGTTGTTTACTTATATTTGTATTAGTCAGGTCATCATTTCTGTGTACATTAGAGGAGTTTTGGCCCTGTATACTACATGGTTTCTAGGTAATGGCTATCAAATTCCCCATCTTAATATCATGACTTCAACCAGTAAGTAACATTTTAAACAAAAAAAAAAGGTAAACTCAGAAACAGAATTGTAATTTATTTATTTCTAATTTTAAAGATCGTCAGTCTTATGATGATCTTAATTATGTTTTTGTAAAATGAGCAGTGCAACCTGTCATGGGCACTGTAAAGGTGACAGTGACAGTGCCACATCATTTGCCTCAAACAGCAGCTACATACAATTATAGGAACACTTTCACTCCACACTCATCCCTCTTCAGATTGCCATAGGGGGGTTCACACTGACACAAGTTGATCAAATGCTCTTTTACATCAACCAAACTAGTGAAGAAAGCAAACCTCTGCTCCCTGTTTGATATTTTATAACTATATAACTTTATAATATTTTTACAGGATAACTACACATTTGCTCAGCCGGGAATTCAGAACAAAGTGAAAGCGTTGGAGGAGCTCATCAGCAGAATCGATGGTCTGTACTCTGTTCTTACTTCAGACTCACTTTTAAACCTCATAAGTTGCAAACAGTTGTGGACTTATTGTGTTGCTTTTATATTTTTGCTTAAAGAGCCTCTCCCCATGTTATGTTATAACGTTGTTACCTTGTTAAAAACATACCTGGAGTTGCTTTGCATTTCATTCATACATGTACTCTGTCTCCACAGCTCTAAATACTCTGTTCCACCTTGTGATGTTGTGAAGCAGTAGTTTCAAGTTAACAGCTCCTTTTACCTTTTAGTTGAGTAAAGATTGGCAATCCCAGGGCTGAAATGATCCAAATGATTCTAGTGAAGGTGTATGGAGTGTACAATGATGAGGAATCAATTATAACATTATAACTTGCATCAGAAAATCTCCTAAATGAGTTGTTGTTTTTTGTGTCCTGCAGAGGACGTCCACGTGCACTTCCGTCGGTACGAGGTGGAGTATTTACAGTTTGCGTTTCGTTGGATGAATAATCTTCTGATGAGAGAGCTGCCTCTGCGGTGCACCATACGGCTCTGGGACACTTATCAGGTAATGCACAAACCTCCACACACTACTAACTCCAAAACACGATAAAAACACTCACTCACCAACTCCTAAACAGAGTAAGACCGCACACTCACTAACTCCCAGAGTAAGACCACTCACTAACTCACACTCAATAATCACAGTAAGATAGTAAGATAAGTATAGATCTCAGGATGGAATGCCAAAAAATACCATTACTATAGAAATCTTCAAAAAGCACATTTTGCATAAAGCGTGTCCTTTACAATCTCCGTTGGTTTAACATTAGGTTCAGTGAAAATTCTGATGTGTGATTCCACACTCCTGAGCTTTATAATGTTATCATGTTTTCATGTTTGCGTTTTCCTCTGGTCCTCAGGCTGAGTCTGAGGGCTTCTCTCATTTCCACCTGTATGTCTGTGCTGCGTTTCTCATCAAGTGGAGGAAGGAAATCCTGTCCATTGCAGACTTCCAGGTTTGTCCTCTCTGAGCCCAATAACACTGTTATGAAATATTGAACAATCTACAGGAGCTGTTTAGTTGTAGGATCCAAGTGAGAAACTCATTTTGCTTTTGGAGTGAATTGTCTGAAATGCATAAGCACCTTTGCTATTATCTGGCATATTTACACAGTAGCTGTTACAGATTTACACACTGTGTCCCTCAAATAATTTTCCTCAGGACTCCGGATTCCCCTCTCAACTCACAACATGCACAAGGCAGGGAGGTTAAAGAGGGGGTATTTTACCGCTATGAGGTATTAACACGAACACACCTTATGTTTTTATTGTTTTGGGAATGCTATATTCTGCATATATTTGAGGAGGGAACAACATTATAACATGATAGAAAGCTCCAAAGAATCAATTTTGCATAGTGCCCCCTTCTTGAAGTTAGTCCTGGCCAAGACTAGCTCAAGATCTGGAGCTGGGTCCCCGAGTGGTGCACTGCTCTTGTCAGTTTTAAGCGAAGGATGGGTTGAATAAAGAGAATTAAGTGTACCTTACTTCTCATAAATGTTTTTCACTTTTACAGGGTCTTCTGATGCTGCTGCAGAACCTTCCCACAATCCACTGGGGCAATGAGGAAGTGGGTCTCCTATTGGCTGAGGCCTACAGACTGAAATACATGTTTGCAGACGCTCCGAGCCACTATAAGAGATGAGCATATCTGGACTCATAGCTACAGTCATTCACCAGTATTTGAAATCTAACAGAAGAGAGCCAGAAACCACAACCCAAAACATGCACAAGAATCCGCCAGTTAGACACTGCAAGTTTAAAGCATGGGTCAAATACAGGTTTGACCCAGAGACTGAAGGATGGTTCAAATGCAGAGGACATATTTGCCTACAGGGACAATGAAGCAAAAATGTAAGTTGCTAAAGCACAACCTTAAAGTGCATGACAGGTTCTCATGTTTTTATCATTCTAGCTTGGTTTTGGTGAGATAGTAACTGTGGTCAATATTTATCATAGTTTTACATCAGTTAAGTGATAGGTTGTGGAAAAAAATTTGAAAAGAAAAGTACAAAGATAGTGCTGTTGGTACTAAAACAGAAACCACATCAACATGGAAAATGCAGAGACAATTTTTGCATCAGGAAGGCATTTTTATGACCATTTAAACATCATTTAACAAAATAAAGGTTGCAATTTATTTTTATTAGCATAATCATAACGATTGTGCAATTTAGAAAGGTTTTGGACCTTGTTGACATTTTTGTTGCAAGGTAACAGCTCAAAAATATAATGTTACCTATGTTTTGGTGAAATGTGTAATGTAACCTGTCATATGCACTTTACATATAAAATACAAATGCGCAGATAAACAACATAGAAATTCTGCAAAAAGATTCTAATATTAAGATAATGGATCACAACACTGTGCAGGAACCTGTTCATTATCCCATTTCATTTTCAACTAGATTATAAGATTTATAAGAGCAAAAAAAAAACCTCAAATTGAAATGCTACATACTGATCTTTATAACTGCAAAGTTCTAACCACATTTTGCAGCATTTTCAGGTTGTAACCTGGTTGACCTGTAGCTGCTTTGCTACAAGTGAGAACTTTTAAACTTGGATATTTGGATTTTCAAAAAGACTCTAAACCTTTACACAGCAAATACCAGCTAAGAAAATGGTCAACATTCCAAGTACTGCCAAGTAGGGTTGTCAAAATATAAAAAATCGGATACAGTACTAATCAATACTAAAAGTTATTCAGAACTGGATACTCATTTGAGCAGGTATCAATACTAACAGTCATATTCACAATAATCTTTAACTGAGTCAAGTGTAAGAGCACATACAGTCCCTGACAAAAGTCTTGTTGTTTATCCATTTTGTAGAAACAAAAGCTTATAACATGACTTTAAATTAATCGATTGATTTTAGAAATGTCTCATATGAAAGCTAAAACCCTCCCAAATTATGCTCAATATACTAAAATAAATTTGCTTCACTGAAGAAAGATTGATCATTTAATGAACACAGAAAGGTCAGATTTTGGCAAGACAAAAGTCTTGTCGCTTTGTCATATGATGCACCCAATCCTAGATTACAGCCTCACCTGTGATCAGTTACTGATCAATCAATTAGTGGGTGTGTATAAAAAGAACCCAGCACACCAGACCTTCACATCAACTGCAACTTGACCTCTGACAACATGCCTAAGATCCACCCTGAGACCAAAGCGTTAATTATCAAGAGGCTGAAGACCAGATCCACTGCTGAGGTGGTGACACCTTCAATGTGTCTCAGCGTCAAGTACAAAGAATAAGAAAAAGATCTGAAATGACTGGAGATGTTTTTGACGAGCCCAGGTCCAGCAGACCCCACAAGACAACTGCTCAGGAGGACCGTTTGTTGGTTCAAAAATCCAAGACCAGCCCCTTTTCCACTGCAGCAGACTCCACCAGGCCTGGTCACCTCAAGTCCCTGTGTCAACCACAACAGTTTGTAGAATTCTGTCTCGAAATGGCCTCCATGGTCGAATCAGTGCACAGAAACCAGCACTAAACAAAAGGCAATTAAAAAACCGTGTGGCGTTTGCCAAGGCCCACAGCCTGCTAAAAGGATGGACACTGGAAAAGTGGCAGAAGGTGGATTTCTCAGATGAATCCTCGGTTGAATTACATCACAGTTGCCACAAATATTGCAGGAGACCTACTGGAGCCCGCATGGATCCAAGATTCACCCAGAAAACAGTTAAGTTTGGTGGTGGATAAATCATGGTCTAGGGTTACATCCAGTATGGGGCTGTGCGAGACATTTGCAGGGTGGAAGACAATATCAATAGCCTAAAATATCAAGAAGTATTAGCTCCTCTTACATTCCCAACCATAAAAGGGGTCAAATTTTGCAGCAGGATGGTGCTCCATCACATACTTCTATCTCTACATCAAAGTTTCTCAAGGCGAAGAAGATCAAGGTGCTCCAGGACTGGCCAGCCCAGTCACCAGACATGAACATCATTGAGCATGTCTGGGGTAGAATGAAAGAGGAAGCATGGAAGGCAAAACCAAAGAATCTTGATGAACTCTGGGAGGCATGTAAGATGCTTTCTTTGCTATTCCTGATGACTTCATCAACAAATTGTATGAATCATTGTTGAACCGCATGGATGCAGTCCTTCAAGCTCATGGAAGTCATACAAGATATTAAATATGGATCTCACGGCACCACTACTTAATTGTTATGTTATGCAACATATTTTTGTATTTGAAGTAAATTATTTGTTCAGTTTTCTGTAGGCGACAAAACTTTTGTCTTGCCAAAATCTGACCTTTCTGTGTTCATTAAATGATCAATATTTCTTCAGTGAAGCAAATTTATTTTAGTATATTGAGCATTATTTGGGAGGGTTTTAGCTTTCATATGAGACATTTCTAAAACCAATCGATTAATTTAAAGTCAGGTTATAAGCTTTTGTTTCTACAAAATGGATAAGTGACAAGACTTTTGTCAGGGACTGTAGACTAGTATACGCCCATGGACCACTATGCACCTACCAGGACCACTTTGGGATTACACACATATAAGACACAGAGCATAGAAAAGAAAGTACTACTTAATGTGGAAAATCACATTCTATTGTCTTAAGACTTGTTTTTTTTACTATTATTGTGGTATCGGAATTGGTACAGAGTATCGAGTCTACTCTTCAATATTGAAATCCATGTAGAAATGTTCATGACAACACTACATGGAGGAAAGGAATGTGGATAAAACTGACACCAGGTCAGTAAGGTATGGTGCATGTACCACAGTTTGAGAACCACTGCTCTTCTGAGAAACTATTGCTCTGAAAAGGCCAGATTTTAACAAAGCTTTTGCTGCTGTTTTTATGACTTGTCATGGGAAGGCAGCTGGCAGAGCACCTGTTGAAGTGTAAATAAGTCTTATCACTGGACATGAATACAAGGTCATGGTTTGGGTCTATATTATACTTTGATTTAACTTCAAAATCTGCATTGTACAATCAGTTTTCTGTAACTGAATGAAGGATTTACAAAGTGCTCAATGTCAGAACTATAAGCATTATGGAGAGAAAAGCACAAAAATTTAATTCAAAATAATAATAGAGGTTTATTATAATGTAGCATTAAAGGACCTGTAAATTGTGACTTTAGTTTTTAAATAATCTATGCTCCTTTCTGGAATTTAAACAGTATGAATAGTTAGTTTCACTGCAAAAAAGAATGCAAGATTTTAAATGAATCCTGATTTGAGTAGTTTCATAATGAAGACTGTTGACTGGTTCATTTGAGATATCTCTTTATTTTACCTCTAAACTACTCCAGTCTGGATTTATATTCTGAACTCATGTCATTTAACTAATCATAAGTAACACTGCAAAAAGTACTATCTATGTGAGAATTTCTTTTCTTAATTATCTACTAAGGGATTGCAAAGGATTTTTATCTTTAAAGCCACAGTATGTATCTTTCTGGCTACATTTTATTTTTTCATCTGGTCTTTAAAGCACTGAAAACATAGTAATTCATGCATCTGCATTACTGCAGGTGGGCTTGCATCTCCACAAACCTGACTCTTAGTTGGCCTTTGAGAATGGAATCAGGCAGGTGAAGTTACATACTGTGCTGATTCTTTGTCTCACTCAAATTAAGGTCAAAGTTCATGTTATTTTTGTTATTTGAAATATTAGAAATGGGAAATTATGTTCTTTTCCCCACACAAAAGCAGAGCAAACAAATGTTGACCAATTTATTTTAGGTTAAAGAGATTAGAAATGTTTGGTTATATATAACTTTTTTACAGTGTACTCATCCATTTGCTCAGAACCGGATTTTTTTGATTATACTTTATTTGAGTGAAATTTCATTGTGAATATTGTTTGCAAATTGAATTGTATTGTCCATGGCTTTAGTGTGTGTCTGTTTGGAAAAAGCCAGTTTAATTGTTTGATTCTAACACATTTTACTTGACGTCAGTGGACACAGAGCAGCTTCAGTTTGATGCCTTCACTTTTTGTTGTTGTTGTTGTTGTTGTTGTTGTTGTTTTTTTATGTCAGCATTCCCATGCTCCATTGTGTTTTTATGTTTGATTTGTAGGGAATATTGTGATGCCAGAAGTCTCACAATAATCCTTAATGTCATTGTAAAACTCCTGGGTCTAAAATGCATTACTTTGCTGCAGACTAAAATACTAGACACCATTAACTGGCCAAGGCTGCTGAATACACACGTCTTTAATACTTTACAAAGATGTGAGTCCATCCGTATCAAAGCAGATGTGGCTGCTTACAAGGAAAAAGGAAAAAGAAAATCATTCATCACTGAGACAAAGAAATGTGATTGGACGGCCTTGTTTGGTTCTGTCTCGATACGCTACAGAGGATGTGAGGACCAAACTGATGTCCCTTTGTATAAAACACACCGAGATCCATGAGTCTGGACTTGCCAGATGATCTGTTGATGATACTGTGACTAGTGGTTCATTAATTGGCAAACTCTTCATGGATGTCACTACAATGAACCTCCCGCAAAATCATAAATAAGTGTAGCACTTTGTGGGTTTAATATTACATTCCTAATCATTTATATCATTTTAGTTTTGTTTTGCTTTGTTTGGTTTTTGGTTCATTCAAAATAAGACAATCATCCAAACATGAGTCTTTTTCAAACTCTTTGACTCTGGAGATGATGACTTTAGACTTTTAGAAGTTGGCCTGAAGAAATTGCTCTCATGATACTGTAGTTTTTACAGTAGAAATGAAGTAACGGGGGTATCTTGGTATCTATTTCTATTGAAATTAATTTCAGTAGTAATGTACTTTGACTGTTTTGGTAATGCTTTGTCTCGCCACTATTCCATATCCTCTAGTTAAAATGCTTAAGCTGTTGATTTTAGCTGAATGTAACTGAGCCTTAAATAGTTTTGTTTTTATTTGTACTGTTCACTCGACGATTGTTTGTGAAAAACGTTTGTCTCCTGGTATTCTAGTTTGAGCCAAATGCTGATATCACAGGCCAGTGCTTTGTGTTGATGCCTTTCTGTGAAGCAAGAGTCGGATGCTGTTTATGTCATTTTATTTGTTTATTTGTAATAAAATAATTTTGTTTGGTTATTGGTGTCTGTTTCTTTGACTGTTTCTTTGTAAATGATTAGAGGGCCCTCAGGGCTAAGAGAGGGGAGACCAAACTGACTGAGGGTGCATTTTTAGTTTCCAAGGGTGCAAAGGTGATACTTTTCCATTGTCATTATTTGGCCCACCTCCACTGAGGGGGCAAACCTTTCTGAATGAGTTTGCAGTGCACCCTTTTGCACCCCTGTGTTACAGATGACATCACTAAATTCCAGTAATAATTAGCTAAAACGAGTCTTGTTCAAATGCAGATGTGTGTTTTAATATAGTGAGCTCCTGGGTCTAGTCATTAATAGAAATGATCAGGCTCAACATTTGTAAATTTACCTTCTGGAGATTGCATGGTACAAAGTACAATTTGTCTCTGATTCCACCTTTGAGTATCATCACATTCTAGAATCTGAAAACCATCAATTAAACAACACCTAAACTATATTTACTCAACCTGAAAAATACACAGAGCAAAAAGTGACTGAAAAATTCCTAAATATGGACACAACCACTGGTGTTGATGTTGAAGTCTAAATAATAGATATATTTTTGTTTATTTTGTGTCAGTTTATTTTTAGTCAATGTATTCAGTTTTAGTTTATTTGCTTGTTTGTTTTTTAATGAACTGAATAATTTTACACTCTAGAGGAAGTGACGCAGCGGAAGTAGTCCAAAGGTGAAATCATGGAGGCTCCTTAAACTTCAGCTTCTCTTTGCTCCACGCCGAGAATCTTCACCGAATAACACGCGATTGACCACTTTAACCCCGCCGTGCACTGTCCACATGTCCCCGGACCTGTCCCGTTGAGTGTGAGAGACAAGGTGAGCTCAGTTTAGTAAAGAACCCGTAAACACTGACAGTGTTAGCACAGTTAGCACCAAGCTAACACTAGCAAACAAGAGGCAGTGTGTGCAGGAGTTCACCGAAGAGTTGTTTTAAGGATTTTGGAATTATTTAAAGCCTCAGTATCCACCATATTTGAACCGTATGTCTTAAGCGTGACAGAAAACACACCAGTTTAACTGATTGTGCAATCATTATATTAAATCGAAACCATTTAAGCGTTGGTAGTTGTGGTTCCTATTTCTTGTTTATCAAACTTCATCCGTCCGGTAAACACAAAATGTCTTTAGAATATTGTAAATTTTCTGACAGTAAAATGTACATACATTCCTCTTGCCGATGTGGATAAGAGCCAGTGGCCCTGTGTTGATTTTATGATATTATAATAAGAAATAGACAAAAGTTAAGTGTACAAATGTTCAATCTAACTCTCGCGTTTTGCCATCGGGACACTGAATGCTCTTAACTACAATACAGAGAGAACAGGTGAAAAGTGCCCGTCTGAAGTCCAAATGTCAGACCGCTAGAATGTTAGATTACATTGCAAGTGATTAAGTCTTAACAATATACACGTGTCGTGTACAGTATGATGTTGGTTCATACGAGCGGAGCATCATCAACATGCTACAAGAGACATTTTACCTGCTTTCATGAACTTTACAGCCATCAAATGATGGCTATTGGTGTTAATAACATTTTGATTTTGACACTAAGGAATACCACGATGATAGTAAAAAAACACTTTATTTAGACAATAGAATGTGACTTTCCACATGAAATGGTAGTACTTTCTTTTCTATTCCCATGTGTCTTATATGTGTAATCCTCAGTGGTCCATGGGTGTGTACTAGTCTATGTGCTCTTATACTCTTATACTGATACAGCTCAAGATCATTTTAAAGACATTCAGGAAAGCTGCATTTCTGTCCTGTCATTGAGATTTTTTAAATATCGGTACCTGCCTGCTCAAAAAAGTATTTTAGTGTTGATTACTATTACTATGTGATTTTCAGTACTTTATACAACCTAATATCTGTTTTTATCTGTATGGTTGAATTTGTGATGTTCTCTGAAAACTCAGTCATGTATTTGAGCATGAGTGACATACTGTGAACTGTGAAACTACAGAGAATCCTGTGTATTTCAGAAACATGTTTGTAGAAGTTTACGGGTTTAGTATAGTAGGTTTTCTTCAGGGAGGTTTGTTATTTGCAGTGGATGTAAACCAAGTTCATTTCAGCCTTCACCATTTGATAAATGGCCCCCTTCTGCCATAGAAAATATAAATATAGAAATAGAAATAGAAAATTAAAATTAATATTAATTATTTTAAAATATTAAAAAAAGTGAACAAGAAAATACATGCTATTTTCACCATAAAAATAGGTTGATACTGCAAAAGTCAATAATGCTATCAGGTCCCCAAATTTTGTCCAAAGAAGGGTGGATGGACCATGTAAAAATTTTCATCGTTTTGAGGAAAGAATTATACAATTGATAAATACAGTGAAAATGTATCCCTAATCATAGAATCACCCTTACAATGTACTGATGTGGTGAAGTCATATTTCAGCCCTTTATGTAGGTAATTTCACAATACTTTCACATTTTAAGCCCGACTAGTACTTTTAAAGCTATCTGTAAGTTCTCTCTTCTATCAGGCCAAAGCTGCACACTGTCAGATTGCAGTAATGTACATAGCATCTAGTGGTGATATGTGAGAATACAACAACAAGGCTGATTACAAAAGGTAGCTTTAAATCAGACCTATTCTGCAAAATCGATTTTGTGTTTTGTTACCCATGTTATAGTTGTTTCCCCTTCTCATTTACCGATCTGAAGGTGTATTTGGAGTGATTCTTGCATGTTTGACTAATCTTTAATAATTTTCTTTATTTTTAAGATGCCATGTTGCCGATCAACTCTTGTTTTCACTGGCACACACCCACTGCTCTGTACTTACTTCATTCTTCATTTTTATTTTCTTAATCATTAACACTTGTAGAAGTCGGCCTTGTTGCATTCTGATACAATGATAAGAAAATGCTCTGCTCTAGTGTGATGTGCAGCCATAGACTGTATATAATAAGTGGATTAAGCGAGTGTCACGTCACCTACAGCGCTCAGAGCTGCTCAAATGAGGCTCACGATGCTCATGGTTACAGGAGCCAATCTGGAGCCAGGCTCTATGCTATGAATAGGATTTTTTTTGACAGATAAAATGGTGAGAAAAAAAAAATCAGGATCATGTAGAGCGGGTTAATACAAACATTTTAAGACCAAAATGACGAGGCTCACTGCAGCAGTTACAGAGAGAGAGAGACCAGAAGGTCCAAATGTTGGTCAGTTGGAGCCGGAGTCAGAAGGAGCCAGAAGAGCCTCCTGGTGAACTAACTGTTTGGCACACGGCGACTACAGCGTTAGCCATGTCCACTCATATATACGGTCTATGTGCAGCTCTCCATAGGAGGGGCCCAGAGCATGTGATGCTTTGTTGTCATGATGTTTGTGGTGGCGTCAATTTGGACATTGGTTACCACAGTTTTCTAATGTGGTCTGCAGACTTTTATTAAGTCCTTTTAGTCAGAGATTAGAACTATAGAGCACACACAATACAATAGGTCTGCTTTAAAGGTACTTTTAGGTACATTCCTTTTGGATTATTTGTGAATAGTGTTATTGGAATTTCAGATATTTCCTTTAGTGATGGTCCCTCCTCTGCTTAATCCCTGTTGTGTTTCCTGTCTTCAGGTGAGTGGAGTATGATGGACGTGAGTTGGACTCCGCCCCCTCAGGCGTTCAAACGCCCGAGCACCGCGGCCGACACTCTGACACGTCTCGCCAGTTTCATTGCCCGTGCCGAGTCCAAAACCGCTCTGAGCCGAACCCACCAGTTGCCACAAGCTCCACAGTCTGCCCCAAACCTGCCCTACACCTGCAGCGAGTGTGGCGTCACCTTCACCTACGCCACCGAACTCTTAACGCACCAGGACTCACAGCACACACTACCAAAACCACACCAATGTCCACACTGTTTACAAGAATTCTCTTTAAAATCGTCTTTACAAATACACAACTGTGGAGGTTCCTCTCAGCTTTATCACGGACAAGCTAGCAACAGTCCGACTTATGCTACGTCACTGTCAAACATCTCTGAAAATCCCATAGAGGACTTAGCAGGTACTCAGCACCATGTTGTAGACACTAACCCATTCGCCTGCGCTCCATGTGGGCAAACTTTCACTCAAAAACAAGCTCTGTTGCACCACCAGCAGACAGGATGTGACACTACACCATCTCCCCCGTGCTTGGACAATCTAGAAAGCCCTGCCTTAGGCTCTCCACTCCTTTCTGAAGAAGATTCCTCCTCTTCGAATTCCTTATATGCTCCAGACACGGAAAGCGCTTGTAAGTTTTGCTCAAGAACTTTTCGGAATGAGGCAGCGTTCCATCGGCATACGAAATTGAAAACATGTGATCAGAAGGAATCATGTGAAAGTTCCAATGGAGAAGATGCTAAATCTGGAAAGCTGTCCAAAGGCGGTTTTAGCTGCCGATCGTGTGATATGGTTTTTAACTGCACTGCAAAACTATACATGCATCGCAAAGAGAAGCATAGCAGAGGGATTAAATACATTATCGAACCAAGACCAGTGGTTAAAAGACACAGAAGACCCAACAATAGCACTTACACTTGCCAAATCTGCAGCAAAGTCTTCTTCCACCATCTGTCTCTATGGGCGCATACCAAAAAACACCCAGCATCTGCCCAAGAAATAGTGAAAATGTGAAAAGTAGCTCAGCTAAAGACACTACTGAAGCTTGTACATTGTTAGAAAATCCAGATTTGAACAAAAAAGTCGCACCGCTTAAACTGACTATTCGGAAAAACGTTTGGACAAAGGAAGCTCCACCACAACCACATCAAAAAATTAAACTCAAAACTACTTTCAAATCGATAAAACTTCAACAACAAGTGCCTGAAGGAGAGGATGATAATGAGGAAGAGGATGAGGAGTTTCCATGTCCGTCATGTCCCGAAGTTTTTTCTCAGCTTTCTGATTTGAAGACTCACTCGGAATTGCACCAGACCGCGGTGAATAGGGGTAAATGCAGTGTGTGCGCTTGTGAAATGGACTCTTCCAAACGCACAGGAGCAAAAAGGATTCGACTGTACCACTGCTCTCTGTGCCAAAGGGGCTTTTCAGCACTGGAGCTGTTTCTGTCACACTGTCAAGACCATCTAAAGGCCCGAGTGGAGGAGGATAGACTCAACGGAGCCACCACAGACACATAACACACGCTCAGGGTTGGGAGATGGGGCAAAAATGTTACAAAAACATCCTTTGTTTTGTTTTTTTTACCTCCTATTTCACAGTTTGTCTTATTAAAAACAAATAGAAATGGTTTGCAATTCTACTTTTCTGAACCTAAACAATGCAGACTTTTAGTTAGGGCTGTGTAAAATTTCAAATTGTGATTTTTGTAATGTCTGTTTAAATAGGATTCTGTTGAAAGTTCACATCTACAAGAACTGACAAAAAGACTGAAATATAAACTGACAAACTAATACAAGAAACACGCTTCAGAACATAGTATTTTGTTGCTTAGGGAGGAAATTATATTACTGAAAAAATTGCAACATTCGCTAATTGCATCAATTACAATTTTGACTCAATTTCAATTAATATTGCAGCCGTACTTTTAACTATGGCAAAGACCAAGCACCCGAATGAACCAAAACAAACATGGTGATGCAGACAGACATACTTCAGACTATTTGAGTGAAAACACACACTATAGTTTGTGAAAATGTAGAGAAGTGTAGGAAGTGCTTTGTGCATTTGTGGACAGGGAAGATGTGTGTGCTTTTCTCAACTCGATTTAAGTCAAGTTTGATTTTTTTTAAACTTATTTCGCTGATGTGATGCTTCAACCACCTGGGTATCCAGTTAAAAACAGGGGTAGAAATAATATTTCTGCAAATTTGTGTGTACATTTTACAGTCCATTCTTTTTTTTTATGATACTTGAACCTCAACCAAGATTTTTACAAGCTCATTTTGATAGATTTTCTTTAGGTTTGCCATAATATTGTCTGAACACTGATGTTTTCATTTTTGGCTCTGTGGCACACCTCTGAATTTAGAGTTTTAAAGATACACTGCTCATTCTTTGAACTACACTAAGTGAAATGTTCTTTTTCCCAAATAGATGTAACAGAATAAAGGGTCAAAGATTATCTTTGTTTTTCATGACTTACTGGTAAATGGTACATAACTGGTCTCAGTCTGTTGAATTATTTTGTCTACAAAGTAACTGTCTAAAAGCTACAAAAAGACTTGATTTAAAGGTGCACAAGTGTTCAAATTCTAGAATGTCATGGTTTTATACTCACAGATGGGGGTACGAGACAGATTTCCCTATTTACATTCTACTTTGTCATGAAATTGCCAGAAGGTAAATGCACAAATGTTGAACCTGATCATTTATATTTGTGACAAGACCCAAAAATCGGCATTTGAACAAGACTCATGTTCTCTGTGTTAAATATGATTGGCCTATTGGACTGTTGCGATGTTATCTGAAACCCCTCAATGCAGATTTCTGTAGTCAACTATTGGTAGTGTCTAGGTTCTAAAATGCAATGATGTCTTGCTCCCAGATGGGGGCAAAAGTCAATTCACCCTATTTACGACCTCGTATTTTGTCATGAAATCTCCAAAAGGTAAATTCACAAATGTTGAACCTGATCATTTTTATTATTTACTAGACATAAGAACGTGGCTGTGTTATAACAGAAATCTGCATTTGAACAAAATTAAATTTATCTGCCCCGTCTGTATTAAATAATGATCACCTATTGAATGTTGTGTGTCATCTAAACCACAGCAATTGTCATGATAAAAGAAACATGGACCACTTAATCTGAATATGTAAATTTGAATAACACTGATGAATACTTATTTCAATGTGTGTACATTCACTGCTAGTGTTTGAAAACTACTGACTTTGTGTGAAATAGATCCACTTTTCAAGATTTTTACATTTGTTTTATTAAAAGTTATTGTTGCAATGTTGTGTTTTTTCTCCCTTCACATAGTGCAGAGTAGCTGTGTGAAAAGTTTGATATTAAAACTCACTGACCATTTGAATATGAATAGAAATACATTGTGTTGTGTTCACGTGACATCAGTACTTTGCAGTATTCTTGTAGTTTAACCTGAGCTGGAGGACAGGTCAGAATCTTCAGGTGGAGTTTACTGTGGAACTGTCAGATTGCAGATTGGTTGACCTGGTTTATGGTTCATATCTCTGTCATAACTCGGCCTATCTACATGTTACAAAATTGACAGTTCAGTCTTCTTTTAGTACTAGAGTTTCAGACAGAGCAGAGCCTACAGTTAGCTTCACATCCCCAGTGAATATTGATGACATCAGCTACAAAGTACAGAAGTTTTTTTGGTACATTTTTTTAAAAATCAGTATCTCCGTTCCCCCTCTCCGCTGACAGGGGGCGACACTCCTGATTTGACTCTCTCTTCGTCACTTCCGGCTCCGTAGCACGTTTTCCTTCCGCGTTTTTGTGAAACGCTTTGCAGACGCGTTTATTTTGCTTTTGAAACCCTTCTGGTCTCCAAACAAAGACAAAATGAGCAAAGCGCACCCTCCCGAGCTTAAGAAGTGAGTATTGTGTTCATGCCGCTTTAGATGTTTGATATTTGTGTGTCAGATCTGTGAAGAGATCCTTTTTTAGAGGAGGCATGAGCCTTTAGCATTAGCACGTAGCATCAGCCATTCATTGCCTTTGAGTCTACAGTAAAGTGTTTTGTTTTTCAGGTTTATGGATAAGAAGCTCTCGTGTAAGTACAGAACCCTCCGTGCATGTGTGTGTTATTGGCGTTCTATTTAAATAAAACAGATTTCTCCTGGTCAGTCCCTGTGCAGGAAACCGAACAAAACCCTTTGTCGTGTACATAATATCATCCATATCCATAATACACCAGTTCAAATGGCCGACCTGTTTTTTTGTCAGTTCAAAACATAATTTGCCCAAGTCCAGTGGTGTCACCTCACACATGTTCAGCGTGTTTGAACATAAAAATATAAGGCTGCTGGCTGCTAACATTCGGTCTTATCAAGGGTTTTAGAGCAGATTGTCTGTACAACATGAAGAGTCATACACAACATTATGACCCTCTATACTTCAGATAACAGTGTTAAACCTGAGGCTGGACCACATGAAATACAAATGCACAGAATTTAGTGTATATTTCGTTAAGTATTACAAAATTATGCTTCAATTAATAACAAGTCATTGAACTGTAATAGAATGATGTCACTGATCATGTCTCACAATTACACTGATGTACATAAAAAATTTTTCCTGAAATCTGCCTGTTTCTCATGGAATGGCTCCGTATGCATTCTCTGGACAAATGACTAAGAATTCGATGTGTCAGTTTGAGGTGTGAAACATTATTTCATTATAGCAGGTCATCCGATGGAGACACACAGCTCATCTTGGGCTTCATCTGAAGCTGATAAATTGGGCAGGTTTTCTATCAACATGTGAAACTGTAATTCCATGCCCATGTGTCACAATCAGTTAGTTTGTGGAGGGGATTTTTGCTCGAGAATGGGATTTTTTTTATATTTATTTCTATAAATAACCTAATAACAAATATACAGAAATACATAAACCCATACAAGGTTATATTGTCGTATTCCTTGTTATGTCAGGATTATTTGTTCCACATTTCACTTTGTGACACTCTAGGCAGCACTTTCAACAGACTGATAATTTCACAAAAGATGGGTCCTACAAAAGGGCTTTTGGGTCCTGAGATGGGACAGGGCCGAGTTGAAACAAAAGACCCCAAACTCATAATGTCCTGAGGTGCGCACTAATGAAATAAGTCACAGTAAGAAAAAGGTAAAGTAATAATTACAGTAGAGGGGTCTGTCTCACGGACTATTATAGATTTGTGAAATTCATTCACTATTTGTGATTAAGGAGACCAACCTGCTTAGCCCTTATTTTTAATGCATTTACTAAAGAGATAGACCTTCTCTGAAAACAAGCTTTAAAAACATTACAAAAACAGACAGATCCCGCCATGGCCATGTCCTGCAGAAATACAAGCTACTGAAATGGACCTATCTTATTAAGTTGAACAGCATCTGCCTGATGTATAGATTCATCATGTCTCTGCTCTTCCTCCACTGAGTGACTTTGAAGTGTAGATCCAGGGAGTGAGCAGAGGGGCGGTGAAGGCAGACTCCCTCAGAACTTCCCAACAGTGCACATATTTCACCCGCAGTTTAATTTGATCATTGTGTAGTGATTTTTCTCTATTTTGGTGTAGAATGAGTCAATAATTCTGCAGAGCCAAGCACAACTCAGCTTGTAGTGCCAGAGGTTTTGTAGAAAATAACTGAAAAAAGATTAAATTGTTTGAAAATGTTATAGTACTTTGTCTTTTCAAATACAACAGTTCCTCTAAAAATCCTGATTAACTGGGACGTGTCACCCGGTGTTTCAGATTTCTCTATAGCTACTGATACTTTGTGGCTACAGCATGCTGGGGGGTGTTCTGCATGTATGTGTATGACAGAACGTGCATCAGTTACCATGGTGACACAATGCTCACAGTAGCAAACAGTTGACAGAATTTAATTTATCCTTGCTATGTCTGAAAACTAACAAAAAACAAAACATAATGGACCACAACACATTTTCAGGAGTGTGTGTGATCAGTATGAGGGTTCAGTTGCAGTTAGCATCACTTCCCCAGGGAATGTTGATGACATCGGCTGCAAAGTTTCAGTATTCCCTGTTCTCGTCACACTGACTGTAGCTCGTGTGTTTGTGTCTCAGTGAAGTTAAACGGGGGCAGACATGTCCAGGGGATTCTCCGCGGCTTTGACCCCTTCATGAACCTGGTGGTGGACGACTCTGTGGAGATGGGACCTGGAGGACAACAGAACAGCATCGGCATGGTGGTGAGTAGAGAGATACCGATATATCGGTTACTGATAGATTCGGCCAATGTTTGGCCTTTTTAGCGTATTTGTTATAGTCCTTGTATCTCCTGCACATGACATTTTATTTTTGTCTATCTGCTGCCTAAAAATCCACACAAAGCATTATTTTAACTAGGGCTGGGCAAAAATAAAAAATATTATTTGCATTAATCACATGAGTCCCTGTGATTAATCATGATTAATCGCACTTTCAGTGCAGTTTGTCAATTTCTATTTTTTTAATTTTTTTTTACTTTTCTGAACAAAGCCAGTTGCTAAGGCATACAAGAATATTATTATTATCAGTAAGAGTCAGTCGCTGGCACCGGATTCTCACGAAAGAAAAGTGAGACTGGGGGTGGGGGTGGGGGATTGCGATGAAGAGCGATGGACTGTGCGGTGGTGCCCCTGCAAGCTTGGTACCCTCCACGCCGTGCATAATGTGTGTGTGCGGAGCGACGACTGTGACATGTTGCTTCTCAAGTGGTCGGCCGAAGCCTCGCTCCACTTGTTTCATTGAATGACTGCATTTAGATGATATTTCAAACTTATGAATCTCCGGTGATAAGACAATACAGCGTTGCAGTGTTACTACCAATGACTTTGTGTCGACTGCACCGTCTAGAAAAACTTTAAAACGAAAATGGCCATGTTGTCCATATTTGTTTATTCTGCTTTCTTTCTCTGTTTTCTGGGAGCGTTGCAGCAGCAACATTCTAGGCTCACACACGATGGACTTTTTCAAAATAAAATCCAGTGAGCAACAGATGTTTACAATAAAAAAATAAATAATAAAAACTGCATTAATGGGAGAAAAATAATTGTCGGAGATAATGAATTAGTTAATGCAAAATTAACACATTTTAACACTTTAATACAAAGAGATAATGGCATAAAGTGGGTTAGGTTTGTGGTACATTTTAAATTAAATAATCAGAGTTTATCTACCATTGTTTCCTTGGGATTCTAAACAAACATCGGACATGGAAAAATAAATAAATCAGCCTAAGTCAGATGCCCTCCCACCCTCCTGTATTCCTGTGTGTCAGATGCCCTCCATTCCTTCTATATCCCTGTTGTGTTTATCTGAGATGGTGGTGAGGAAAACAAATGTATCCCTAACCCGGTTCTACTGTGCACCTGAAAGTGTTTCAGATGAAATCCTGGCATTCAGGGGCAGTGTGACTAATCACTCATGAAAGTGATCAGGTTTGACATTGTGAGTTTTCTATTATGTTGTGTCAAGGACAGTATGTGTATGTCCCTCTCACATGGAGCTGGAGCCAATACATGTTCAATCAACTCCTTTCATTTTTCCTCTGTATTTAGCCAACCATAAAACATTTTACTTGGCCTCATCTCAGTCTAACACTATATGGGAGGATGGGAGGGCACTGGCACACAGGGATATAGGAGGAGGGAAATACGATTCTTTTACTGACACAGAATCAGCTATAGATCTCAATTAAAAGTAGATTAAGTGTGGAGTATTTGTACAAGGGCTTTGAAGTGAAAGTCCTCCATGTCTAATACAGTTGTGTCTGTTGTTGTGTCCCTCAGGTGATCCGAGGAAACAGTATCATTATGGTGGAGGCTCTGGAGCGAGTATGAAAGAAAGAAACTACAATGTTTTTTTTTTTTTTTTTTTTAAGTTTGTCAAAGATCTGTTCATGTCTCTAACGTCTCTGAGGCCACTGTTTGTACATTTGAATTGTTTTTTTGTGAAATAAACCTTTCTTTGTATACGTGTCATTTATTTAAGATGAATGTTTATGAAAGGAGTTTATTTCAGGTTTAGTTCTCTGTGTAAGACAAAGGCTCTTCCATACGTCTATTGTTGACTTTAGTTTAAGCCTTTTCTAAACATTCATTCCAGGTATACACTACCTAATCTCTTACCAGCTGGTTTAGTCAAGGAAATGAGGCCAATCTGCCAATGATCTACCATAACCAATAAACAAGCACATTTGATTCAACCTGGCGACCAGACCAATATTTGTGAGTTTAGACCTGGTTTTATTATTTATTTTAGATTAAGTAATGTAAAAATAAACTTGTTACATTGCCAACAGAAAGGTTTCTACATTAGTAGCTTTGCTCACTGTGGGAAAAGTGGTCAAAGCTTAAGTATGCTCAAAAGACAATGACTTAGAAGTTGTACAGTCCCTGACAAAAGTCTTGTCACTTATCCATTCTGTAGAAACAAAAGCTAATAACCTGACTTTAAATTAATCGATTGGTTTTAGAAATGTCTCATATGAAGCTAAAACCCTCCCAAATTATGCTCAATATACTAAAATAAATTTGCTTCACTGAAGAAATATTGATCATTTAATGAACACAGAAAGGTCAGATTTTGGCAAGACAAAAGTTTTGTCGCCTACAGAAAATTGAACAAATAATTTACTTCAAATACACAAATATGTTGCATAACGTGGTGAATGAAGTAGTGGTGCTGTGAGATCCATATTTAATATCTTGTATGACTTCCATGAGCTTGAAGGACGCATCCATGCGGTTCAACAATGATTCATACAGTTTGTTGATGAAGTCATCAGGAATAGCAAAGAAAGTGTCTTACATGCCTCCCAGAGTTCATCAAGATTCTTTGGTTTTGCCTTCCATGCTTCCTCTTTCATTCTACCCCAGACATGCTCAATGATGTTCATGTCTGGTGACTGGGCTGGCCAGTCCTGGAGCACCTTGATCTTCTTCGCCTTGAGAAACTTTGATGTAGAGATAGAAGTATGTGATGGAGCACCATCCTGCTGCAAAATTTGACCCCTTTTATGGTTGGGAATGTAAGAGGAGCTAATACTTCTTGATATTTTAGGCTATTGATATTGTCTTCCACCCTGCAAATGTCTCACACACCCCCATACTGGATGGAACCCCAGACCATGATTTATCCACCACCAAACTTAACTGTTTTCTGGGTGAATCTTGGATCCATGCGGCTCCAGTAGGTCTCCTGCAATATTTGTGGCAACTGTGATGTAATTCAACCGAGGATTCATCTGAGAAATCCACCTTCTGCCACTTTTCCAGTGTCCATCCTTTTAGCAGGCTGTGGGCCTTGGCAAACGCCACACGGTTTTTTAATTGCCTTTTGTTTAGTGCTGGTTTCTGTGCACTGATTTGACCATGGAGGTCATTTCGAGACAGAATTCTACAAACTGTTGTGGTTGACACAGGGACTTGAGGTGACCAGGCCTGGTGGAGTCTGCTGCAGTGGAAAAGGGGCTGGTCTTGGATTTTTGAACCAACAAACGGTCCTCCCGAGCAGTTGTCTTGCGGGGTCTGCTGGACCTGGGCTCGTCAAAAACATCTCCAGTCATTTCAGATCTTTTTCTTATTCTTTGTACTTGACGCTGAGACATATTGAAGGTGTCACCACCTCAGCAGTGGATCTGGTCTTCAGCCTCTTGATAATTAAGGCTTTGGTCTCAGGGTGGATCTTAGGCATGTTGTCAGAGGTCAAGTTGCAGTTGATGTGAAGGTCTGGTGTGCTGGGTTCTTTTTATACACACCCACTAATTGATTGATCAGTAACTGATCACAGGTGAGGCTGTAATCTAGGATTGGGTGCATCATATGACAAGGCCACAAGACTTTTGTCTTGCCAAAATCTGACCTTTCTGTGTTCATTAAATGATCAATCTTTCTTCAGTGAAGCAAATTTATTTTAGTATATTGAGCATAATTTGGGAGGGTTTTAGCTTTCATATGTGACATTTCTAAAACCAATCGATTAATTTAAAGTCATGTTATAAGCTTTTGTTTCTACAAAATGGATAAGCGACAAGACTTTTGTCAGGGACTGTATGGTGACTGCATTAAATGAAAAATGAGCAGTAAAAAGAATAGTTTTTAAAGACCTAATATTAAGCAAAATGGATTCTTGTGGACTTTTAGCTGTTTTAGAATGTTATATCCTCAAAAACATACCTGGAGTTGTGTTTTGTTTAGACTGACCAATTTTTCAAAATAAAAAACTGGGACATCCCTGGTTTGTGGTGGTTGGTGATAATAAAACTGTGAAATGAGTGCATAATTAAAGAAAACTTCTGCACTCAGCACTAATGTGAGTCAGTATAGTCACATTTTCTTTGTGTTTTGGTTATTTTAAGCAGCTTTTCTATATTTTATCAAAACAAATGACAGTTTATGCCTCTCTTTAATGTTGGCAGGTTTCAGATTGTTCAAAAATAGGGACACCTGAGACATTTCTTGCATAAAACTGGGACAAATCACTGTTTTTGCATAAATCTGCTGGGACACAGAACTCAAAACTGGGACTATCCCGGGGAAAGGGGGACGTCTGGTCACACTAGTTTTGTTTTATTCCAGTTTTTAGGCAAACAACAAGGGATACATCATTAAGGCCTACTCTTGCTGCCTCTCCTGTCACCTGGCAAAACCACAGGCCCACCCTGGTGCACTTTGGTCTATGTGTAGCTCTTTTTTCCTCTAGGTGACCTATAGATTAAACTAAAACAAAAAAGGGGCTAATGTAAATAATACCAAATTAGACTAATCAAATTAACAACCATTTTAACATAGCAAAAGTATATTATGCAAATTAACTAAACTAAATTAGTAAACTAATTGACAAACAAAAATAAACAAATTTTAGAATAAGCACCTACAATATCAGCTGTAATGAATTAGTAAATGCAAATGAGAAGTGTAACGCTATACTGGGGAACATTCATAACAATGCAATAAGTTTAATCTAAACTTTCATCAGTTAATAAACCAATTAAGTAAACTTTAAAATTTGTGCTCGCTGCCTTTTGTGCTCTTATTGTGAAAATCTAAATTGTAGATGGTATTTTATTTTGAAGGCGTATTGCCGTCACGATGCACGTTGTCTCTACGTTGTTTTTACGGCGTGTGTCGTGATCGCTGACGTCGCGCGGTATGTGGAAAGTGGCAATGTCGGAGGAGGTGGGAAAGGCGATCCAGTCCGTGGCCGAGCGGGTGAAGCAGGCTGCTGCACGCCGGCAGAAGGTGAGTGCTGCCCGCGTACAGTGTGCTCCGTGTACCGCTGGTCCTCCGCCAGCGGCACGACCCATTACATAAGCCCCAGACACCTCAACCTTTGCACGGGGAAGGCTCTGCATGGCTCCCGGGCACAACTCCCATCACGCGTGGGTTCAATTACAGCGATTATTTCTTACAGTCACGTCAATTACAAATGTATTTCAGTGCATTTCTGTACAATGGGCTGATAGCTAACAGTAGTAGGTTTGACATATACTGGTGATCTGCCCTTAATTTTACCAAAACAACAAACAAAAATGCAGAAACGTGTGAAATATGCCTACTCCAGGACATAATGTGCTTCATACGTTTAGACCAGTGTTAAATTTAAGCTTTCTTCGCCTCACATGTAATTTTGTAGTGCCATACTTATTTTTTGTCAGTATAATATTAAATTGTGTGCATGAAAAAAGCTTCATTCAGGTTTGGTGTGACTGTGAGGCGTTCAGGGACGTAATTACCTTGAAAAGCCCCAGTCACGTTCTTGTCCCTCCTGGTGCGTTCAAGAAGCACATTTGTGATCGTAGATAAAGTCTTTTTATTTGTAGCACATTTAAATCAACCATAAAAAGCTGCACTAAAGCCTTCACAAGAAGCAAAAGCAAAACAGCGTGAGGACAACTACATAAAACATACTGTGTATTTTGAATATCAAGTCTATTTTTATCTTGTTTGAATGCATTTTTTCCCTATTTTTATTTGGTCATAGTTTAAATTATATTCTTTGTTTAAAGCATGGATTTATGGTTTAAAGTGGCACAATAACACAGAAAATTCCTGTGAATTTTGTTCACTGACAATGGCAATAACGAGACAAAAGACATATTCTGGAGATCATGATTTTATAAATGCATAATGCTTTGTTGTGTGTGGTTGTATTCTACATGTGTGATATAGGCTCTATTCACACTTACCGAAAGATGTTTGGAAACACACGGTTGATGACTTCCTGACACTGGGCATGTGATAAAACCATGGATTCAGCAGCAGCGTCTTCACAATTTGCCAAAACTTTCCACGGGGACGGGACTCTTATCGGGTCTTCATGTCACTCACAGACAGCTGGTTGGAACTGTTGATCTGCAGAACATAACGGAACACTACAATGACATATTTTTTATTATTATGATTAAGTTAGACAAATTATAATGCACAAATTAATAGGCAATTTTGTTGTCAGTGTTGTCAGTCTAGTGTGGAATATCTCTGTTTTTATGAGCTTTTTAGCTCTGTTTTCCCTCAAATAAAGACTAAAGCTGCCTGCTTCAGAGCGACATACAAGAGCTTTTACAAGCTTTAATGCTTCTTCTGTAGCCACAGCTGCCCCAAGGCAGTCTGATGGAAGTTAGGCTACCAGTGTGCAGTATCAGCCCTCCAACCACTCCCGACACAGGTGAAAAGTGTCTTGCCTAAGGACACAATGATACTGTACTGGATTGAGAATGATGGTTGAACACTTCGGCAATGGAGCTGCTGTGTGCCCAAATTAAACTAAACTATTAAAACTGAAGTTACAAGGAGACAAGGACCAAACCAGGCCCACATTCTGCCATGTTCTTTTGAAAAATGACCCTCTATTTCTCTCTGTCTTCTCAGACTCTGCCCTCTGTCTCTCCTCGCCTCGTCGCTGTCAGTAAAACCAAACCTCCTGAGATGGTGGTGGAGGCCTACAGGCACGGACAGCGCAACTTTGGAGAAAACTACGTGAGTAAAAGAAGTTTACAAAGAACTGTCAGTACGATATCAGTGAGAAAGGGCTATGGGGTTATCATGTAGTATGGGAATGGGTGGTTAGAAAGGCTCTTAGACAATAAAGGATGGGTCAAATGCAGAGAACTCAGAAAGAAGTGGATATTGTTCCCTCATCAAAAAACCATGTCATCCATTTGAGTAATTTAACGATTTCTTCTGAGCCCTATTTGAACTCTTAACTTCATGTTCAGTCCACAAGCCTATGTCCCTCATGCTCCCACACGACAATTCTCCATAAACATACAAAAACATGATACAAAACTGTACACAGCAACTTGACAAACCTGATGTGATGTGCAGTAGTTTCATGCACGCTGATTGTGTTGTGATAGCGCTCTGAAGGGGGAGTGACTTTTACGTTATGTCTATTATGTGTAGAGATTTACCCATATGCCTTTTTTCATAGCTGATGCCAACTGTTGAGCAACCAAATGATCAAATTAAAATATAATATAAACTCCTCCACAACTTTCTTTTACTACAACATGTGTAGAGGGCAGTGTAGTCACATTTTTGCAGCATCTTTTTAGACTAAGTGTTCAAACCAAGCTTTCTGCAGATATTTTTCATGCATTTTTAGGCAGTTGATTGAGCCAAACACAATATGGGCCACTGCTGGAGATTTAAGGCAGATAGCTCATTGAAAGGGGCAAATATCAGACCCATATACTGCTCTATTCCTAGTTATGTGTTAGCAGTGAACTAATTCACTTCTCCATTTTTGTGTCTCTAATTTCAGGTAAACGAACTCGTCGACAAAGCTTCAGATCCTCTTGTAAGTTTTCTATATACATTTTTTTTTTTTTTTTTCATGATTTATTTGCTCGCACTGACTGATTCTGTGCTTGTTTTCTGTTTAGATTTTAGAATCCTGTCCAGACATCAAATGGCACTTCATCGGACATCTTCAGAAAAATAATGTCAACAAACTCTTAGGTAAAAATATACAGTTCTAAATCCTATATATATATATATATATATATATATATATATATATATATATATATATATATATATATATATATATATATATATATATCCTATAATTATAAGTTTAGTCCATGAGAGACTACTGTCAACATCATGTGTTTTTAAAAGAATAATCTGACCATGTTTGGAGGCTGTAGAGCTCAGGAATGTGATATCACAACAGAATTTCTGAAACTAATGGAGATGCTAAATACTAGCCTAGTGATACATGTATTTACAGCGGTTTCTCAGGTGCTTTTGTTTACTTTTATACATTGTTTGTAAAATCCCCCAGCCATCCAGAGAGAATCCATGGCAAAGGAGAAGTTCAATTTGTCAAGAAAAAAAAAAATAAAGGTTTGTCAAAAGGTTTGTCTCCTGTACCACTTTTTAACGTTGTTTTGGTTCATATATCTCTGAGAGTCCACCTGGATTACTTTTGGTAAATATAAGGATAGTCTTAGCTGGTGTCACCGGGATAGTCTGGTAAACAGTAGAGTTTTTTTTATATATATACATCTATATTTTTAGAATTCTTTTCTTTACGTTATTACATCTATGTGTGTTTTTCTGTGTACACTTAGGAGTTCCAAACCTGTTCTTGGTTGAGACAGTGGACTCGGTGAAGTTGGCCGATAAAGTGAACAGTTCCTGGGAGAGGATCCGAGGAGGCAGCCCCCAAAAGCTTCAGATCATGGTCCAAATCAACACCAGCGGAGAGCAGAGTGAGAGCAGTGTTTTATATTACAATTATACCACATATTACACTCTTTCCAAGCCTGTCAAAGCACTTTACTCTTGTCTAATATTAAATCCACTGTACCAGTTTTTTTCAAAACCCAACCACTTTTAACATTCTAAATGGTTTTCAGTGGTCCATTATTCCTCACTGTCGTCACACATTTCAACCATCCTAATTATTCACTTTTAAAGTGAGATTAAAAGTATGAGACAACACAATTATAGAAGTTTTATAATGATAAAAGCATTACTAAATAAAAGCTAATCAAATAATAACTGTGAGAGGACCACACAGTTCTCATGTCTGGTTAAAAGTGACTCAAATGTGTCCTCTCTTGCTGTTGTCCCTCAGGTAAACATGGGCTCCCCCCTGAGGACACAGTGTCCACAGTGAAACACATCGTCTCTCGCTGCAGTGCTCTTCACTTCACTGGACTCATGACCATCGGTCGCTACGGCTACGACCTCACCCTCGGACCCAACCCTGATTTCCAGGTCAGAGTCGACACACAGGGAGGGCATCTGATGTGCAGGGATGGGATCTCATTGTTTGTTTGTGCAGATGCTGATCAGTCGGAGGCAGGAGGTATGTGAGAGCCTGAAGTTGCCTGTGGAGGAGGTGGAGCTCAGTATGGGGATGTCCACAGACTTTGAACATGCTGTGAGTATCCCCAGAAAGAGTTTGAAATATAACACGGGAGATATTATGAGGTCAGATCATTTGTGTCCGACTGTAACTCAAGTGTTGGACCATGGAAATTCTAAATACATTCAAAATTTAAAGCAACTGTATGTAGCCTGTGCTCTTACAGTTTTAGGACAGATTACAATCCAAACTGACCCTGTGTCAGCAGAGTCTTAACCTGCAGATAGAGACACATCCAAGTTTGTCTCATTCTCAGTATATGGACAGGCCTCATGTGAAAGCTCAGAACCTCCAGTATTCACTCACTGAGCTGCAGAGGCTGTAGTAGCACTGACTGTGGCCAGACCTCCTTGTCAAAGCCTGATCTCGTCAGATCTCAGAAGCTCAGCAGGGTTGGAGCTGGTTAGGTCTCGGGAGACCTGTGAAAATCAGGTGCCACAGGAGGGCGCCAGTCACAAAAAATGTTGTTTTGTCCAAGATACTTCACTCACATTGCCTAGTCTAAAAGTGGTGTGTCTGTAATGGTGGTGGACGGAGGGGCCGATGGCACAGATCAGCAACCTCGCTTCCGGAAGTCTACCCCAGGGCAGCTGTGGCTACAACAGCAGCTTACCACCTGAGTATGCCGTGAGTGAATAATGCTCTGTAAAGCGTCTTTGAGTGGCCAGAAAAGCGCTATATAAAACAGATCCATTATTATTATCAGAGAGAGAGTCCTTTTAGATTTAAACCAACTGGATTTGAGCATTAAAACACACATGAGAGTCATGTGAGGCTCATTCCGCTTTCTGATTGGATAATAATCTTGAAACAAAATCAAACCACCATTAAATGATATGTCCATCCTGTCTATATGGTGTTTTTATAAATAAGACAAAATCATCATTATAATTGTTATCAGTGAAAGTTGTGTTTGAACATGTTTACCTTGTATGTGAGACAGTGAGTCAGTTTCTTTAATGCTTTTTCTTTGTTTCCTCAGATTGAAGTTGGCTCCACAAATGTTCGTGTTGGGAGCATCATCTTTGGAAACAGAGAGTATCCGAACAGCGCCGCCAACACTCCGACCCCCAGCCCCGAGAAGACATCCAAAGTGGTGTGTGAGGAGGCGGCCCGCAAAATGCAACAGCACCTCACTGTGTCCGACCACTGACACTACAGCGACAGGATTAACTTCACCTAAACTACTGAGCTGACTGAGCAGAGCCAGGGCACAGCGACGTTAACACACTTTAGAGATGTCACGTTTCTATGAGTCACATTTTTAGGATAATTTTAACAGGAATCACAGGGTCCTTCACGATTCGATACAATTGATACTTCATAGTAACACTACGCTGGGGGTGTTCTACGTGTATTTGTCTGGCTGAACATTCATCAGTTACCGTGGTGATACAGTGCACACAACGGCAAACAGCCAAAAATGTTATAAAACAAAATGGATTTAAAGAGCACATTTTCAGGAGCCTGTGATCAGTCTGAGCGTTCATGGTCTGGTTTAGGAGTTTGATTTTCAAGCTGTTAGCTAATTCTAGATGACATCATCTGTAAAGTATCAATAATTAATAAAGCTCACGATATCGATACTTGACCATATATTAGAACTAGTACTAGAATGGTTTGGCTTTAGCGCAGGATGTCTAACAATATCACTATTTTCTAAGCGTAAGCATTTTTATTGGTTTGTACAGTTTTTATGTCCCAATAACCTAATAATTGCCTGAACTCCAGGACACATGCTTGTCCAGTATTTACAAAGATGTGACTCTGGCCACCACTGAATTTCTCTGAGTTCAAGGAAGTGTGATTGACAGGTGGATTAGCCAATCAGGGACATACATGCTGTCTGTATCAAAACAAATATGTCTGCTTATGAGGGACAAAAAAGGACAAAGACATCACAGGAGCCTGAAAACCATGGAGGATTTCTACAGAATCAATGAGTGAAGCACTAAACTCTGTTCAAAATGATGTTGACCAATGACACATGCGTCACTGAAATGAGCAAATCTGATTGGACGATGGTGCCAAAAACTAGTTTGGGAAAATATTAAAAAATATATTGTAATGAACTGATAGAGGTCTGTGAAATCACTACGATGTCAACTTAACAAAAGTCTTAATTCACTTGGTTACGTTGTAAAATGGTGGTACTGTGGCAGAGTGGTTAGCCCTCCTGCCTCACAACAAAACTGTCCCAACTGGGTCCTGTATGAATCTATAGTATCAAACTATGTTCTTAGGGGTGGGACAAGATACATTTTCCACAAAACGAGCCGAGACATGAGACTGGTTCTACGAGCATGAGGCAAGACGAGATTTTGACATTATAATATTAGAATATATTTAATTCATGAATTGTGTGATCTAGTTCCCAATTTTGGCCTCAAAATTTCTGATAAATGGTCACGTTTTTCTATAGCGCTTTTCCACCTTCAAGGCACTCAAAGCGCTTTACAACAAGGAACCACTCACCCATTCATAGACCAGTGTACGCAGACACTGTGGGCAAGGTGGGTTAAGTGTCTTGCCCAAGGACACAACGGCAGCATTCATCTGTGGGAGCTGGAATCACAAAAGCCAACCTGTGGGTCAGTGGATCTGACCACTCAACCTGTGATGTTTATGTCAAGAGCTGGAATCAAACCACCAACCTTCAGATTAGAGGGCAAATGCTCTACCAACTGAACTACTGCTGCACCATTTTTGATTTATTTTATTTAATATTTTTGCTGACATAGTTTTTTGTCTCACGAGAGCTTATCCCATCCCTAAGTCTTTGATTTCTATATTGTTTTTATAGCCTGGCCTGCCAAGACTGCACACTTTTGTTTCACATCAGAATAAGGTCTAAACAGTGACATTTTTTCATCATTATTGTAAAAAAATGGGACATGTTTAGATGTGTACAGCTTAAGCCTTAGCCCGATGAGTTGTGCTCTTTTAACATGCTGTACAGATTTAGAATGGACTTTGATTAATTTACTTTAGGCTGAAATCTTCCATCTTTAATTTGTCTAGCTTACCTAAGGCCAATGAGTGACTTATCTTGAATACACGAGTAGACAGAACTCAGACGCTGTAGCTACAGTTTGAGAAAAATCATATTTTTAACTAAAGAAAATGCACTGCAAAAAATATATTTCTACAAGGGTTAAAATTCAAAATATTAACCTGGATTTGAACAAATTTTACTAGATTTATTCACTTTTATTTAACTTCATAATAAAGGAACAAAGTGCTTTCCTTCTTTAAGGGAGTACAGTAGAATGCATTTAAAGGCACACTATGTAACATCTGCTTGCCTTCTTTGAGATAGTATTACTTTGCTTAGAAATGTTCCACAGTATGCCATTACACTTGTATATCCATATAGACGAGCAGGTGCCAAATTCTGGTCTAGTCAGATCTGTGGAGAGGTGACCCCGCTCAATAGTCAGATTTCATATTTTTCCAATGTTTTTTTTAGGATTAAACACCCATAATTGAATACATGCAAAATGGTTTAATGCTATACTGTGGTACCTTCTAGGCAAATGATGATTTCCGTGGAGATTAAGCAGGTCTACCAGAAAGTTCTATAGTGCATCTTTAAGTAATTCTGTGTAGATGTATATTTTTGCAGTGTGGCCATTACATTTTGTACATATTAAAAACCCATCACTGCTCAACTGTCGTCATGTCAAATGTCCCAGAGCTCGCCGGATTTGAACCAGCGCTCTGTTTTTGTTGTACAGGTGTAAAAAAGGCTTAAATGCTCCCTCTTTGTGCTTTATTAGGCCTTTTAGAGGATGGGAGGGCATCTGACACACAGGGATACAGGAGGAGGGAGGGCATCTGACACAAATTGAATACCGTCTAAAAGCTCTGATTTAGCATAATATGGGAGTTTTGTACATAGAGGCGGGTGATATGACAGCTTTTACTGAGAACAATGCTGATTTATTTCTTAATTCCAAACATTGGAAAACCCAAATTATAATAAACCTGGCCACCATGGTTTGTTATAATTTGGGTTTTGTGTCAAGACTGTTATCCAATCAGGAAGCAGAATGAGCCTCACATTTGTGTTTCCAGTTTCAATGGTGAAATCCAGTTGGTTTAAACCTAAAATCTGAATGGGCTCTAACTAAAGCCCAGCACCTGCACCAGTTATGAGTCCGTGCTAGTGCAAAATTCTGGAGATTCTGAGCTTCACGTGAGGCCTGTCCATAAACTGAGAATGAGATAAATGCAGGATGTGTCTCTCTGCAGGTGAAGGCTCTGGAGACACGGGGAACTAAAGTGTGAGTAATGTTTGTCATATGGCCCCTCTCTATCACCACAGATCCCTTTATAAAGAGGCGTAGTATTTCCTTTGTTTTGTAAGGTGTTTGTGAGTGGTCAAATCTTTATTCTTGATATTAAAAACAAAAGCGTGCTTTGTTTAAAACGTTGAAGTCTCGTAAAAGTGTGGTTGTGTCTGCGCTGTGGAGCTATGCAAAGATGTACAGAGACATTTGTGTCAAAGGAGAGTGTCCAAAATGGGCTAGAAATAAAAGATTTTAAGGTTACATTTTATGAATTCTTTCATTCTTTTTTAAGAACTTTTGGTCACCTTGGTCTGGGTGATTCATGTGGAATTGCTTTAGAAATGAAATATAGAAATACAGCCATAAGCAGCAATGATCAGAAGGAAGCAAGCCCCAGAACCCCTCAAACCAACCCTAATAACCATAAACCCCAACCACGACTCTAACCCCTAGCCCCATCCCTAATGCCAGGCCTAACCCTAAACGTAACCCTAAGTTCAAACCCAACCCAAACATGACGTAGCCCCAACCCTTACCCTAAACCCCATAGGCAGGCAAGACAAGGCAAGTTTATTTGTATAGCACAATTCGTATACTAAGTAATTCAAAGTGCTTTACAGAATAAGAAATACATTAAAATCATAATAAAAACAAATCAAAACATAAATAATCATAAAGATTAAAATTAAAAAAGAGAGACATAAATTGGAGAGAAGAGTGCGGAATGAAAACCTTTCAGTCAGACGCACAGTTAAACAGAAATGTTTTGAGCCTGGATTTAAACAGCGTCACAGAAGAGTCTGTCTCACATGTTCACACTGTTCCAGGTTTTAGCTGCATGAACCTGAAACTCTGACTCCCCTTGTTTAGTCGTGACTCTGGGCATCAGCAGGAGGCCGGTCCCTGAGCTCCTCAGAGTGCGAGATGGTTCATATGACACTAACATGTCATAACTCTAACTCCTAACATAACCCTGCCATTTCTCTAAATATTTGCACGGGTTTATAAAAAAAAAAAAAATTGACATCCCATTGGTGAGGAAGGAAAAAGGTGTACGGATTCTTTAGCTTTTTTTTTTTTTTTTTTTTTTTAAGGCAACAGAATATAACATTTAACAAAATCCAATAATAAAGATAAAAACAAAACACACAATCATAAAACAATAAATACAAAAAAACTTCCCACCTCTTCCCCTCAACACACACATTTAATTAAATAAAACAAAAGCAAATGTTTTCTTACAGTCTCAACAGCTGAATCCTCCTGTGTGTGTCCCATAGACTGTATAAACAAGTGGACTAGGCGAGTGTCACGTCACACACGGTGTTCGGCTCCACTCAAATGAAGCTTGCGATGCCAACAGTTACAGGGGCAAATCTGGAGCTCTATATTATGAATAGGGTTTTTTTTTAACAAGCAAAATTGTGTAAAAACACCAGAATCATGTAGAGTGGGTTAATGCAGACATTTTAAGACCAAAATGACATATCAAAACATATCAGTGTCCTCATGTGTTTTTTGAGAGAAGAACTATGAGCAAAGTCTTTGTTACAGACTGGACAGCTGAATGGTTTCTCTCCTGTGTGTGTCCTCATATGTGTTTTGAGATTAGACCTGTCACCAAACACTTTCTTACATACTGAACAGCTGAATGGCTTCTCGCCTGTGTGTGTCGTCATATGTGATTCAAGATTAACCTTCATGGAAAATGTTTTCTTACAAATTGAACACCTGTATGGTTTCTCCCCTGTGTGTGTTCTCATATGCGTTTCAAGATTAACTTTTCGGGTAAATGTTTTCATACAAACTGAACACGTGAATGGTTTCTCATCTGTGTGTGTCATCATATGTATTTTGAGATTAAATTTTACAGCAAACATTTTCTTACAGATTAAACAGCTGAATGGTTTCTCTCCTGTGTGTGTCCTCATATGTATTTTGAGATTTGATCTATCACCAAACACTTTCTTACAGACTGAACAGCTGAATGGTTTCTCCCCTGTGTGTGTCCTCATATGTGTTCTGAGAACAGATCTATCACCAAACACTTTCTTACAGACTGAACAGCTGAATGGTTTCTCCCCTGTGTGTATCCTCATATGTGTTTTGAGAATAGCTTTATCACCAAACACTTTGTTACAGACTGAACACCTGAATGGTTCCTCTCCTGTGTGAATTCTCCTGTGTCTTTCTAGCTTATATCTAGAGTCAAATCTCTCTTGACAAACAGAGCACTTGTGTTTCCTGCTCTCAGCTCCTTCGCTAGTTCCTGACATCTCTCCATTGTTCACAGTGGCTCTGGTCTCAGGTGAACAGCTGAGTGGAGCTCTCCAGTCTTCATCACTGTCAGAGTCAGAAGAGTGCTCTGTGTCTCCGTCTAAGTAGACATGTATCTCTGCTTTGATGTCCTCCTCATCTGTGTCCTCTCTCTGCTCAGTTTGTCTTTGTTGAGGCAGTGAGGACTCTTCTGTCTTTACACTCACAGCACTAAACTCTAGGACAGACCTGAAAAACAGAAGATACATTTGTATATTTCAAACCCAATCTGAATATTTGTCATAGAAATGCATAAGAATGAATGAATAACAAAATAAAGAATTGTAGTTTGAAAGTGTCTGAGACTCACACTTGCAGCTGATCTTCCTCCTCTTTGATGTTAAGTTCTTCTTTAATGTGTGGAGTCAGACCAGGGCTCAGAGAGGGGAGCTGGACAGCTGCAGGAGACAAGAGAATACACACTTACACATACACGTGCAGTCTTGTGACATGAACTCTGTGAACTTGTCTGTAGTCAACTTTAAGGCTGAAGGGGTGTCATTTCTGTCCATCAAGTTGTAAATGGGTCTTTGATGTTTTGCAGTTTTCAAATGCTCAAAAAATGAAAATATAATGCGATACAAAATGTGTCTGTTTTCTGGTATATTTAAGTGTATATTTGATCATATATCATATATGCCCCTTGAAAGAAACTTTGATAAAAACACCACATTTTTCTGCATTTAAAGCCCGGGATCTTAAAAATGTCATTTGGTGCAATGGACATATGGTTAAAATTGAATTGAATTTAAAATAACTTATTGAAAATGATGAAAAACACAAACTGAGATCTACAAATAAACAGTTGGCCATGAAGATGTTCTTAAAATTTTGAAGAATTTCACAATTTGCCCTAATACGGCATTAACTCTCAGCTCCAGTAACAATTTTTTCCCATACAAAGAGTAAAACACTTTTGAATTTTGATTTGAATAAAACTTAAACATTTGAAAACTTTCCATCTTTAAATTTAAGTTCTTATTTTTAAAAATATATTATTTTATGTCAACACAAACTTTTTCGATACATTTCACTGTAATATCAGCGTTTCACCAAATGATATCTGCCGTGTTACTGAAATACAAAAAAATGACTTAAAAAAAAAAAAAAACTGACTTTATATAAACTATATGTAATTATCTTTAACACATTTATTGTCCTATTGCATTTTTAATAATTACAAATTAATCTACCAAAAATAATTTCCTTTATTTATGTGATTATTTTACATTTAAAATGAAAATTATTACTTTAATATAGTATCAAATATAGTTAAATAATTCAAATAAAATTGGAAAATAAAGGCAGATATTTTTGAGTTAAACGTTTAACAACAGACACAGGTCTGTTTCACCCAATGACACATTTTGTTACCGAATGACATTTTTCAAACGTTTTCATTCTAAACTGGTTTATACTTTATCCATCAAAGAGAAACAAAAGTATCAGTGTTGATTGCTCACACCAAGCACTGATTTCAAATGTAGTATTTAAAAATTACAACAGTTTTAAGCACATTTTGAACATTGCACCAAATGAAATCCAAAACTGTGGCATTTGTACTTCTCGTAACAAAGGCGTCACCAACAAAAACTAAGAGGCAAATCTGAATCTTGTTTCCACTTGAGAGTTCTGCAGGATCCACAGTGATGTCATCACACGATGCATGAGGAACAATCTCAGATTATTGTTCAAATTGGACCGTCAACTTTGTTTTACTGAATAACATTGATAAAAAAAAAAAGGCTTTTGGGGACAACTTTATTGAAGACATTAAAATAGTTATTTTGTGTTACTTTTGAAAATACTTGTATATGTTCATGCCAAGACTTGTAAAATTATCCCACAGAGAAAAGTTTATGATTTTGTCCATTTTTATCATTTGTGCAACACCTTTCACCGAAACACATTTTGATACTTTAAACCGGTAATATATCATATGCTTTTTTCATACTTTTTTAACACCTACAGACTAAAAATAGGATCCATACGACAAGACTTACCTGAGCTCACGAGCACGTCTCTCGAGCTCAGGGGCCTCAGAGCCGAGTCCAGGAGCTGCTGGTTCCTCTGCTTCTCGTGTTTGGAGCGGCGCAGCTCCTCCTCATAGTCACTCATGTCCTCAGCATCTGCACTCAGCCGCTCCTCCACAAAACCTCTCAACTCTTTGGACATATTGAATTTGGTTGAGAACTGCCTTGAACAGATCCAAATTCTTCTATTCACTGTTGTTTCACTTCTTGTTTTGTTTGGATCTTTTAGCCTGAAACTTGAGGTTATAGTACTAACAAAATGTTCACATTAACATCCTAAATAAAGGTTTTACAGTTTTTAGAGCTCCAGCTCCACACACTCCATGGAGCACGGTGCGTATTGCTGCCATCCACTGGTCGTCCGTGGAACTGCACTAGAGGAGCTTTGCTCACGCTTTCAAATGGAGCCAGAGCTCTGGAGTCAAGAGAGCTTTGGTCCGTGCTGAAACAGACGACGCTTTAATGCTTCCTGTTTGTTTTATGAAGCATCTCTGAGTGCCCGGGCTCAATCTTAAGCTGCGTTCAGGTCGCGGCGTCAAAAAACGCCCCCGACGCCCGTCCTGGACGCCGTGGACAAAAGGGAGAAAAATCCTTGAGTGCGCTCTGTGAGGACCTTGTTTTCCCGGTCGAGACACTGACTCAGTGTTTTTATGACATAAAACACTTGAGCTGCGGCGCTCGGCTCGGCGGCTGCGGCCTTTATAGATTTCTACTCCGCTAATGACACGGCGCAGATTTCTTGTTCTTGTGCTGTTGTGACTCCCGGATCTTTCTCTTCTTCTTCTTCCGGACAATAACGTCGCAGCAGGGGCGGTCCTAAACACGGGCGGACATGGCGGCCTCCCGGGGTGGCATTTCGTGGAGGGTGCATACAGTATCAAATGATGACTTCAATATTCCATTGCACATTATTTATTCAAATAAATTCAGACACCACAATGAAGAAAGCACAACAGAAAGTACCACCGAAGACACAAATACATGATGAAACATGTAAACATTTATCTGTTAAATTTGATATAACGTTGAATTATTTATTATTATTCTGCTCATCTATCTGTGACAAAACAGTGAATCCACAAGTCAAATCAGTCAGATCTGTAAATTTTTTTAAGCAATAAAAACACTTGCAACTGAATAAATGCAACATAGATCAACTTAATCCTACTGCGGAACATTTCAGAAAAAAGCGATCAAGCCTTCACTGACTGAAGTTTAATAATACCAGGATGCTCCATGTTAAATATTGCTTCTTTATCACTTAATGTAAACATGGACTCCGATAGACACTGGAAACTCCTTTTCAATTGAGCTCCTCAGTAACAGGTTCAAGTTGGTTGCAAGTTTAGAAATCTTCAAAAAGAATCTTATGATTCTTTCGCCAGAATGTACTCAGTTATGTTCACTTTCTGGCAGTATAGTGCCCTCATGTGAGTCGTGGAAGAATACTCTCATTTTGCCTTGTCAAAATTTTTCCCGCACAGTTCTTGGAGGCAGCAGAGCGCGCTGACGCACACGGAGCTCGGGTGTCCCTCCTCTCCTCCGCCTGTTGCTTGGACTCACTTTGAGGTGGCTGCAAACAGGACACAGAGGACCACTGGGCTTCCTTCTGTCTACAGTGGGACAAATCCAAGTTTGGAATGCCTTCAGTCCACGAGGAGAGTGAAGAGGAATGAACGAGGATTTGAGATGGAGAAATCATTGGTAGGAGATGACCTTTGATTCAGGAGCGAAGACCAGAGGGTAAAAAAAGGAAAAGTGAAACACTTTCACCAAAAGGTTATTTTCACGGATTGTGTGAGCTGATATTTGTCATTTCAGTTGTTCTAAATATGTTTACAGATGGTCCAAAAGCTGATGAAGATTCAGTCCTCGGTGGAAGTGGCTCTGTGCTGCTGTTGCACTTATGAAGCACACAACTGATGAAGGAGTCATCAAAGAGAAGATGAAGCAGACTTCCCACTATCGTCAAAACATGGTCCATGACTCTGAGAAGTCTTCAGACATCTTCACAGTGTTTCCAAGATTTCTGGACGTACCAGGCCTGGTGAGCTATTCTGTTATGAAGCAGATGTTTTTAAATATTTCCCTTTTTAAAATGTTAATGTCATGTGATTTAATATTATTAAACAGACTGAACAAGACCTCAGACTTCTGTTTGATGATGCCACCTCAGCCAAATTCCTGGGGAAGTGGCCAACACTCTACAAGCAAAAGGTTTTGAGGGAAAGTCATCGTCTGACACAAACAAGTGAACTTCAGGACCAAGTCTACCTCAGGAGTTGAAGAAGGTACGCTTATATTGTGTGGGTGGATTGTTCCTTGTATATATAAAATGACTTTTGATGAACTTTTTAAAGATCATTTTGTAATTTGCACCTCCTACAGTCAAGATGTGCACAACTTCTTGCAGATCACCATTTATGACATAGACACTAAAGTCAATCCCAGGACACCAGAGTTAAGGCACATTTGCTTAATGCACTGATACATTGATATTTCTTTGTAAAATGCCAAAGCCAGAGAATAAGTGTCAGTTATCTTTCAGTCTACTTTGTTCAGGAAAACACAGAATTAAATGTAATTGGTGAAAGGTTTATGGAAAGTGAAAAGTTGTAAGTGTGAAGTTTGACAGTTGTATGTGGGCAGAATGTAGTGAATGTTAAATCTTCTGAAGTATCTGATATGGACTGATGTGATGAATCCGACTTGTTCAGTGTCTCATTCTGTTTCTTACAACTGACACACGGTTATACACTATAGAGTGCAGCATTTATGAAACTTTGTTCAATTGAATCAAAGTTTTAATTGTTGAATCTACGGCTTTTGTTTTTCTTTAGGGGCTGGATTAGTATATCGATGATTGTACTTTTGTTAGAGGAAAATGATAATAAATCTAGAGTAAAATAGTATGATTGCTAGAGTAAAATGTATAATATTGCAAGAGTATATTATTATTAACTGGAGTAAAATGATGGTACAGTAAATTCACTATTCCTAATCTTAGAGTAAATTCCACTTTATTTGGTGGAGAATGAAGGTAGAATAACTTTATTTCTCTTCAAATAAGAGTATAATTTAGGGTAAAATAAATACTCTAAATGGAGTAAAATTTACTCTTAATTATTTACTCTTTTGCAAGAGTAATTTTTACTCTTTTTAGATAGGGACCAAATATAGTTTTTTAGAGTAAAATTTTGTAATTAGAGTAAAATGTACTTTGTAGTTAAAAGCTCCGAAAAGTTGATAGAACATTGGGCATGAATCTGTTGGTTGCCACATTTTCCGTAGTAACTAAAAAAACAAAGTTTTCATTTTTGTGGAGGTAAAATGATGGAGGGTACTGCTGTTTTAACCCTGGATGCTCTTCATATGGCCACTGCTTTGCCGACCTGGACCAGATCATTTCCTCTTAAACAGAGGACCACGGCAAAATCAATGACATACGTCGAGTGTCCTATTCCACTCGGTCATGTGATTGCTTCAGAATCTCATTCACAACATCCCGGTCCTTCGGGCTATCTTTTTTCAGTTGGTTCAATTTGATTTCATCTATGATCTTGCTACATTTGTTGTCGATTTTCTTGACTTTGTCCAGTGTGCTGCTGGTTTCACGTTTGGAGACGGCACCGACACCCCCCATCCTCATGTTATGGTGCAGTGTTCCTCTGTGCCACTGTCTTCCTGTCTGGTCCACGTAGTCCTCCTCATGTATTGTACTGTGTGTTTGTAACATACAGATGGGGTAACAGGTCCAATGTCGATTCCTTTGTATGTACATGTACATGTGAAGAAGTTGACAATAAAATGTGCAGAGTGTGAGTGCAAGTGCATTCTTGAGATGATTCCACATGATGTAGTTTGTCCATAGCCACTAAATGAAATGAAGACATCTGCATCTGAGCAAGTGCTAGCCTGATGAGCTCACAAACAAACAAGAGTTACCATAAATGCACATTCAAAATGGTTCAACCAAGCAGAAGATAAGCTAACGTTATCGTAGTTGAGAGCAGGCCTGCTTTTTCCAGTTGAAGTACTTAAATGTTCGTACAGTTGATAGTAGTGTTAGGATAGATAACTAGACTTCGGTGGTGTAGAACTACTTCTATGATGTAACTGATGTGCTGCTATACAGTTATTGATGTACTGCTATATTTTATTATTGTACTATTATAATTCACTATACAATGACCCAGAAAACAGGGACCAGATTACAGATGAAGGATGCAGAGACAGGTTCAGTTCATGTACAAGATATTCTATTTCTATCTATATGTCTAATCAATTAACTAAATAGGGCAAGGACTTATTGATAGGGATATGCAGACTCACGACTCATCACCCTGATCAGAGCAGCAAGACTCCTGTGAGGGGAGTGAGATGAATCCGCGGGATCCTTGTCACAATCGGATAAGATTGTGCAACGTGCCAAGAGGCCTGGCTGCACCAACGAAGAGGCATTAAGTCTAAACCACGGTCGCCTCCCACTATAGTTTGTGTATAAAAATCAGTGTATAGGCTTAAATATTCAGTCTCTGCATAGGAATGTCAGCACAGACTCCTTGTGCAAGTATGACTTTGGAATAAGCAAATTATCTGGACTTTAGGGCTGGGTATCATGAAAAAATTGCTGATATGACACATACCTCGATACATAGGCCATGATATGATACATATCTCGATACAGTGCACTTTCGATTCCATACTATATATTTCAAAACGATTCAATACAGTTAAGTAAGAAAATAAAGGCTAAATCATGTCTGTCATACTAAAAGTCTTTATTAAACCACTTCTTGTGCAAAATTCATATGAAACGCAAACATCTGAATAATCAAAACAGTGAAAATGTCAAATGTGTCGCATAAACGTGTTTCCTTCCACTGAACAAACAATAAAACTGTAGCGCTGTAACAAAATAATTGAGTAAAATATACCAGAAAATAATCTTGGCGATATATCGATACAGCAGTCCATGATATCAGTACTGTATCATGACATTAAACGATACGATATATCGATATTATGATATTTTTGCACACTCCTACTGGACTTTATTTTTGTTTCAAGTGTTTGTTTTTTTCTTGTCTAAACAGAAACTAATGAACATGCGAGGAAAGGGTTATTTTGCTCAACAGTAGAAAATGTTTTGTTGGCAGACATGTTCTTCAGGCGCTCTGAAAACCCCAGAGCTGAGCTGTTCAGAAACACAAGTTCTCACACACCAAACCCACACTCACCAATGGACTTAAAGTTTGTCCTGGTTCAGGTTGAGCAGCAGATGAGAAGTACGACACGGAGCCTAGTCTGAGGTTAGTTTGAGCTGAAGAATAAACACAGTGAAAGTCTGAGATTTGGTTAAGGCCAAAATGAGATCTCTTCCATGTCTACAGAGGAGTCTAACCTGAGCGCTTCAGTGGCCTGTTTCTCTGGAGCAAAAGATGAGAAGCTCGAGCAATAAGCCATTTGCTCACACTGGTCTTAAACAGTCCAGGAGAAAGACTTTCATTTCATTTCAGATTTCATTGTACTTTACCTTGAAATAGCCAAAAGGTAAAGTCACACCTAAGAAATTACAGTATTACAAGATAATTTTGCATTTTGACAATTCATTTCAACTGCCCCCATCTGTGTTAATCAATATTGACATATAAAAAGTTGGGATGTCATCTGAAACCCAGCACGACTATACTAGACTACACCATACAATTACTATTCCTAGTACTAATACTACTATAATATTCAAAATCATACACTCAATTATTTCTTGTGAGTAACAATACAGAAAATCTTTACTTTTTTTTAAACTACTAACATATAATAGAAATAGGTCCTAATGGTGATTTGGAGTCCTGGTGAACATCATGATGCAAATGTGTTTAAATTGTTGAAGTCCAGTAGTGAACAATTATCATTTAGAATCTAACATGACACAATTCCTTTTAGCAACTGTTTTGTTGTGTTTTATTTTTAAAGACAGCAGTGCCCTCTCTCTGTGGGTGCACTTGGTAATGTTGACACTTGTAGAGAAGATACCACCAATGGACTGATGAGGTTTAATAGTTGTTGTATATACACACACACATTGAAAAAAACAAAAACAAAAAACAGAATGAAGTAGTATCTTGGGACATCATCAATCATTCAACAAATGTGATTTTGTAATGAGAATATACATGTTACAACGTCCTAACAGCATGAACAGAAGAACAGACCTGTCCAGATTACACATTTTGAAGCACGATATATTTTTGAAGATAATATAGACAATAAACGATAATACTGAAACTAATTTATGCCACTGACACAACAGCAGGTTTATCCCTAAAAACTATTATAAAAGTTACAAAACGCAAACTTCACAAATTAAAAAGCAGAATGAATTACATTAGTAGTTAGTTTGTATCTATAATGAGCCACAGAAGTGATTTATTCAACTCCCCAGTGAGTTACTTTGCAGCGCATAGACCTCAACACAGATCCATAAATCCAAAACAACGGCGATAAGACGACGGAGGCAGTGTGCGAATTTGGAGCCAGGCTCTATATTATGAATAGGATTTATTTAACAAACAAAAATAACAGAAAAAACACCAGCATCATATAGAGCTGGTTAATGCAAACATTTCAAGACCAAAATGATGAGGCTCACTGCAGCAGTAACAGAGAGAGGGGCCCCAATACTTTAAAGTAAATCAATGGGAGCCAGAGTCAGAAGGAGTCGGAAGAGCCGCATGTGAATTTCCTGTTTGAACTTCCATATGTGTCCTCATATGTTTTTTGAGAGTAGAACTATCAGCAAAATCTTTCTCACAGACTAAACAGCTGAATGTTTTTTCCTCTGTGTGTGTCCTCATATGTCTTTTGAGATTAGAACAATCAGCAAACACTTTATTACAGACTGAACAGCTGAATGGTTCTTCTCCTGTGTGTGTCCTCATATGTCTTTCAAGGTGACCCTTTTGGGCAAATGTTTTCATACAAACTGAACACCTGAATGGTTCCTCTCCTGTGTGCGTCCTCATATGCATTTTGAGAATAGAACTATAACCAAACACTTCCTTACAGAGTGAACAGCTGAATGGTTTTTCCCCTGTGTGTGTCCTCATATGTGTATTAAGATTACCTTTTATGGCAAATGTTTTATCACAAACTGAACAGCTGAATGGTTTCTCACCTGTGTGCGTTCTCATATGTATTTTGAGAGCAGAACTATCAGCAAAATCTTTTTTACAGACAGAACAGCAGAAGCGTTTCTCCCCTGTGTGTGTCCTCTTATGGATTTTAAGAGCAGAACTATCAGCAAAGTCTTTTTTACAGACTGCACACCTGAATGCTCTCTCACCTGTGTGTGTCGTCATATGTCTTTCGAGGTGACCCTTTTGGGAAAATGTTTTCATACAAACTGAACAGCTGAATGGCTTCTCCCCTGTGTGTGTCCTCATATGTGTTTTGATATTAGACCTGTCAGCAAACAGTTTCCCACAAACTGAACAAATGTATGGTTTCTCATCTGTGTGTGTCCTCATATGTGTTTCAAGATGAGTCTTTAGGGAAAATGTTTTCTTACAGAATGAACAGCTGAATGGCTTCTCCCCTGTGTGTGTCCTCATATGTGTTTTGAGAATAGAGTTTACAGCAAACGCTTTCTTACAGACTGAACAGCTGAATGGTTTCTCTCCTGTGTGTCTCCTCACATGTCTTTTGAGAGTAGAACTATCAGCAAACACTTTCTTACAAAATGAACAGCTGAATGGTTTCTCCCCTGTGTGTGTCCTCGTATGTGTTTTGAGATCAGAGCTTGTAGCAAACACTTTCTGACAGACTGAACAGCTGAATGGTTTCTCCCCTGTGTGTGTCCTCATATGTGTTTTGAGAATATAACTATAACCAAACACTTTCTTACAAAATGAACAGCTGAATGGTTTCTCTCCTGTGTGTGTTCTCATATGTGCTTCAAGATTACCCTTTAGGGCAAAGGTTTTCTTACAAACTGAACAGCTGAAGGGTTTCTCCCCTGTGTGTGTTCTCATATGTATTTTAAGATTAAAATTAGCTGCAAAGTCTTTTTTACAGACTGAACACTTGAATGCTCTCTCCCCTGTGTGTGTCCTCATATGTGTTTCAAGACTACCCTTTATGGCAAATGTTTTCATACAAACTGAACAGCTGAATGGTTTCTCCCCTGTGTGTGTTCTCATATGTATTTTGAGATCAAAGCTGGCAGTAAACACTTTCTGACAGACTGAGCACCTGAATGGTTCCTCTCCTGTGTGTGTCCTCATATGTATTTTGAAAAGAGAACTATAAATGAACTCTTTCTTACAGACTGAACACTTGTATGGTTTCTCTCCTGTGTGTGTCCTCATATGTGTTTTGAGGCTACCTTTTAGGGCAAATGTTTTCTTACAAACTGAACAGCTGAATGGTTTCTCCCCTGTGTGCTTTCTCATATGCATTTTGAGAATATAACTAAAAGCAAACACTTTGTTACAGACTGAACACCTGAATGGTTCCTCTCCTGTGTGAATTCTCCTGTGTCGTTGTAGTTTATATCTAGAGCCAAATCTCTCTTGACAAACAGAGCACTTGTGTTTCCTGTTCTCAAGTGTGTCCACGTGTGCAGGTGAACAGCTGAGTGGAGCTCTCCAGTCTTCATCACTGTCAGAGTCAGAAGAGTGCTCTGTGTCTCCCTCTAAATGGACATGTGTCTCTGCTTTGATGTCCTCCTCATCTGTGTCCTCTCTCTGCTCAGTTTGTCTTTGTTGAGGCAGTGAGGACTCTTCTGTCTTTACACTCACAGCACTAAACTCTAGGACAGACCTGAAAAACAGAAGATACATTTGTATATTTCAAACCCAATCTGAATATTTGTCATAGAAATGCATAAGAATGAATGAATAACAAAATAAAGAATTGTAGTTTGAAAGTGTCTGAGACTCACACTTGCAGCTGATCTTCCTCCTCTTTGATGTTGAGTTCTTCTTTAATGTGTGGAGTCAGACCAGGGCTCAGAGAGGGGAGCTGGACAGCTGCAGGAGACAAGAGAATACACACTTACACATACACGTGCAGTCTTGTGACATGAACTCTGTGAACTTGTCTGTAGTCAACTTTAAGGCTGAAGGGGTGTCATTTCTGTCCATCAAGTTGTAAATGGGTCTTTGATGTTTTGCAGTTTTCAAATGCTCAAAAAATGAAAATATAATGCGATACAAAATGTGTCTGTTTTCTGGTATATTTAAGTGTATATTTGATCATATATCATATATGCCCCTTGAAAGAAACTTTGATAAAAACACCACATTTTTCTGCATTTAAAGCCCGGGATCTTAAAAATGTCATTTGGTGCAATGGACATATGGTTAAAATTGAATTGAATTTAAAATAACTTATTGAAAATGATGAAAAACACAAACTGAGATCTACAAATAAACAGTTGGCCATGAAGATGTTCTTAAAATTTTGAAGAATTTCACAATTTGCCCTAATACGGCATTAACTCTCAGCTCCAGTAACAATTTTTTCCCATACAAAGAGTAAAACACTTTTGAATTTTGATTTGAATAAAACTTAAACATTTGAAAACTTTCCATCTTTAAATTTAAGTTCTTATTTTAAAAATATATTATTTTATGTCAACACAAACTTTTTCGATACATTTCACTGTAATATCAGCGTTTCACCAAATGATATCTGCCGTGTTACTGAAATACAAAAAAATGACTTAAAAAAAAAAAAAAACTGACTTTATATAAACTATATGTAATTATCTTTAACACATTTATTGTCCTATTGCATTTTTAATAATTACAAATTAATCTACCAAAAATAATTTCCTTTATTTATGTGATTATTTTACATTTAAAATGAAAATTATTACTTTAATATAGTATCAAATATAGTTAAATAATTCAAATAAAATTGGAAAATAAAGGCAGATATTTTTGAGTTAAACGTTTAACAACAGACACAGGTCTGTTTCACCCAATGACACATTTTGTTACCGAATGACATTTTTCAAACGTTTTCATTCTAAACTGGTTTATACTTTATCCATCAAAGAGAAACAAAAGTATCAGTGTTGATTGCTCACACCAAGCACTGATTTCAAATGTAGTATTTAAAAATTACAACAGTTTTAAGCACATTTTGAACATTGCACCAAATGAAATCCAAAACTGTGGCATTTGTACTTCTCGTAACAAAGGCGTCACCAACAAAAACTAAGAGGCAAATCTGAATCTTGTTTCCACTTGAGAGTTCTGCAGGATCCACAGTGATGTCATCACACGATGCATGAGGAACAATCTCAGATTATTGTTCAAATTGGACCGTCAACTTTGTTTTACTGAATAACATTGATTAAAAAAAAAAGGCTTTTGGGGACAACTTTATTGAAGACATTAAAATAGTTATTTTGTGTTACTTTTGAAAATACTTGTATATGTTCATGCCAAGACTTGTAAAATTATCCCACAGAGAAAAGTTTATGATTTTGTCCATTTTTATCATTTGTGCAACACCTTTCACCGAAACACATTTTGATACTTTAAACCGGTAATATATCATATGCTTTTTTTCATACTTTTTAACACCTACAGACTAAAAATAGGATCCATACGACAAGACTTACCTGAGCTCACGAGCACGTCTCTCGAGCTCAGGGGCCTCAGAGCCGAGTCCAGGAGCTGCTGGTTCCTCTGCTTCTCGTGTTTGGAGCGGCGCAGCTCCTCCTCATAGTCACTCATGTCCTCAGCATCTGCACTCAGCCGCTCCTCCACAAAACCTCTCAACTCTTTGGACATATTGAATTTGGTTGAGAACTGCCTTGAACAGATCCAAATTCTTCTTTTCACTGTTGTTTCACTTCTTGTTTTGTTTGGATCTTTTAGCCTGAAACTTGAGGTTATAGTACTAACAAAATGTTCACATTAACATCCTAAATAAAGGTTTTACAGTTTTTAGAGCTCCAGCTCCACACACTCCATGGAGCACGGTGCGTATTGCTGCCATCCACTGGTCGTCCGTGGAACTGCACTAGAGGAGCTTTGCTCACGCTTTCAAATGGAGCCAGAGCTCTGGAGTCAAGAGAGCTTTGGTCCGTGCTGAAACAGACGACGCTTTAATGCTTCCTGTTTGTTTATGAAGCATCTCTGAGTGCCCGGGCTCAATCTTAAGCTGCGTTCAGGTCGCGGCGTCAAAAAACGCCCCCGACGCCCGTCCTGGACGCCGTGGACAAAAGGGAGAAAAATCCTTGAGTGCGCTCTGTGAGGACCTTGTTTTCCCGGTCGAGACACTGACTCAGTGTTTTTATGACATAAAACACTTGAGCTGCGGCGCTCGGCTCGGCGGCTGCGGCCTTTATAGATTTCTACTCCGCTAATGACACGGCGCAGATTTCTTGTTCTTGTGCTGTTGTGACTCCCGGATCTTTCTCTTCTTCTTCTTCCGGACAATAACGTCGCAGCAGGGGCGGTCCTAAACACGGGCGGACATGGCGGCCTCCCGGGGTGGCATTTCGTGGAGGGTGCATACAGTATCAAATGATGACTTCAATATTCCATTGCACATTATTTATTCAAATAAATTCAGACACCACAATGAAGAAAGCACAACAGAAAGTACCACCGAAGACACAAATACATGATGAAACATGTAAACATTTATCTGTTAAATTTGATATAACGTTGAATTATTTATTATTATTCTGCTCATCTATCTGTGACAAAAAAGGACTTTAAAGGTGCACTGTGTAACTTTTCTGATGGAGGGTCTGTTACCTCCTCATCTCCATGGAGATGTTGTCTGGAGGCCAAATACACAGGAAATACAGCTTTGACATCCTCATTCAGGTGATACACAGGAACAAGGGACAAGGACGAAAAACTAAATTTAAATTCTAAAAAAATAAATAATGAAATAAACTTGAACTAATATGGCGCTTTTTTTGTTTCCAGGCACTGATGTTCTTGTTTGTGCCGTCATGCAAAGACGTTTGGGTGAATATTATGTACGATGTAGTGTGGATGCAGTAGGAGTAGACCAACAGGCAGCAACCACTCTGTTTTAATTGTACATTTTAGTAATTAAAGTGATTTAGGTTCACAAATGAATATCTAGGTTTAAGTGGGGATATTATGCAGAATCACTTTTTTGAGCTATCGTGTTCTAACATTGTTCCCTCATCAAAAACATTCCTGTTCAAACCCTCTTTACATTTAGCTGTAAGATTCTGTCCAAGGCTCCGCCCACAAGCCTATGTCCCCCATGCTCCCTCACCACAATCCTCCATAAATATACAAAAGCATGACACAAAACTGTACACAACACCCTGAAAAACCTGCTGCCATGTGCAATAATTTTATTAGCAGGATACACGCTGATTATTTTGTGGTAGTGCTCTGAAGGGGGAGTGACACTGCAGAGAGCAAAGGGATTAAACTTGTCCTTTCTGGCGAATATAATCTTCTCAAAAGAATAAAAAGGTAACATGGTGATCTTAATATGTTATGTGTTAGCAGTTAATATGCCATAAAAGTAAAATAACAAGTGAGAGAGAAGGAACACGAGGACTAGCAGGTCATTTTGAAATATGTTTTTTTACTCATGGATCAAAATTGGATATTAAAATCTGCTAATGAGGTAAGTGCAGTTTTAACAAGTCCAATAATTGAGGTCCATCCAGTACATTCATCTACTTAAAATGACTGTAATTCAGTTTCTGATTTGAAGCCTTTTTAACTTAGAGACTGTGGCATATGAATAAATTATTAAAGCAGATTCAACACAAAAAACAAAATCATTACACAGACTGGAATACTGCAGCTGCATAGAAAAGTGTCAGTCCTGTGAGTAAAGTGAACTCCACTCTGAAGTTGTCTTAACACGGGGTTAACGCCGCTCCAGATCAGACAGCACAGGGATAAGGCGCAGACACGCTTAAGTTCTTTGGGTTTTGTTGAGGAAAACAACATTTTCCTCACATGTTTGTTAGTTTCTGCTTAAATTAAAATGACACTGGAAACAGAAATAAAGTCCACATTATTTACTTAATCCAATATTAGAAAGTCATACTTGTACAAGGAGTCTGTGCTGACATTCTCATGCAGTGTTTTACGCCTATATAATGACTTTTACACAAACTATAGTGGGAGGACACCAAGATTTAGACTTCGCTCCTCTTTGTTGGTGCACAGGCCAATCAGACTCCATCTGGGGTTTTATCAGGCTAACAGGTCACAACATCATCCCTATCAGTATTTCTTGTCCTATTTAGTTAGTTTGCTGTTAGATAGATAGGAATATCCTGCATTTGTCTTGACATATATCTATGAACCTCAGAGCTGTGCTCAGAGCCCTGATCTTCAAATGGCCTCGATACAATAATGAACTATACAAGTGATTATACAAAAGAGCTAAGCCTAGTTATTTATCCTAACAGTATCTTACTTTTCCCCCTCTTCACTAAATCAATACCTCAGTTCACATCATGTTACTGACAGAATTAGTTATACACGAATTGACTGCATGTTGCAAAAATAATGTAATGTTAATAATAGCTGATACAGTAGCCTATTCACGTCACAAGAAAATAAGTAATGATATGAGTTATGATTCTGTTTGTCTTGTAACAGTTTGAACTGCTCAAAGTAACAATGCAAGTTTTTCATTATTTTTGAGAAATAAAACTATAATTTAATAAAGTTTAATGCCATACATGGACATCTCCACAGAGACAAGTAGGTGGCAAAAAAACTCCTCCAGAAATGTTACATAGTGAACCTTTAATTGAACTGACGAGCATATAAACATATATAAACAATATTCTACAAGGTTTTTAAATATTGCACGTTCTATTGTGCAGCCCTAGCCATTGCTAACCCTGCTATACTTAACAAGTGTCAACTGTAGCTGTAACGGTCCCAAATATTTATATATACATAATTTCGCGTTTGTCTTTATATTTTACTTTGCGCCATCTAGTGGTCAATCACAATGTGGAACAAAGTATAATAGAAAGTTCCGCCCGAACCTAATTAACTGCGCACCTTGCTGTCAACACATTGCCGAGGACATGTGAATATCTCTGGTAAGATGAGAATAAGTCAGATAAAATTTTATGGGAATAACAATGTAAACACTTGTTTATTGTTTTTATTTAGTATATAGCGAAGGGATTTGAAGCAAGATTAACAATTAGCCCCCTCGTGGATGTCAGCCCACGAGGTTTGTGTGTTTTATTATTATATTTTATTATATTGTATTATATTGTAAGGTGCAGAGTTAATTTTGATGTTTTATTTATTGTTTTCTTTGCTGCCAGTTCTCACGGGTTGAAGAGTGAATAAACCCTGTTAAAAAACCTCGTGCTCATGCTCATTCCTTGAGGGGTGCTACACTAGCTGTCGCCGTGAGCCCCTGGCCATAAACATCCTCTAACTTTCAAGTTTTGGATAAATACATAAGTAGATAAATAAAGCAAAGAGGTGTGGAAAATAGGCTAAAGGAATCAGGGATGTGTAAAGACCTTAGAATGAAAACTTAATTCAAAAAGCTCTTTGGAGAATGCGGGCATCGATCCCGCTACCTCTCGCATGCTAAGCGAGCGCTCTACCATTTGAGCTAATTCCCCTTATAATTCACGATAGAGACGTGAACACATGTCAACGGATCTGTCTCCCGTCTCCTGATGATTCAGCACAGATAGGGTAGAGGATGTGTTGGCTCACAATTTAATCAGTACAATATACTGTATAGCCATTTTTTACCCTTCGACAAACAGGAAGAAGGAAGCAACCCCCCAAACCACAGATGAGACCCACAGAAGAAGAACAGCCCTGACAGAGCAGAGAGGAGCGACATTCAGCTCAGAGTGATCAACCACTGATGATGCAGTCACTCTACACACACTACACACTACACACTACACGCACACTACAACGTTTGCCCTTTCAGTGTGGACATGATTTAGAAATGAGGGTTATTCATGTGTTTAAAAGGCGCAGTTGCTTTTGGTTAAACATCAGAACAGACAATCCAAGTGTTGACAGAGCGTAGAGTGGAGAGAGCAACTTCAGAAACAGCCTGAGGAGCACAAACTTCACTTTATTCATTCTGTAAGAGCAGAGACAGGAAGTTCCTCCGTCCCTCTGTCCCACTAGGAACACACACAGAAAGAAGACACTTCTCAATGCTTAACTGCTAAAAGAAGAGTGTATAAACTGCATGCTTTAAACTGTTTAAATATTAAAAGAAATCCATATTACTTTAAAATAAACCCCAGTGTCTTTAATCTAGACTCGTTCTAGTCTGGCGCCCTCTGGTGGGTAAACACATACACAACTTTTCTGGAGTTCACCTTTTTGCCTTATTCAATTATGGATGTATTTATTGCTCAAAAATTCTTTGAAAACATGCACTAATTTCTACTATGAGTGGAAGAACATTCCAGGTAAAACAACATCTCCCTTTAGACAAGCAGGACAAGCAGGTGGCAGACCTTCCACCACAAACATGCACCTTCAACATTAAATAATTCCATAAATAATGTTACAAGATACATTTAAACCAGGGTGTTTTGAGTGCAACCAACAGAAAAGTGATTATTTAATAGTGCTCTGCAATATTTCCCAGGACTCAAAAATTCTCTGATCTTGTCTACAAATAAGCAAAGATGGTACAGGTACATTTACTTTCAAATACATTCTACTTTCCAGAGTACTTTTGATGCAGCATACTTTTACTCCTACTTATAGATATATAGTAATATTTTTTATTGAACTAACAGTACTCTTACTTGAGTAAAAGTTTGGGTTGAGTAAAAATACAAATGAGAAAAGCTTTATATAGACAATATGAAATGATTTGAAAATGTGTGTTTTTTGCACAGCTCTTTCAAATGATTTTATGATTCACTTTTTTTCATTTTTGTGTTTGGCCTTTAAAAAATACCAGATTTTGTGCATTATTTCATGTTTTGTCTTTCAAACAACTATAAATCAGATGTTCTCTTACCTGAGGAGGTTTTCTGAAATACTTAAATTACTTCAAAGCACTGATTATACTTCTATTTGAGTAATATTATTTTAAAGTAACGTTACTTTTACATGACTGGCTGTTCTACCACCTCTGCTATAACACAAAAGAAATAAGTTATAAATAATTGTATCTTTTTGATGTATTTTTGTAGGCCCACTTTGGAATACAAATATATCAAAAATGAATTGGACAATAAATAACTATGGTGACTAATCCAATAAAGCACAATGCAAATGACAGCTACGTGTACTGACAGAAACACGCAGCAAGAAAGAAATGTTTGAACATTTGAACAAGTACTTGGAAGATGGGCCTATTTAAGTCAGAACTGAGCTCCAACTGTGTAAGATTATGAAACAGGACCCAAGAACTGTCACGCGGTTACTTTGGATACTTTGGATACTTTTGTTCTTTCACTACATTTGAGAGTATGGGTCTGTGCTCTACTACATTTTCAACTGGACTGAACATGTATTTTTCTCATAGTTTTAAACCCATTGAAGTTACTGAGGGCTGTCTGGGGTGTGTGTCTCTCTCACTCTCAAAAAGGACACTTCCCAAATGCTTAACTGCTAAAAGAAGAATGTATATAAACACTGCATGCTTGAAATGGTTTAAATAAGAGAAAGAGAAGAAATATATATTCATATTCATAAATACATTAAAGGTGCTGTACTGTAGAACTTTTCTGGAAGGTGTTATGGCAGCCTGTAAGTGTCTGTTCAGGTACTAGTTGATAGTTATTCAAGTATTTAAAAGACTCATTAAGATTAGAGTGTAGGCTGTCATAAGAGCATCTTTCTGATAATACAGAATTAAGGGAATAAAAGTGTAAACAAAACCCATTAAGTAACTAAAATGTTTGTCCCTGTCTCCATGTAGACCAGCTGGCCACACCACCAACTTAAATGCCCATTTAAAGCTATTTTCTTTAGGAATAAAAATGTGTGGGTATATGCACAAAAGCAAACAGAAAATGTACCAACATGGTTTTATTGAGTCACATGGATAAAACAGGCAAAAGCATCATTTACATGAAGGCATGAGCTTCAATTAATGGGATGATCAGATCATTAAGGGTTTGTAAATGCACCAGGGCTAGCTGTGGTCTCGAAACTGTTGAAAACTCTCGGTCTTTCTGACAAAATACTTGTACTATTAGTGAGGTTAGGTGACCTTGAACTCAGGGACGTGTGTGTCTGTGATGATCAAAGTCAAAGGAAAGAATCAAACTTGGAGGGAATGTTAGAAGAAGTAAAAGAAACAAATGCTCTTAAATCTGACATGTAACAGTGAACATTCAATAAGGCAACACCTTTATATATTAACACATAATAAATATTGAAAACAATCTTATTTTGTACAAAAGCATCAATAATCCAGTGTTTTTACTCCTCAAAACTGCCAGAGGAAAGTGAACGCTTCATCGATGTGCCTCTGATCAGATGAGGAGGTACAAAACCAAAAATCTGTCAAAAGTCAAATTCTTTAAAATTTAGCAACATTTTAGGGATGGTCCAATGTGGATTTTTTTTTAGATATCGGAATCTGATAGCTGTCCTGCTGAGCCTGTACAATACTGGTTCAGTCCTGGTTCAAACATGGCAGTTTACAAGTAACAAAAGTGATGCAGAGGACTGGGAAACACAACAAATTGCTACAGAATCAAAAAGCAAAGCACTAATTCTGTTCTATAGTTAATCGCTATGGCAACTGTCCTAATTTTCCATCCTTCTGAAACCCATGGATATATAAATATCTGAACCTATTCACAGATTTGATATTTGAAAAAAAATCCACTACATCGGCTGATCTCAGATAGCACCTGTATATTATCCATCACAAATCCCGACACGATTTTAAGTCTTATTATGACCAGTCCTAGACTAGTCCTCAAACCAGTCCACAGACCAGTCCACAGACCAACCTTAGACCAGTTTCTTGGCCTCGAAAAAACTCTTGAGGTGCTTCATCTGCCAGATGCCGGTGATGAGGAGGATGAGGGTCTGAGCGATGGACCACCACAGCACGCGCTGGTTTGTGCTCTCACTGGTCATACGGAAACGCTCCTCACGGTACTGAGGAGAGGAAGAGGAAAGAGGTTAGGGTTAGTCCCGATTCAGTCCCGCTTTAATCCAGCTTCAAATGTGCTTCAGTCCTGCTTAAGTAACGCTTAAGTCCCAGTTTAGACCCGCTTTAGACCCGCTTTAGACCCGCTTTAGTCCCGCTTTAGTCCCGCTTTAGTCCCGCTTTAGTCCCGCTTTAGTCCCGCTTTAGTCCCGCTTTAGTCCCAGCTCTTACCCTCTGGTAGTTCTGCTCCTTCTGGATCTGCTCCACTTGGTCGAGCAGTTGTCTCGCTCGTAGCTGGAGCTCGGTGAGTTTATCTTTAGCTGCGATCTCGGGGTAGTTATTGGTGTGTTCTCCCACCTGGATGTCCAAGTGCACCCTCTGGAACAAGACCACATCAACATCAGCATCAGCATCATCATCATCACTGTACCATCGCTATGGTAACACAGCAAAACGCATGTGTTAAACCACACAGGTTATGACTGTTTTGTAAAATGACAGATATTGTAACCCTAAAATGGGAATCCAAAGTCAAAAATCAAATGTACTTTAGTCAAATTATATAAACTCAGTATCCATTCTGATACCACAAAAATTATTAATTGTTCATGTCATTATTAACATTAAATGGTAGTACTTTCTATATGACCACATGGCTTTATATCTGTGTAATCCCTCAGTCGTCCAGGGAAGTTCCCTAGAGATCTAGTTTTATTTATTTATTTGATTGGGACAAGTATTTACATTAGACAAGTAACATGCTACAACGTGTATAGTCATGGCTAATTTGCAATGCCTGTCCCTAGAAGGGCTTTTACAAAAATATCGGTTAGTATAGTATCGATTAGTATTTCGGATACTTTTGACAACTTTACAAATAGCAAAAGTATTCTGATATCACAATGCTAAGTCAAGTAATCAGCATCTTAATATCTGGGCTACCTTAGAATTTCCATCCCAGTCTCAATGCAAAGATTATTTTTTATTTTTCCTATACTAATAGCAAAACATCATTATTATGAAAGAATCTGATGAAAAATGCAAATTGTCAAGGTTAAGTATCATAGTCACATTCATACTACAGTAAAAAATAGAGTTCAGGCATTTAATAATATTTAAGTGAAAGAGAAGATGGAGATTGTACCAGTTTTCCTCCAGCGAACAATGCCATCTTGGTGGAGTTTGAGTGAAGGCAGATCTGATGCTCTCCAGGAGTGTGAGACGTGAAGGTGAAGCGTCCGTCTGAACCGTACTGACGAGAGAGGATGATCTGAACGAGAAAAACAGAAAACATACAAATATCAGTTAAAGTGCATTTAATAATAGATAACTCCTGTATAGTGTTTTTCATTACACTCAAGCACACATCTGACAGGTTTTCATGTTTTTCTAAATCTGACTTGGTTTGGAGGGAAAGGACCTGTGGTCAGCATTTATCATTGTCTGAAAAGTCAGTTTGTGGTAAAGGAGGCCAAGAAGAAAAGTACAAAAATACAAGAAGTAACGCTGAGTCAACAACACAGAAAACTCCATCCAAAGTGCTTCTTCTGAACACATTTGAACAAATGTAACTAAATATAAAGGTTCTGTTATTTATTTCTATGAGTCTATTGTGTCATTTAGACTTAGGTTTGGACTTTGGACCTTGTTAACATTGGGCCTCATTCTAAATTATATGTACAGTACAATTAGATTGAAATGCCCTCCAAATTTTCATATATGGCCAATATGGGCTTGGCATTCTGACATGAGAAAGAGCGAGGGAGCGAGGGAGCGAGGAGCGAGGGAGCGAGGGAACGAGGGAACGAGGGAACGAGGGAACGAGGGAACAAGGGAACAAGGGAACGAGGAAGCCAGCTGGAGCGTGTCTACAGACTACGGCTGTTTTACAGCTTCAGAGTCACCAATTTATTGAAATATTAAATATTTATTGCACTTTCCACAATCAATTTGAATAATCAAATCATTGAAGCTCTAGTGTGTCCTGTGAGGAGCTCTGTCAGATTCACCTTTAACATGTGGAGACAGACATTGGCTGTCTTCTCTGTATACATTATAACATGTATATTTAAAATGGTATTCTTTTAATTTTTATATATACTTACTCTGAACCAGATCTATTATTCAAATTCGATTTTACAGTATCAATATCGTGACCTGCTGCATTGGTAGGCATCATCAAGAGCATTTTTTGTATATTTTATCAAATGACCACAATTTTAGCTTGTTAGCAGTTAGCTTGTTTAGAGGAAGGAAATTCATTAATGCAACACATTTGACATATTCACTAGCTTTAAAGATGAAAATGTGTGTATTATTTCATATTCACTTTACGCAGATCGTGGTTTAACAAAGACTTTTAGTATTACAATCATGATTTTGTAGTTCTGTTGTGACTCTTTAGAGCACAGGTCCCTTTAAACACGTACACGTGGAGCCGTTTAAGCTGTGGATGAATCAGCACTGACCAATGCAACAGTTTTATGGCTTCCTCTAGTGAGTGATGTGCACTAAACATATCCTCGGTTTTGAGGTATGGATCATATCGGCTATTTCTGTGATAACTAGAGCCCTTGTTGCTCAGTTATCTTTACAAGTCACAACTGCTGCCTGTGTTCAACCAAGAAGTATACACTTTCAACACAGGGATGGGAGGGCATCTGACACACTGGGATACAAGAGGACGAGAGAGCATCTGAAACACCTTGGTATCGGGGTCCTTTATCTCCACGTGCATACCCAGACCGGGTGTGGAGGGCAGGTAGGCGTTGGTCTGTTTGTCCCAGAGCTGAGTCCTGTATTTACCTGAAACAAGTCAGACCACAGATTGTTATTCGAATATTTAAAAACTACAGGATGTTTGTCAAGGCGGTAAATAATAACATGTATTATAGGCATACATAATATCAACCTTAAGGTAAATAATCCATAAACACTGGCTTTTACCGACACACCACATTCAATTTACAAAGCAGCACTAAACCAGGACTGAAATTGAGACTAGAAATGTTTACAGAGGCAACTTTTATGAGTTCTGAACCATGTAAGTAATTCTGTTCAATTCAATCTTTATTAAGAACACATAAGATCTGGTTCAGAGTAAGTATATAAAAAAATTAACAAAACTAAACTTTTGTTTAAAATTAACAAAATTTTAAATATGCAAGTTATAATGTGAATCTGACAGAGCTCCTCACAGGACACACTAGAGCTTCAGTGATTTGATTATTCAAATTTATGGCTCTGCACATAAATCTCTGCACAACATCTAATCGTGACAACACAAGATCTCACACCTCCAGTTTACAGACATTTCAATGGCACTACAAAACCTCGGCACTTTAATAATCTCAAACTCTTATTCTTGCAGTTGCGCCAAAGATGGGCAGTGTACAAGGGCGACCATAAACATTTAAAAAGTGCAATTTTGACATCACTGGAGCACGTGGAGAACATACAGACAGCATACTGGCCTGGCCATAAAGCTCATACTGCTGCACTACTGCTATACATGTCTCTGTCATCTGAGATGTCACTGGGGACATAATGTCTAAGATATTTGACCTCATCTGTGAGTTGGAGGGCACTCCCGCACAGAAAGAAAACCGGAAAAGATAGCCTTTTGTCCTCTTTTGTTTTTACAATCATAATGTGACTTTTCAGAGCATTGTACTGACATGTTCAAAGCCAAACTGGGAACAGGCATTTCTGCTGCTGCAGACGTGCACTGTGAGGGCATAGCAGTACGAGATCATCTGCATACATGGTTACACAGATAATCTCCAACAAAACATCCAGTTTTACAGTCACTAATCTGCGCAGACAGAACATCAACTGGCAAACTCCATTACTGACCCTAAATGGATCAGAAGTAAGTAAACAGTGCTTTGCACAGATAAAAATTACAATCAATACTTTACAGAGAGCAGGTTCACAAGCAATACAAAACAAACAATAAATCGTAAAATAGGACTCAGTCAACCAAAAGCTTTTTTAAACAGGAGCTTCTCAAATGCAGCTGAGACTCCCCCCGAGTTTTAAATCTGTTTTCTGGGACCACCAACAGATTCTGTGTGGAAGAGAGGAGGGTGCATCTTCTTCAAAAAGTTGTATTTTGAGAACAATGTGCATGTTAGTCCTACATTTCAGCCATGAAGTGCCATGCTGTTTTCACCTTCCCCCTACCCCACCCACTGCTCTGTACTCACTGCAGTTATTGAGAATATTCTGACTCTGAGTCATACAATGAGAGTTCAAATTGGAAATGTTTGGAGTCAGCAAACCAATATGTTTCAGCAATGAAAACACATAAATGAAAATTCAAAACTTAGACTCAACCACCTTCAAAATGAGACTAGCAAAGAGTAACCCTCCAGCATTAAGACATTAAGCAAGATTTAAACCAAGTCTAAACTGACACTATTGCTGTAATACCTAACGTATTAAATTGTAAATTAACCTAAAGATACCCAACTACCAGCAATTACATCACTGCTTTTGATATTCAATTTGATCTAAAAAGAAAAGTAGAATTAAGATGCATACAAATACAATATGATAAAAATAGAAATGGATTTAAACCAGGATTAACCTACGTCAAAACTGACACAACTTATGCAGTAAATAGTGCATTAAAGGTGCAGAATATGACTTTTCTGGAGGGGAGTAGGCCTATGTAATCTGTTGGTCTCTATGGAATGGTTCATAGTAAGCTATAATATTTCTGTATCTTACATTTATTTAATTGTGGGTGTTTTTATAGCAATGAACTACCGTGAAAAGCATACGTATTTACTTAAAAAAAAAGAAAAAAGATAAACTGAATGCCATGTAGTGGAGCAATAACATCTTCATAGTGAAAAGCAGAAAGGTTACACATTGCACCTTTAAAATGTAAATTGGCCCATACCAGCAGGGAGCCGTACTACTTCTTTGCTTATTCAAATCACAAGCTAAAAGCAAAACAGTTAAGTAAAGACGCATGTAGTTATTTAAATAATACCTGCAAATAATTAAGTTAAATAAATTGCATAATCTAAAAAAGACCTAGCACCATAAAAGAATGCATTCTCCTCCCCGCTGCAAACAGCTGGTAAGTGTTTTATGTGCGCTAGAGCTAAAGCTAATAACAGCGTCTCACCGATCACCATGGTTTCGTCCGGAATTTCTTCAATGAAGCATTTCTTTTCCGTCTCCCCTATGTGGAAATACAAGCCCACCGCCGGGTAAATGCACGAAAATATTAAGATAACTAAAGATACGAACACGCGGAGCATCATTTTGGCTGTGCACACAAACGTCACTGCTCTGCGGACACGGACACGCCACGGGGATTTCCTGCTTTTATCCCACTACTTCCCCCCTGAGTTTGACTGTCAGGCTATGAGAACGACTCTACTGTGCTACTGTGTGGAATTCAAACAGTCTATGGCAGGGGTGGGCAATTATTATTATTATTATTTTTCCGTGGGGCCACATAAGAAACAGAAATGATTGTGATGGGTCAAAATGCTAAACTCAATTCAGCATAACAGTAATCGTATTTCTTTAAAAACAGCAGTAAATAGCATTGATTAAGGTAAAAAATATTAATATTAATACTAGATCAAACCGCTAGCCACAAGATCTAATGAGACAAAATTGCCACTTGATTGTGCACACGTGTTGAAAATTATCTCGTGAGAATTTTTCCCCATGTTTGGATGGGATAAAAGTTAAGTATGGTGGGATACATTTTTTTGAGAAGCTGTAGTCACAAAATGCAGTGCTACAGCAAAAAATATTAAATAAAGTAAAATCAATTTATAGAATAAAATGATTTATATGAAATAATGTCAAAATCTCGTCTCGTCTTTTATCGCAGATAAAGTATTGTAAGAAGAAAACAAAAAGGCAAATTGCTCAAATTTGATCATCATACCTGTCCTAACACAATAAAGCCAGTAAAATGTAATAAAAGCAAAACCATAAAAATCATAAAACAGCAGTGTGTGTGTGTGTGTGTGTGTGTGTGTGTGTGTGTGTGTGTGTGTGTGTGTCTGTTTGTGTGTGTGTGTGTTCACAAAAGCATTTATCATAACTACTACCATACTGTGCATCAACCAGATAGACACACCACATATGAAACTGAGCCTGGCAGACTAAACTCAGGACAAACCCGCTCCGGGCTCATGACTAGTCCTCGGTTTGACAGATCGGGCTGTAAATTAGAGTTGTTATTACACTTTGACTCTTTTAGGTAACATTTTACACACTGTAGTTAGTTTATTTATGAAAAAACGCTTTTATGTGAACCACGGAGCTGTACACGACCGATCCACTGTCTTTTTCCGTAATGTTATCGTTAGCTGTGAGACTTTAGCCGTGCTGCTAGCCTTGTTTGGGTCAGATTTAGATCGTCCAAAACACGTTCTTTGAGTTGAAACATTGAATCAAGGTGAAATATAAAGGTAAGACCCATTTTAACTTGTGACAGAGTGTTAGTTAACATGTTATATACTTCAAAACGAGAAAACTGACGGGTACCTGCTCAAATACGGAACAATCACCTTTGTAGGTAAGAAAAAGCAGTGTTAGATTTGCGCACATGCTAATTATAATCAGCATATGTGTCTTTATCAGGTGAGTTAATAACAGTGTAATAGAGTCCATGATAAATAATCTTTTTCCTCGTGGTTTGGGGATGACGTAATGTGTTTTCCATTCGCTGTTACCTGTCCGTTTGTGTGCAGGTGGATTTAAGACTCTCATTGTCATAAAACACTTCAAAAACACGTGTCCCTCGTGGAAAGGGGTGCACAGTGATCAGATATAGATCTGTGTGAAAGTGAAAGCATTCTTTCTGGGTTATCAATATGCGTCATGTTCCGTGTGCGGTGACCTGACTGCGCTGTACTGCCATAGTCTGGGTACATTAGATTACATCAGTGCTGCAAGTTTACTCACAATAAAATCGAAATTGCAATTTTAATGAATACAATTGACTGCAAGTACCATAATTTACCCCACAAACAACAAAATGCCCTGTCTTATTCAGCATAAAAACATTTTAGAGGAACTGTTGTATAGAACAAAGTACAGTGAATGTAAAAGCTTCGATGTTTATCATTTATGTCTTTGCCGCATTAGTCTGTCCCTTTTTACATAATTTTCTTTGTCAAAACACACACAGGTGTAAATGATCAGACAGAAATTGGACTACTACACATCACAGGGGCTGCTACATGTGATTATTTTAGGGGGTTGACTATAATCAACAATTATTTTCATTGTCATTTCTTTTCATTGTCACTAACACTTTTTAGAAATACATTATTAACCAAAATAAAGGTTGAAAAATAGTGACTGAATGCTTCTAAACATAATATTTCCAGATAAACTGTATTTTTGATGACAGTCACAAACTCTTGACATTTTGATGTAAGAATGCTGCAGCATTTGTTATAAAAGGTCTTGACATGTGTTTAGTATAGTCAAGAAAGTTATTCTGATGATCAGAACATGACTGACATAATTTTTTATATTATATATTCAACTAGTCATGATTAGTTGATTTATTGTTGCAGCCCTACAGACGAGCTCAATCAGTATAAAACATTAGCTAGAGAAAAAGGAACAACAAACTGAAAATGTTATGAAGATTAAATGTCAACAACTATCTGCTGGAGTTTTGATCCTGTTTTTGGCGTGCATATAAATGTACCCATTGCTCAGTGTTAATGCTCATATATTTTCTTTGTTTCTCTGTTAGCAATGGTCCAGCCCCAGCCTGACGGGCCCATGCAGTGGGACATGTCTGCAGAGGACAGTGGACTCAGGGTTCCTCCGGAACTCGCAGCCAATGAAGTGGTGACACGGCTCCTCTGTGACAACCAGCAGCTCAGAGGTGCAGTTCTGTGTCAGAGGACTCCTCTGTGTTCTCTGTGTTCATCAAAGACTCTATTTACAAAAAGAAGTGGATATAGCTAGCCCCTGTATTTCTCTGTGTCTCCCTGTAGAGGCCTTGCGGCGCAGTAACTTGGCCCTTCGTCAGCGCTGTGAGGAGATGGAGGGATGGCAGAGGAAGACGAAAGAGGAGAGAGAGTTTCTGAGCTGCAGGTTTCAGGAGGCGCGGGCCCTAGTAGAGAGACTGGCTCAGGAGAATCATTCTTTACAGAGTCTCATGAACACACCGTCCCCCGGCTCCAGTCACTGCTGCAGCTCCAGTCACTGCTGCAGCTCCAGTCAGACAGAGGAGCAGAGAGCCAGGAACGGACCAATGGAGCCCCCACAGGTGAACATGAACAGAGGGTTTAAAAGGGCACATATTACACTATTTTCTGATCTATGTTATACTGTAATGTTAGATTTTTATTTATTTATTTTTTTATCAAAAACACATCTGGAGTAGTGTTTTGTATCTTTCACACAATGTTTGACACACAAATCCTGCACATTTACAGCAAACACCGCTTTGTGATGTCATGTGGTAGTTCACTGTGTTTTTAACTCCATACACCTAATTTCTACCCTGGAATTGCCAATCTCTACTGAACTAAAGGTAAAAGGAGCTGTTCACTTGAAAACTCCCACTACATGACATCACAAAATGGAACAGAGCATTTTTAGCTTTGGAGGTACAGACACACTAGTAGTAAAGAGTTACTCAAACATGTGTGAATGAAAGAAACACAACTCCAGGTATATTTTTGAGGAGGTAACAACATTATATCATGGCTTAAAAGTTTAAACTCACAAGAGTCAATTTTGCGGAATATAGGACTTCTAAACAGATATTACAGGACAATCCACCATGTTTTTTGGCAGCAGTGTTCATAGAGTTACAGATCGGCTGTTTGAGGAGCGGAAGAGCCCCCAGGACTAAAATGTCCTCCAGGAAAGGCCTCACTCCTACTCCACTCTGTTGTTTCAGTTGGTTATGAAAGTGTTTCCTCTAAAAGGTCTTAGCCAGTTTTACTAGGATTTGGTGTGGTTTTTCATCAGCTTGTGGACAATATATAAATCTGACAAATAATAATAATATTTTAATTTCTATTTTTCTTTCTCCTGTTTTGACTTTATTTAGACCTGTGCTAAGATAGTTTGTAATTTTGATACTTTATAATGCAGCCCAACTAGAAATTCTAATTGTTCCCCAGCTCTAGTTTACAGATGAATGACTTTTTATTTTATTTTTTTAGACTTTGGATTCACGAGAGAGGAAGAGAGTGGAGGAGACAGATCGGCACACACAAACCACGCCACCACGCAGTCTGGTGAGAACTAGTGTTGTTGATACTCAATACTGATTACAATACCACAACGATGATAAAAGCATTCTTTAATTAGACAATAGAATGTGATTTTCAGCATTAAATGGTAGTAATTTCTTTTCTATTCCCATGTGTCTTATATGTGTGTAATCCTCAGTGGTCCAGGTAGTGGTCAGTGTGTGTATACTAGTCTATGTGCTCTTACACTTGTTGTGATACAGCTCAACATCGTTGTAAAGCTATTCAGGAAAGGCTCATTTCTGTCCTGTGAATGGAACTTTTTACTATTGATATTTGTGAAAATGAGTACCTAGTTTTGGTACTAGTTTTAGTATTGTACTTTTGACAGCCCTGGCAATATGTTTGACCAGGGACACAAATGACCTTGTACAAATGTAAAATGATCAATACATGAATATTTTTTATTTCTTTAGCCTGTGGAGGGCACAAATGACGTCCTCCAGTTTTTGAAAAGCCACAAAGAGAAGCTGGAAGAAGGAATGAGAGATCTGAAGAGGAAGAACGAAGAGCTGGAGCGTGAGAGGGAGGAGGGAGAGAAAGAGAAGGAGAGGATGAGGAGGTTTATCGACCAGCTGAGAGGAAAACTGGCTCTGGCACAGGTGAACTACAGCTAAAGTGCCATTTCAAAGGGACATTAATGATGCACTAGTCTTAGATAGAGCTGCAGTACAAACTGGGGTGCAGTGGATAAAACAGTCAGCTCCAAAACTGGACAGTTGGGGGTTCTATTCCGGCCACATTCCCATCAGTCTGCACCAGGGCTGCTGTGGCTTTAAAGTAGTTAGAGTGAGACAAAGGAAGTCTCAGTAGTTGATGCTTTGCAGGGACATCAAGCTTGGGGTGTTCTGCATGTATTTCTTTGGTGTAATGTTTTTGTTGGCGACACAATGCACAAAATGTTAAGAAAAAACACAAAATGGATCTAATGAGCACATTTTCAGGAGCCTGTGATCAGTACGACTGTTCATGGTCCTGTTTAGGAGTTTGATTTTGAACAAAAAAGTGAGAGTGATTATTTGAAGAGAGACTTGTTTAACAGCACAGATCAGCTCATCTGTTGTAGTTGCAGCTAAATTGTCTTTTTCTGATTAGATTGTGTTAAAACAAAGCTCAGACTGAAGTCTAAGTTGAGCTTCAGACAGAGTAGTGTCTACAGTTAGCATCACACCTCCAGAGAAGGTTGATGACAGCTGCAAAATAACAATGCACCAGTTTACCTAAAAGAGTTATACCTTTATAACAGAAAGGGTGATTAGATGAAGCTCACAGACACAAGAATGCTCATCTGTGATACAATGTGACTGAAGGATTTCACAGTTTTTTTTGTCAGATCTAAACAGGAATGATCAGAAAATGGTGTTTGGAAATGGTATGATATTGTGGCATCCTTAAGTTGCCATTTATTCAAAAGAACTTTAAATAGATTCTTGTTCTTTGTGTTTTTAGCAAACCAATAATGTGACAGAGGAGCCTCACCAGCACCGCTCTGAGGCCCAGCACTCTTCAGACTGGTAACACACCTTTAGAACATGTCTTTTTTTAATCAACTATTAACTCTCACTATTAACAAGAATACTGCAGTTTTATGGTACTGTGCTAAGTCTTCTCTCTGCTGTCATAAGCTTGTTACCAGCTCTGCTCTCTCTGATCCTCACCTGAACCCCACTTTTTCCTCTTCTCACATATTTAACCCTTTTTAACCTGCTTTAAATGCCTGGTTCTCTCTCTCTCTTTCTATGTCTCTCTCTCTCTCTCTGTGTCTCTCTCTCTCTCTTAATAACCCTTAAATAACCTGTTGTCCCCTCTCTCCTCCTCCTCCTCCTCCTCCTCCTCCTCGTCTTCGTCTTTCTCCTCTCTCATATTTAATCCTTTATAACCTGTTTAAACCTTATCCTCTGCCTCTGTCTCTCCTCATATTTAACCCTTCAATAACCTGCTATCCTCTGCCCCTCTCTCTTTCTCCTCCTCTCTCTCTCTCCCTCCTCCTCTCTCTCTCCCTCCTCCTCTCTCTCTCCCTCCTCCTCTCTCTCTCTCTCCTCCTTCTTCTTCTCTCCTCCTCTCTCTGTCACTCTTCTTTCTCTCCCTCCTCTCTCCTCTCTTCTCGTCTCTCCTCCTCTCTCTCTCTCTCTATCTCCCTGTCCTTCTCACTCTTGCTCTCCACTCTTTTCCTCTCTCTCTCTCTCTCTCTCTCTCTCTCTCTCCCTCTCCCTCTCCCTCTCCCCTCTCTCCCTCTCTCTCTCTCTCTCTCTCTCTCTCTCTCTCTCTCTCTCTCTCTCTCTCTCTCTCTCTCTCCTGCTCTCTCCTTCTCTCTGTCCTTCTCTCTTTTTCACAGTTCTAGTTTGGCTAAACTCACCGAGCAGCTTCAGGCCACACAGGGCAGGTGTGCATGTCTCTCTCTGCATGTCTCCATCACTTTCTCTTTATTTCATGGTCTGAGCGTCTGCATGGATTTATTTGTGATCATACTGATCAGAGATCATAGTTACAAGATTTATCTCAAGAGAATTTCATTATTTAATTCTATTTATTATAATATGAAATCAAATACACAATATGTTTCATTGAATTCAAATGATGTGTACATTTCATGAATCTAAATACAGGATATCTGATATTATTTCAGTCCTTGTTCAGGCTGAGCCAAATGGCCAAAAAGTAAATATTGATTGATTGATTTTTTTTGCACACTGATAATTATTATTTGAATAGATTTGACTCAAAGTCAGAGCGAGGAATGCTGTTCTTTCAATCTGGGGAAGATCTTTTCATTCTTATCGTATTCTAATATTAAGAAATGATAAAGGGCAGTTTACTTCCATTTGTATGTGTTTGCACACATCACTGGTGCGAGGCTCCTACAGGGAACATGGAAAATGAGACACACTTCCTCTGCTCACGTCCTCCCAGGAGGAAACCTCATTGTTTTAAATGCACTTTAGGGGTGCACAGGCTTTGTCTCGTCTCTTAGTAACACAATAGCCTGCTTTGCAGGAAGAAAGTCTGGAGTAAACCTGTTTCATAATAATCCTTGCTCTCACTGTTGTACTACACAAATGATTCGAATTAGTTATATGAAGTGCTCAGCCCTTGTCCTAACAGTGTAAATCTGTGGCACTGTGAATGAAAGTGAAGCATGTTCATTGTGAAAATCATCAAATGTGATGTTTTTTTCACTCTTATTTTCCATTGAGCCGTCCTTTTGTGGTGTAATAATGTTCTGACTACTGCTGTACTGCTGTAGTATAATATTTCTGTTACTGTTCCACAGGTACAGAGAGCTGGAGGAGAAACTGGATTATTTACAGAAAAGTTCAGCTCAGAGAGACAAAACGGAGGCTCTGCTCAAACAGAAGGACAAAGACTGTGCAGGTACTATACATGAACTCTTATTAACCTTTATCCCAGCAACATCCTGTACTTATGCTCACCTAACATGTTTGGTTACTCTTCACACTGGGACGACTTTATTTTTGACAAAAGCTTTTTTCTTGCACCTAACCCTAAGATATTGTTTAGGATTGCTTCTATTAAAAATACTCAAATTGACCTTTGACAGAGTTGAACTTTGGGCCAGTTTTTGTTTCATGTGGCTCAACATAAACCAGGTCAACACATTTGCATCTGACAGTCTCACAGAAAACTCCACCTGAGACTCTGACCTGTCTCAGCTCAGTTTAAACTACACAGGCTTTTTACATAGTTTTGTCATATGAACACAGCCTGTTTGAACTGAACCTGAGTTGTACATGAACCTAATTTGAAACATGTAAATGTGTTGTTTGGGCAGTTGGCCAAAGACTGTGAGGCTCTGAAGGCCCAGGTCACGTCTCTTCTGGGGGAGCTGAACGAGAGGCAGAGCTGGCTGGACAAGAGCGAACACGAGCGCAAAGTCCTCGAGGAGAAGTGAGTCTATTTAAGATAAGACTCAACCATTTGGGAAATAATGTATCAATGTATTTGATATTTTATTAAACATAAACCATTATCCAATTATTAGAGCACTAAGCCAGACATCAAAAGGATACATTCACAAAGGTCATGGGTGTTTAATTCATTATATTTGTGTTATTCAGCACAATATGTATAATTTTGAAATCTTTTGTAAAGCAACTTGGAAGGGGGTGGACAGCTACTCATAGCTCCTGAGCTACAGCTTGGAGACCCCTGATCTACACATGTCACAGTTACAGTAAATTGTGTCTCATAAAACTGATTTATATTTGAGTCAGTTGTTGTCTTTCTATATGCGGACAGTGCAGTAAACAGTATGTATATTCTGTATCTGTATGGATACTTTGAATACCTCTGTTCTTATATTTGTCTTTGTACTTGTGCTGCAGGTTGTGCAATAAGCAGAAGGCCCTGCAGGGGTTTGAGCAGGAACTGGAGCAGCAGAGGAAACAGCATATTGTGGCCAGGGACAAACTCCTGCTTCAAACACAGAATCTAGAGCAGGCTCTGAAGGCCGAGAGACAAGCAGTGGCAGAGGAGAAGTACGACAATATACAACACTACAGTACAATACTCTACTACCACAGTATATATGACACAATACTATATAATATAACACTATGACACAGAGTGATACCCTTCCTTATTCAAAAACCCTTTTACCCTGATCAAATCTCCCACCTTACCAGCACCAAAGCAACCTCAGACCATCACTTTACCCCCACCATGTTTGACAGATGGAGTCAGACACTCTTCCAGCATCTTTTCAGTTGTTCTGCGTCTCACAAATGTTCTTCTGTGTGATCCAAACACCTCAAACTTCGATTAATCCGTCCATAACACTTTTTTTTCCCAATCTCCCTCTGTCCAGTGTCTCCTTTAATTTATTCTCTTCTTTATAGGAAAAAACTGACACAGCTACAGCACGCATACACCTGTTTGTTCAGAGACTATGATACTAAACTCAAGGTGAGACATTTAGAAAACATTATCACATCTTTTTTTTCCTTTTTAAAATTGTATCCTGTTTGTTCATCAGGGGGGAGACCTGTGTGCGCGTTTAGAGGAGGCGGAGAGGGCTCTGGCTCTCAAACAGGACCTTATCGACAAACTCAAGGAGGAGGTGGAGCAACAGAAGGCGTCATTAGAGACTATACCTGTCCTCACTGCACAGGTAAAACAGAACTGAACCAGGACTGAACCAGGACTTAACCAGGACTAAAGCAGAACTAAACCACATATCTCTTGAGTTTGTCCTTGTATCTTCAGATAAATGTATAAATGCCTTTTGTAATATTTTTTCAGGCAGAGATCTATAAAGCAGACTTCTTGGCTGAGCGAGAGGCACGAGAGAAACTGAACCAGAAGAAAGAGGAGCTGCAGGATCAGCTGAACCAGGCTCTGGGAGAAATTGAGCGGCTCAAACAAGAGGCCACATCACGGTGAACATCTTAACTACTCTAACAGTCATTATTAAGGCTCCTATATCACACTAAATGGACGCTTGTGAGCTTTAACGTTTCATTCACACATGTTTAAGTAAGGCTTTATCGTTAGTCTGTCTATATCTCCAAAGATCCAAATGCTCTGTTCCACCTTGTGATGTCACAGAGTAGTAGGTTTTGTTTCAGTTTTGCTTTTGGAGCGCTGCAGAGAGCTTCCTGATTATGTAGGCTTGTGGGTGGAGCCTTAGAAGTGAGGTTTAAGAACACTCCAAAAAGTCAGTTTAGTATCAAATAAAAAAAAAAAAGCCAAATGTAGCTCTCAAGCCCCTTAACATAGCCGCCCATTCAAGTAAGTCAATGTGCCGAGCTCTGCGGCGCATGTCTCCAGATTAGCTGAACCCGACTTCATGGGCTCTCTGCCCATTGAGCATGTGCAGTAGTCACGTGACAGCTTTGACCAATCAGAGTGTGAGTAGTTAGAGTGGAGCAGAGTGGAGCCGGTGTTCTGTTGAAATGGGCTGCCCCGTTAAAATGAGCTCCCAGCAGACTAAATCGACAGTGACGTCTATTGATTCACACTGCCTCGTCCAAACCCTGACCTCCTCAGTTTGACAACATATTTCTTTGGATTAGAGATGCAGGTTTGATGCTGTTTCAGACTTTATACCTTAGTTATGTCAAATCTAAACTCATTTATATGCACCTGTGTAGTTGATTTGGACAGTCGTATTCTGGTCAAATAGACTCCGACTAAAGGAAGCACATATCCACAGGACAGTTTATCCATTGAATAATGCTCCCACTGTACAATCAGCATTATTCACTCATTTAGATTAATTTGGGCAGAGCTCATTTCTACATGCTTCTATCAAATAAAACTCTCACTACAGAAGAGAAAGAAATGACTGGAAACACTGAAATCTTTACATTAAAAAACATTAAATATATAATATTTAATGCTAATAACACAACATCCTGCGGGACCACCATCACCCTGCGCACCACCTTTTTCACCTGCTGCCCTCAGGGAGAAGGTACAGGTCCATACGGGCCAGAACATCCAGACTGGCCAACAGTCTGTATCCACAGGCTGTGAGGCTCCTGAACTCTGCCCCTCTCCCCCCTTGGCCCCTCTCTGCCCCCCTCTCACGGACAAAAACCACATCCAACTCCTAATAACACTGAACTGGTTGCATTGTTGCATTTTTTGTCATGATTCTCAGGTCTCGGTCTGAATGTCCCTGTCTGGGTACGTTACTTGACACGCCCTCATTATGCTGCTATAAGGAACCGTCTCATGTTGTACTGAGGCCACACTGGGTCAATGTTTACACTTGGGTTCAAGGGGTATTTATGGGTTTGCACTTTATGGGATGCTCCAAACGCAATTTCGTTGTTCTTCTGTGACAATGACTAGAAGTTGAAATAAACAAATAAACAAATAATATCAAAAGCTACAGTGAATTTCACCTTTCTAAACAAAATGACAATGTTTTTTACACATGGAAAGAAAAGAAAATATGATGTAATAAAAATAATAACTAAATAATAATAATAATAATGATAAATAAATAAAATATTAAATCCAAACTATTCAATCATCTAACATAGCTTCTGCCGCAAATCTAACACACACAAGTCGATGTTTAACTGGATAAAACAAACAATAAAACCAAAATATTTTTAAAATGTTATTTGTTGCTTTGGGAGCTCAAATCGACGGCATTTAAACTGTAACAGCACTTGGGAGTTATAGCGCATGCGCGGTATGCCTGGGAGCTCAAATCGACGGGTAGCTATTTGAAACGCCTCTTTATAATCGTCTCTGTAGCGCTCTCTGCTGGTCACCTGTTGTAAACACCTCTGTAGCGCTCTTTGCTGGTCACCTGTTGTAAATGTCTCTGTTTGTTTCAGCGCACGGATCGAACAGATGAAGCTGAGACACTTGGATGATTTTCCAGCTCGAGCGTCTCACATTCCTCAGGCTCCAGGTGAGAAACTTGTCCAGAGTTTGGATGAGGGGGTCCACACTTTTAGTTTTTAATCTTGAAACATAGTGGAAGCAAAGGGCCATTGACTGGTGCTTAATGCAAAGGATCATTCAGATGGAGGCGTTTTACTCATATGTAGTACTTTAGTATTTTTGAAAGCTCTGGATCAACTCGGCCCATTCAGGAAAACTGGTCTGAAGGCGACATTTGGCCATAGTTTGGACACCCCTGGTTTATATGTTCAATCCAACTCAATCTCTCCCACTCTCCACGGATAGAAGTAGTACAATTTTAGCAGTAGGAGCAGTAGTAGTAGTAGTAGTAGCAGTGGTAGTAGTAGGAGCAGTAGCAGTATTAGTAGCAGTAGTAGTAGTTGTAGTATTTGTAGTAGTAGTGGTATTGTACTATTAATAACAGTATTAGTAGTAGTAGTAGTTATAGTAGTAGCGGTAGTATATTATTAGTGGCCGTAGTAGTAGCAGTAGTAGTAGTTGTAGTAGTGGTAGTGTAGTATTAGTAGCAGTATTAGTAGCAGTATTAGCAGTAGTAGTAGTAGTAGTAGTAGTAGTAGTAGTAGTGGTAGTGTAGTATTAGTGGCAGTATTAGTAGTAGTAGTAGTAGTAGTAGTATTTGTAGTTGTAGTGGCATTGTAGTATTAATGACAGTATTAGCAGTAGTAGTATTAGGAGTAGTAGTAGTAGCAGTAGTAGTAGCAGTATTAGCAGCAGTTGTAGTAGTAGTGGTATTGTAGTATTAGTGGCAGTAGTAGCAGTAGTAGCAGCAGCAGTAGTAGTTGTAGTAGTAGTGATAGTGTAGTGTTAATGGCAGTAGTAGCAGTAGTAGCACCAGCATTAATAGTAGTTGTAGTAGTAGCGGTAGTATATTATTAGTAGCAGCAGTAGTAGTAGTAGTAGTAGTAGTAGTAGTTGTATATTCCATGCATTTTGCCTGGAACATATTTCTGTGTTTCAGGTGCGTTTCCGTTCCACACAGCCCCTCCCCCTTCGTCGTTCCGTGGTCAGGGCGTTGCCGTGGGCGACCAGGCGTCGGCGTCAGAGGAGATCCCCGACCTCTGCTGCCCCAAGTGCAAGTACCAGGCTCCAGACATGGACACGCTGCAGATACATGTCATGGACTGTATCACCTTTTAACCACCTTTATATCATCCTCCCAAAACTGTCAACTACAAATACAAATACACAACCAAATCAGGAACTCTCAAGTACTGTGCCTCTGCTAACACTGTTACGCCCCGTTTAGTCTGAACCAGGACTGAACCAGGACTGACGCAGGACTGACGCAGGACTGAGGCAGGACTGAGGCAGGACTGAGGCAGGACTGAGGCAGGATTGAACCAGGACTAAACTAGGACTACAAAAATAGTACATCCAGACTAGACCAGGGACTAAACTAAGAATAAACTAAGACTGAACCAAAGGCCTAAACCAGTGATTAAACTAGGACTAAAACAGTACTAAACCAGAAACTTAAACAGTATCATATCAGGGAATAAACTAGGGACTAAACCAGAGACTAAACTCGAGACTAAACCAGGACTAAACCAGAGACTAAAACAAAACTTGGACCACACTAAACCTGCACTTAAAAACAATTAAACTGCGACTAAACTAAACCAGAACTAAACCAGGATAACAATCACTGACAACAATGAGCCAAACCTCATATAAGAAAACAAAATTCTCTCTTCTTTTCTCAGATTTGTCAGGGCTGCCCGTGTTAGTGGAGGCGCAGTACACAAACCTGCTTTATCTTTGGTATTCTGCATTTTCCATAAATGACATGTGAATACAGACGATCAATCCTTCCACACTTCATATAGCCAAAATATTATCCTGTGTGTCAGATGCCCTCCCGTCCTCCTGTATCCCCGTAGTGTTAGAGTGAGATGGCGGCAGGTCGTATGTCTCTAGTTAATCTGCAGATGTTGTAATGCGCCAGATGCCCTTCCAGACATTGTGGTGTGGTTGGATAAGTGGACCTTGACATGACATTGTAAAATTCTAAAACAATTCATATTCAAATCAGTATTTCTCATCTCTCCTTTTCTTGGGTCACTTTATCGATGCAGTTTTGTAGAAATGAAGAACTCTCTGTGTGTAGTGAAGGTAATTATGGACAGCCTCATTTAAATCAATAGGTTGTGTTCACTGCCATTTTAAAGGACCTATAGTTTCACCTGAGCTGAGACAGGGCCAACTCTCAGGTGGATTTTGCTGTGGAAGTGTCAGATGCAAATTTGTTGACCTGGTTTATGGTTCATATCTGTAAGTCCTGGGCCTATCCACATGAAACAAAAACTGTCACAAAGTTCAGCATCTTCTCTGTCAGGAGAAATAAACAAATGTCTAATGTTTTTAAAAAAATATCTTACCTGTATTTTGGTCATTAGATCTATAACAGGTCTCCATGAACTGTCTAATGCTTTGTTATGGAATATTCCAGGCACAATAACATCTCCATGGATACAACAAATATGTAGCGGTTTTCATTAATGTATTTTAAAGAAGGAGGCATTATGCAAAATTGACTTTTTGGAGATTTATACCAGATTCTAACGTAGTTCCTTCATCAGAAATATGTCTTATGTATCATCCATGCATGTCTGAGTAATCTATCGACCTCTCCTGGGCTCTGTTCAAACCCTCCTTACAGTTAGCTGTAAGATTCTGTGCAAGGCTCCACCCACAAGTCTACATCAGCCTCAGCCATGCTCCCACACGGCCATTTTTCATAAATATTCCAAAAAACATAATGCAAAACAATACTGTACCACTACAACATGATAAACCTGATGTGATGTGCAGTAGTTTCATTAGCGGGATGCATGCTGTTGTGTTGTGTTGTGATAGTGCTCTGAAGGGGGAGTGACTAGTGCAGAGAGCAAAGGGAGGGGAAACTCGGAGTGTCAAAAAAATGACACTTATAAAACATATCAATACATTGTTTTCACTGTGTATGGCATTTTCAAAACAATCAAAGATAACATGGTGATGGAACTCTGTTAATGCCCCAGAGAAGTGTAAAAGCTTAAAGATTTCATTCATAAATTGTGTCTCAATCTTGCCCTCCATCATAATTTTAAAATGTGAACACAACCTATTGTTCAACACCACTAGAACATGAATGAAACTAACCACTAGATAAAATAATGTGAAACGTAGTTAGTGTTTTAAAGGTGGAATTGGTGGTAAATGTTGCGTGTCTTTTTACCTCCTGAACATGTCCATGTGTTTGACATGTGTTTACATCACATCACTGCCCCATCGACACGGAGTCTCAAGACAGTGGGAAGGACCAGGACAAAACCAGGACTGCTAGACTGGGTCTTACACAAAGGCTAAAACAGGAATGGACTAGTACTAAAACAGCTCTAAAACAGGACTAAAGCAAAACCAGAACTAAACCAGGGCTAAAATATAGACTAGGGCTAAAACATTCTGAACCTAGATCAAATCAGGACTAAACCAGGTTTTAATAGAGGACTAAATTTGACTATTTAGAGCAGGACTAAACCAAAACTAAACTAGGACTAAATGTGGACATAACCAAAATGACAAAAATATGAAGGAACCAAAGATGAACATATCAGTAGACCTGGACTAAACCTGGTCTTACCCTATATGAAAACAATGACTAAACTAAGGACTAAACCAGGACTAGATTTGTCCCTGGTCCTCGCCCCTCTGTTTGAGACCCCTTACTTGTATTGCCTTTCTGTGCTCTTGATTTCTGCATTTGTGGCACTTTGCGATTTCTCTGAATGTACCTCCTCCTCCACAGTCCGTGAATTTTATCTGTAATTCTAAAAAAACTGGTGCAAATTAATGTCAAACTGTCAACGATGTATGTAATAAACTATTATTCTTTTGAAGCAGTTTGGAGTCAAGATTTTCTCTCAACACAACACAATAGTGGAAATCTATTTTGGTCATTGAACTTGATGCGTTGCACATAAAACATACCAGTGCATATTGTCAGACAAAATTGTACTGAAGTAATAAATGGTAACGCTTTTCCACCTTCAAGGCACTCAAAGCACTTTACAACAAGGAACCACTCACCCATTCACACACACATTCACACACCAGTGTATGCAGACACTGTGGGCAAGGTGGGTTAAGTGTCTTGCCCAATGACACAATGACAGCATTCATCTGTGGGAGCTGGAATCACACCAGTCAACCTGTGGGTCAGTGGATCTGACCGCTCAACCTGTGATGTTTTTGTCAAGAGCTGGAATCGAACTGCCAACCTTCAGATCAGTGGGCGAATGCGAATAGTACCTTTACATTTAAACAACCTTTTTACAGTTAAATTTTCAAAATATTATTACTCAATTAGAAGTACAAAGTAGTGGATCGAGTCCCTCCCTTCCACCGCTCCAGGATCACTAACTCCCCGAGCAAAAAAGTGAGGACCAAAGCGATGGACTCAAAATAATGCAGAAAATGTGGTGTTTTGCAAAGGACACAAAACTGAGACAAACTAAATCAGATCTAGAGGACAACTGCAAAAAATAGAAATGTTCAAATCCTTTCAAACTCACTTGAGTAAAAGCTGTGCTTCCTCTTCACACTGTAAGTGTACCGCTACACTGTACAACTTATTACTCGAGTAGGGGTTAAAGTATAAGGCCCTTATAATCTCTATGGGCGGCAGTAGCTCAGCTGTTAAGAGTGTTTGTCCACTGACCCACAAGTTGGTGGTGCGATTCCAGCTCCCACAGATGAATGCTGTTGTTGTGTCCTTGGGCAAGATACTTAACCCACCTCACCTGCGTACTGCGTACACTGGTGTGTGAATGTGTAAGTAGTTTCTTGTTGAAAAGCGATGTATAAAAATGTGAAGATGTGTGACGATAATAAATAGAAAACACAGTATATGTGTCCAGATAAGTTCTCTTGTGGATCAATAAAGTTTGTCTAAGTCTTAAGTATATATACATATTCAAATAATAACATTACTAAATAGCAAAATAGAAAATAAGGTGAATACATAGCACACAAGAAGAACACACAAGAAAAAGACAATTTAAGACTCAACAACTAATATTACAACATTTTGGGTTAGTTAATATATATAACAAAGTTAGTTGTAATTGCTTTTTTGTTTCCTATAGGGGCAATATAGCTCAAAATAATAAAAAGGTTATTCCAGAAATGTTGCATTAAGGTTTTAAGAATGTGACTTGTAACAGCAGAAGTTGTCTTAGCAGAGCTCTGGCACTGGGAATACGACAACTCCGCTCCAGTAGTGGGCGACATAAAGCCACTGTGGCACTGCGCCTTTTACGCACAGCCGCAGGTCATTACGCAGTTTACGCACTGCAGAGGAGACAGACGAGCTGCAGAGAAGCACGGTCGGGTTTTGGTCTCCGGCATTTCCAAAAACATTTCTACTTTTTTTACTTTGATTTTTTTGGAGCTGAAGGAAGATTTTTGAGAACGTAACCTCACGCACAGCTCAGGGCCGCAGTGCCTGCTGTTTTTGTGAGCTTTTCTGTGTGTTTTTTGTCGGTAAGTGCGTTCTCGAAAAGTAGCTGCGTCATGTGCTCGTTTTGGCGCCGTGCGTCTTTTGTTCTCGAGTAGTTACCGCTAGTTCTGTGCTAAAATAGGTCAAATTGCGGCAAGACACAACATAAATGCAGCCGGTGTCACAAAATGTTCCTAATCCTGTATGCAAATTTTAACAGAGTCGAAACCAGGACTAAAATTGACACAGTTCAGGCCTAAATCACTGTTAATTGCGTTGAAACAATTCTAATCAAGTCAGGTCTAACCCAGGTCTAGACAAGGACTAAACGAGGACAAAGCACAAAAGAGGATTAGGAAAGGTATTTACGCACGGATCTTTCGCAGGAGCGGATAGACCGGGTGTCAGTCTGGCCTCTTGTTAGCAGGCTAGCTCGGTAAATAATAATAATAAAAAAAGGGCCATATTTAGGTTCATTTTTTTTATATCTGCTTAGATTATTTTAATGCATCGTAGAGATGAGTATTGAAGACGTGTAAAACTGTTCAATATACTGATGTTTTCTTCTTTAAAATAACTGAAAGGCCTATATTAGGAAGCAAAACCCGAGCCTAAACGTTGCTTGTACGTTGGGCCTCATGGAAAACAGGAAGCCACATCTGATCCTTTCATTTTGATCTGTGGTTATGCAATTATAAAATTGCTTAACACGAAATTACGCATTAGTTTTGATCAATAAGAAATCAAAAATATGCTTGGTCAATTGGAAAACCTAAAGCAAAGTAGGCACTGATATGTTTAAAATACTGTCACAACTTACAATAAAGAAATAGTAAAGAAACAAACTTAGAAAATGCATAAAACATAATTATAGAAGTGTGCAAGCAGAGTAACACTGAAATTAAAACATTTGAGTATTAAAGTGTGTTTTTTGTTGCCAGTGCCACCAGGCTTTTAACTAGTGTTGTATTTGAGACCAGTGTTTTTTGTTGTTTTTTTTGTTTTTTTTTTTGGCGGCTCTTGGACGTGGTTTCGAGGTCTGACACACAAGTGATAAAATGAAGATAGATTCATAAAAACATTTATATATATATATATATTATATAATTTGCCAGAATAACTGTAAAATACAAATGTCGAAAATTACCAAATTAGTCTTAATTTGGTCTCGATGGGCTGTGGTCTTGGTCTTGTCTCGGTCTCGGACAGGTCTTGGTCTCGATTAGCGCGGTCTTGACTACAACACTAAGCTTAACAAAACTAACCATAAACATTTTATCGTCACAGGTCAAGGAATCCTGCTTGAAATAAAAAAAAAATCACCAGTGACCATGATCACAAGACGAAGAGGCCGAATGCTGCAGGAGAGCGAGGAGCAGCCGGTGGAGGTGGAAGTGTGCGACAGCGAAATGAGCCCCACCACGACGTTTCCCGGGGAAGATTTAGAAGCCACCGAGATTCATCTGGACGAGCTGTTTGAAGACTTAAAATGGACACTAGACCGAGACGCCAGCTCCCCTCTGTTCGACCTGGAGCTGGAAGAGTTCGAAATCTTTGGCACAGAGCAAGATTCCGGACGGGAAGTTTCATCGGCTTCATCTCCTGAAAGAAGAGGGACGGATTTGAAGATGAGGAAGAGCAACCAAGTCCACGGGTTAAACAAAAACGCAATCGCCGCCAGGTTGAATCGGATAAAGAAGAAAGAATACCTGAGCAGTTTGGAGCGGAAAGTTACGGGACTGTCTTCTGAAAATTCCGCTTTAAAACAAGAGAATTCCGCGCTGACGAAGAGAGTGGAGGAGCTGGAGAATGAGACCAGGTACCTGCGCGCCGTGCTGGCCAACGAGAGCACGCTGGCACAGCTCTTAGCCAGGCTCAGCGGTGTGAACGGGATGAAATTATCTTCCTCGCTTTTCCAGGGATCTGCCAACGACCCCAGCGACCACGACTACGCGCTGCCACGGAAACGGGCGCGGGTGGAGGAGAAGGGCGATGCGGCGGCGGGCGGGGTGTGCCTACATGTGGACAGGGACCATGTGTCTGTGGAATTCTGCCCCAAGTGTTCAGAGAGCGCCAGCACGGCACTCAAAATGTAGGGTCAAGTAATTACCGTATCTTCTTTTCTGATACTGAGACTGAACTTAAGAGCTTTGTAAAGACGCTTTTGGTTTAGAAACAAAAAAACAAAAGAACAAAAAAAATGGGTTGCGTTCACGTAGTAGAATCTGAAGATGTCATGGCAGGAGCCTAATATAACTATGGGAGGTAAATTTGGAGATATTTGAGAAACTTAAATCATTATTTGTTTGGGGTTGTCATATTATCTTAAGGTTTAAAGTGCTTTCAACTGACGGCATTTAAGGGTTTGGGGTGGAATAATGGCTCCACTTTCTGAGGTTATTGTGAAAAAATGAACTTTACTTTATTTGAACGCAGCCTATTTGCATGTGAAGGATGTTTTTTTTTTTTTTTTTTCAATGACTCGTTACTGCTAAACCTTGTTGATAGTTTCTTCTAGGTTTTGGTTGATGGCGCAGCGAGATGAGCCAGTCTGATCACCTTTTCCTGCCTGAGTCCATGGTAAGGATCGGACTGAAGACTCTTATTTTGAAAGAGACAGGAAGTTAAGCAGTGAGCTGTAGTCACTGAAGATCACACAGCTATTGTTAATGCCTTGAATGCCTTTGCTTTAACTGAAGTTAGTTTAGCCAGTTTAAATTGTATAAATTGTGGTGAAGATCCACAAAGAGTAAATAAAACAAAAAAACGTAAAAAGCCCATATTAGTTTTCTGCTCGGTAATGTTTCCGCATCACAAACACCCAAACAGACCTTGAGTTGTGTTTCGTTTCATTCACACATGTTTAACACACTTATTTGGAGCTTTGGAGAAGTGGACAGATTAATAATAAAGTGTTACTCAAACATGTAAAGGAAACAAAACAAAACTCCTGTTGTGTTTTTGAGGAGGAAACAGATTGCCTAAAGCTCACAAGTTTGGGGAGGTTTTGCGAGTTGCATCTCTTTGTGAATCAGCACCAGTTAAAGAGAGAACCCATTTGATTTAGCGCCCCCTATCTTTCTTTATGCTAAAGTGGGAGCAGATGGAGCAGCCTGTGGAGCATCGCCCGTGGCCTGAGTATTTGTTTAAGGTAGTATCGGTATCAATGGTATCTGTCATTTTTCTTTTCTTTGCATTTCACAGCTCTACATCAGCTCTATTTTAAGAGCCAAACCTGTAAATATGTTAATGTAATGAAATGTGTAGACACCTTTCAGCTGTCTATAGATTGTACTGTATATAATTTTGATTACATAATGTTTATGATGGAAAATATGTACAAAAAAATAAATATTTTGCTTAATGTTTTGAGTTACAAATGTTCAGTGAATCTTTGATATTAATGCTCTTCTCTTTCTCTTTCTGAACAGCAAGCTCTGCTCCCATTACGGTCTAAAAATCCTCAACTTTTGGGTCAAGTCTGGTAAAGGTTCAAAGTAAAAGTCCATTTAAAGTGAAAGTGCACAGAGGAGAGGAGACGGAATGAATCCGCTCTGGATCATTGTTCAGATATGGAGCTCAACAGCCTCGTCCCCTTCCAAGTCCACTCTGGTTCTGGAACTAAATTTGACATACATTTTTCTCATAGACTTGGAAAAAAAAAAGAAAAAATCTAAAATGAAGAGTACAAAGTTATTGCACAGGCTAATCCACCTTGTGCTTACTAATGTCTGTAAGGTAGAGATGCGCGGATGGGCTATTTTTTCATCCGCAACCGCAACATAAAACTCATCATCCGCCCGCTGTCCATTTTGCACCGAAGGTTTTCAAAACCGCATCCGCCGACTGATTTTAGGTTTTAGAACAATCATACAGCAAACAAACTAAGGAGCCTCGATAAAAATGCAAACTCTACAGCTCATTCATTCCAAAATTGGCTCAGCGTGCATGTTCACATTCTTAATTGTCCGTAACAACTCCAAACTTACCTGGTTTTCTTTCGCAGCTAATTAATTGACAACGTTTTTCAACTAGGCTATTTTTGAACCTTCTTGCCTTCGTGTTGGATGTTGTTACATTCTGAACATTCTGCCATTGCCCGATGTTATTTCAAAGTCATAGCCTCACTCCATCGGTCTTTAAGTTTTAAAAACCCTGAGTGTCAGTCTACGCTATAATGTCTGCGTGTTTTAAAATATAACTGATATCGAAACAAAATAGACAGATCATCTCATCCAGATGAACCTTTATTGAAATCAGGCAATGCCCTCTTTATATTCCAAGTGAAATAGACAAGAAAACATATGCATAACTAAATAAATCTGGCCCTATAGCCACTTACGTGTTGGCAAACAGCTGAAATAAATTAGAAATAATAAAATCAACTGCATATAATATGTGCTTCGTAAACCTTAGGCATCAATAACCCGACACAACCTTAACCTTCAGAACATAAAAACGGGTCAAATGGGCTAATTAAGGACATGACGTACACTTCATACTACAAACACAGACAATGACACTCGTCTTTTCACATGTACATAACTAACAATAACTTTTTTTTTGTAGTAGTTAAACTGCCACCCGCCCGAATTTAATTAAAATATAATTTTTCGTCACGTCATCCGCCCGACCCGCGGATTAACCGCGGATACCGCGGTTGCAACCGCAATCCGCGCCTCTCTACTGTAAGGCGGTTGTTTTAAAGGTGCACTGTACAACTTTTCTGGTGGAGTCTTTGTCTCTAGGCAGATCTGGGTGGAGTGACGATTTTCCTTTGGCTGTAATATTCCACAGTATGGCATTAAATGTATACAGCATATATTCAGTTACAGGTGTTTTTAGAACTTGCACATGTTGCAGTGAGCAGGTTTACCTCATGTTTATAAAAACAGATTTGAATAAACAGAGAAGTCTTGTGCTCAGTATTTATCACAGAGCCCATTAGTCCTGAGCGTTCAGACTTTTCTATGAGAAAATGTGAAATTTACTTGTGGAACCAGGATGTGGGAGGACACTGTCGAGCTCCATCACACTTCTCAGTAGAATGAACTTACATTTGCAATCAGAAATCTGAAATCCTCCCTGAACAACAGTGTAGTGACATCTATGCTTGTCATTTTGGGCTCTGCATTTATTTTTATTTTCACATGGCTTCACAAAATGGTTGAGTTGACAATTTTTAACCCCAATCTTTTTCAGTAAATTAAATGACACTTTTGTCCTTCACTGCAGGCTGCCACAGGCCCACAAAAACATGTAGTGAAGTAACTGCACACATGTTCAGAGCCTTTAAATGCTTCAAGAATGAGCAGATCTCAACTTGGCTTTATATCCAAGAGAACAGCGCCCCCTCCTGGCACATAACTGAAAGCCCACACAAGTTTGGCCTTTTCTAATTTAGCCGCACACATCATGGTGCCCATCCTGATAACATGAATGTCTCCTAAACATTTGACATGACTCATACTCTCGCTGCGGCCCAGGACAGCTAGATGAAACACTGATTCTTAACCACAGTGCCTCAGGCGTCTCCTTTGTAATACAATGTATTAAATTTGTGAATGGGCCCCAGGTTACTGCACAGAACGAGCCGGGCCAAGTTCAAAATGGTCTCATGGCCAGAGTGAGGATGAGCAGTAATCTGGCCAGCTAAATAACACACTGTTCTATTGTGTTCTTGTTTTGGGTAAATATTGCTGATTGCAACTGTAATAAAATCTATTTACTGGCCACTGAACAGTTAAATGAAGGTACAGATGAAATCATAAACTTGTATTGTCCCACGGTGGGGAAATTCTGGTGTTGCAACACTTGGTTTAAGAACAGTAAAGAATAGAAATGGGCTCATAAATATTGAGAACTATTAGAAAACAACACTAGGAGTGTAAGTCTAAGGTTACAGCACCTTTCTGTAAGTGAATCTGATTCTGAACAGTGTAGCAGATAAACTGGAGAAGTGATTTCTGTAGAATTACAGTGTCAAGTGTAAAACGAATGCTTTCCTCAAGGTGGCGCTCTAAACAGGTCGTTTAGGGTCCTAACACACAACTGAAGCCCCACTGAGCTCCATGACTCATGATCACACAGAATCTAAACTATAAGGCCTCTGTGTCAAAGGGAAACTAATTTTTTTGGCAGAATTGTGCTGCAAGTATGTACCATAGAAGCCAATGAGCTTTACCCCACAACATTCAGGAAGTTTCACAATTTGCTAAAAGGGAAACCCTGATCTTTAGTTTTGCTGTTATGTACCATGTTACATACACACAGTGTCATTTTACTGAAAGTTGAAACGATTCATCCACATTCACATTTGAGTCTCAGCCCCTGATTTTATTTTAACTCAATAATTCTCCAGCCTGTAGAAGGGTTAAGTTTGGTCAAATCTTCAGACCTTTCTGAGTGTTCATGTAATAACTCATTTATTCTCCTGTACCACAGACACCATCACCACAAACTCTGGTCAGCTGTATTTAGTGAAATGTAAGTGCAGAGACTGTACACGTGAAGACATGGGTCTGAGAGTGAATGCAGCTGCCATAGAAGTTAATCATTCAAATGAAAAGTTAAAATTAAAATAGATTTTTTGAAGGACACAACACAGGCACACACTGGGATCAAACCACCAACCTTTCAGTAATAAAAAATTCTCCAGCAACGAATGAGCCTACTTCACCCGTATTTTCAAGTTTTTGTTTTTTTTAACACTTGAGTACTTACATGGGTCACTACTTTTTATCAAGTATTGATTTTTGAGTCCATTTGTGGATCTCCTCTGGCCTCAGCTGAAGAGTGAAGAAAAGGAGAAGTCTGCCTCCTGGAGGTTCAAGGGAGAAAAAGCTGCTCCTGAATTATTCTCCATGACCCTCAAATGTCACAAGCACAGAGCACCTAGTACACATCATCACAATACTACTACAGTACTGTACTACTACTGTACTGTAACTTTACACTGCAAAAAAGAACTAGATATGATATATGAAAATATGACTAGTTTATGACGAATGTAGGTTTTCTGTGTAATACATTTTGTATTTAGATATTTCTATAATTATTTCTTACTGGTTGCTATAACATGAGGCCTGACAGAAACGACTTTATCAACATAAATCTTCATATGAGTAGTTCAGTTCAGATTTCTTTATTAATAGGACATAATGAAGTGGGAATTATATGAACAAACCAGGTCTATAGAACTATTCCAGATGTCAAAAGTACAGTATAGTAAAGTATAGTCAAAAGTATAAAACACAACAGCACCACTGCTACAGTCCGTCTAAACACAGAAACCCAAAGGAGTGAAAAATGTTTCCTACAAATATCTCAGTGAGCCTCTAACACTTACAGTATTTAACTAAATTCAAGATCTTTCTGCCGGTATTATAGACCTACTGTTTCCACAATTCAAGCTCAGTTGTCCATCAGGAGTTGTGTGTTATCTCTGACACACACAAGTGAAATAATACTTTAGTCTTGTAGAGCACTTTTAAACATGATCAAAGTCGCTTTTACAGTTTTGTGCATTATTCATTCACTCCACACACTGCTGGAATTTATTACTGCTGTAGCCACAGCTGCCCTGGGGCAGACTGACAGAAGTGATGATGCCAGTCTGTGCCACCAGCCCCTACCACCATCAGCAGCAGCAGGACTCACACCACATCCACCCCACATTCATACTGCACTGTGTGGGTGAAGTGTCTTGCCCAAGGACATTAAATCTAAACTGAAGTTGACAGTGTTATTAAGTTCTTGTGGATAAAGGTGCACTGTGTAACCTTTCTCTCACCACCTTTTCTGCAATATAGACTTAAACTGGTCGTCACACTTTTGTTCAGTCACAGGTGTAATACGCAGACAAACACATGCATCCTTTCTGTGACGGGAGCACCTTTCCACAGACCTGACCTGTAATCTGGCCTGACAGTGTCACCTGCTTGTTTCCATGAAGCTAGAGTTTAAAGGGCCTGTACCTGATTTGAATGGAGCTTGTCTTTATATCCTGCACTGTTTGGTTGAAGCTTCAATAAGAAAAACACATTTGAGACAGTAAAAAATGATCTTTACATTTGACGTCATTTTCACACGTCACATTTTCACACAGAAGACACGGACAGGGCCGTCTTTTATTGTCTAAGACTCAAACCAAGTACATGGACAGAGCCTCTGATGCGACCCACAGATCTACAACATGACCCCAGAGCCAAAGAGGACAGGGCTGAAGTTAGGTAGAGGCTCTTTAATGCTTTACTGTGGAACTTTCTAGGCAAACATCTCCATGGAAACTAGCATGCGTCATACCAACCAGCTGAAAAGTGACACAGCTCACCTTTAATTCATGGTGGAACAAAAGAGCCAGACTCCAGAGACTTTGTCAAAGTTATTATTGTAGAATACTTGTTGTATTTTTTCTTTCATACAGACAAAAGGTGTTGGACTTATTTCCCGTTAAGTTCTGGTAGGTTCCATACAGTTTAGTCTACAGTTTACAGGTGTGATCTTCCTCGTATAGATATATTTATTTATCGCTTAAATAACAGGCAGGTAACTCTTTATTTTATATATTCAATAGTCTCTTTTTTAACTTTTTTTTGGTCTTTTTCGTTTCCGCACAGTTGTAGGCTGCGTTCTCTGTCGGTGGAACAGGTCGGTCGTGTGCGTGGTAAAATCTCATATTTACAGCAGAAATGAATCACGTAAAAAGCGTCTCCATGGCAGTATAAGGGCAGATCCACGAGCGCAGCCTAAACAGCGCCCCCGTCTGGAGGCTGTGCACTGCTGCAGCCTCCGGCTCTGTTCACGTCGCTCAAAACCTGCTTTGCATAAGGAACTCCAGCTCCTAGTATTTACAGTAAATCGTCTTAAAGGAGACATGTTCTTGCTTATATCAACTTTTTTAGACATTTTTGCATTGTTAGTTGATGTTCTATAAGTTCAAATAAAGGATACGTATAGGAAAAAAGGAAAAAAGTTAAAGTTAACACTGAATTAAGAATTTGACATGGAAAATGGTGTAGAAAAGCGTTGATTATTTCACTTACTAATCAATTCTGAGTCATTTTAATGCACCTAGATGTTACTTGTTGCAGTGAAGGTATGAAAAATGTGGTGATCTTTGCATTTGAACCCTCGGGTTACGGGTGTGACGCACTCTTTTGGCAACAGTAGGAAGTGAACCATGTTTGAAATGGTTACAGAGCAGCACTGAGACCATTAGTGCATCGAAATATAAGGTGAAGCATTTCTAGACTTCAAAAATCCAGAGGAGCAGTTGTGGTGATATGAATTAAAGACATGATATTTTCATCTTTTTGCAGGGTAGAGCAATCAGAGCTGAAGTCTTTAGGTGCTTCTGTCAGTGGGAGTTGGATTTCGGCAATCACAGTGAAGTTTGGACTCCTAGAGCTCTCGTTACGTCTTAAAGTCAACGTAATAATCCTAAATAATGAATTTTTTGGCAACCTAGAAATTTTTTTTTACAGCGTACAGCCTTAAAATATGCATGAAGTAAACGAAATCCCACTCCAGGTTTGCGTCGCGTGAAAACAGCGTCGTAACTCAACTCAAAAAAAGTGAACTAAGCCCAACGTGTCTCCTTTAAGCGCGGGTAACTCCGTCCTTTTGCACTGCGGCTGTTCGTTCAGACAGAAAACCCAGCCTTTGGGATATGCTCTGGAAAATGTGCAACTGTCTTTCATCCATGGGAGCACCGGTGGAGAGAATCAAGAATTAGAATAATCATAATAATCATAATAATAAGAAGAATATAATACAAGCGCGTCCGTTTTGTGTCCCTCTCTTTACAAAAGCAGGATTGAAATCAATAAATAATTAAATAAACATAAAAATCATAGATGTGCACATTACAAGGCGGTCTGTACAGTAAATAGTGTTTTACAATTT